GCCAGCAATAAACGTCTCTTTGACAAGTTTGAGTCTGACCACATAAGTCATTTCTTGACCACTCTCCACGGATCCCCAGGCCCAGGCTATGGCCCAGGTTAGACTAGAGTAGAGTGTGCCACTGCACTGTCTGTGCCTGTTCTTCAATCTTGTCACGTGGTGACTCTGTCGACCATGCCCTGTTTTCGTAAAAATACAATCATACATTTTACTACTCCCTGGTCGTGTCCGATCGACCCCTGGCCTGGGCCCGGCCCCTGGCCCTGCGCCCCCTGCGGCCTGCTGGGGCTTCGGACTTTCCGTCACCGGGCGCCAGCCTGCACCGTAGATCTACCATGTGCACGCGCCTCACTCTTTCCGTCAAGAACGCGATTGCCGGTATCTGATAGTGATACTCGTCCTTTCGCGCACTACTGCCGTAGATCTACTACTACTGTAGTAGAAAAAAACTGGAACCAGCTACAGCAAGGCTAGCTAGCGCTATTACCATTACTGAGTCTGTCCCAGCTCTATCAGTATATCATGTCTATGATACTCTATGTCCTGTTTCCTGTTCACGTGCGCAATGCCAATGAGTTCGCCAAGGCTAGGCTGCAGCGAGGCCAGGGTCAGTATGGACTGCCGGGGCCTAGCGCCTGCGCCAGTGCATCCTACCCAGCGTCAGCACGGTCAGTGAGCAGGTAAGTGAGTAGCGAGTCGCTGTCTGGATGACCAGACGAAGAGTTGCGGCGAGTGAGCGGCGCATGTCGTTCTCCACATGAAAAACCCTGGCTGCTCCGACACAGCAGGTTTCTGTCCTGTCATGCTGTAGCGGATGGAAGTAGTTTTCCTGTTTTCCTGCATGAGCACGTACTTGCCTGAATTTAGCTACTCGCCTGCACTCAGTGCAGTGCTGCTCGCCTGGGATATTTCCGTTGCTGAGACTGTGGCGATCGTGATACGCAATGGACGCTAAGAAGTTGAAAAGATACTGGTCTGGGCTTGGTGTTCCTGTAGTGCTGCTGTTGCTGCATATTTCTATCCACTCCACACAAGGTAAGTTTAATTAAATGCCCGAAGAACGTGAACATTGCAGCACAATCATGCTTGTAAATTACATTTTTTGTGAGCTATGCACTTTTAAAAACATGTGCAATATTCAATGCAATACATGTTTTTGAATATTCCACATGATGTACTCATACATTGTGTGTGTTCATAGCTTAGGCTGCCCTGGCACAGTAAGATCGGGTGCCGAAGAACACTTCGCCGGAAAACACTTAGGCTGGGCCCAGATTTGAGAACGTACATGGACCGTTTTCTACATGTTATCCACGAGGTGTGATCGCATCGTACGTATGATGCTCGCCATGGATAAGAACAAAACGGCTAACATACAAACAGTTTAGAACAATGCCAGGCTGCGCTCTGGGCCACTGTGTTCTTCGGCTCCCGATCTTACTGTAGTGTAGGCCCCCTAGGTTATGTACTCTTGGCAGAATGTATTCTGTTAATTACGGATGATGTGTTACATGTACATGTATGTTGCTGTGTATTGCGGAGATTATCATTTGCATATTTAGCCTGCTGGATATCGATGTCATGCCACTTCTCAAGAGGCCAGTGAGAATGTCTTAGAGTTCTGTGGCAGTACCACTGAGCAACCAACCCTAGTCTTTTGGCCATACAGTGCAGAGAAATGGACGTGCTACTTACCTTCACATAAGTAGTTAGTTGCTCAAAACCTGGGGAGTGTTGCGGGCTTCTGGTCAATTAATTTTTTCAGATGCTGCCCGTGATGATGCTTTGGGTGTGCTAGAAACTAAGATCATACCCCCCCCCCTCTACTGTATGTTTTGTGAATGATTTATGCAAGTACTAGTGCATTCTTCTTACAATGTGTAGCCAGTACTAGTCCTAGCAGTCACCATGAGCTAGAGTACAGTAGTTCGACCCATGGCCAAACAGAAAAATATTGCACTACACCTACAGATTGTATCTCCAGCACTGCAGACTGGTGGCACAAGGCAGACATTGCGACAAGTGGCTTGGATACTTCAATTGTTCAAATGAACTCAAATTGTCCATTTATTACAATTAGCTAGTTACTTGAGAGCGCAGGGGTGATTGTGGTGGTGTGGTCCATGTTCACAATTTCATGTATGTCAGTCTATTCAAGTTTGCTATACATGCTGTATATTTTATGGTGCCTTGTGCCATGGGACACTCTCACCTGTAATGGATAGTAATGCACAATGGTCTGGAGTGCAAAGCAAATAACCTTTCACTGCAGTCAGTACTTGCAGGATATATTTTAGTCATAGCAGCAGCAATGCATCACCTGGTCAGGACTCTGGACAATTTATTGCTTTGAAGTGCCAGCACAGAGTGGTTGAACCCTGCTTGTTGTGTATGTACTTGTAATGCACTGAAGATAGGTAAGCTGCAACATGTGACCGCCCTCAGATCACACTTCCGATGAGTAGGAGTTCCGGGCCAAAGTTCAACTTTAAGCACAGGGTCATTTTCTAGGTGGGTTGCAGTTATTGTAAAAGTCTTTGAGCTCCCTTTCAAGTTTTATTATCGAATTGTGGGTTCATCCTTGTCACTTCACACTTCCCAGTTATAGCACAATCCTTCACCTGCATCTGTCAGATGAGCATTTCTATAAGTGGATGAATCCTCATTCACCCTGGTCACACTTTGAATTCAAGGGACCAGGTTTCAAGTACAGATAGCCCTCAGTATCACTGGCATTCCTTTTTCACATTTGTCTCATCCATGAGAGAGAGACCATACAATGTACAATTGAAGCAAAGAGAAGAGGTGGTTGATGTGTATGACTTGTACTATGTATAGGGGTGAAAGTTGGCACTGAGATCCCGAGTTCGAGTACTCTGATTTTCTCCGATCGAATATTCGAGTATTCGAGTATTCTTGACATCCTAAAAATCGCACACCAACCGCCTCAAAATCACATGATACAACCCTGATTGAACCGATTGGCAGTTCTTTTCTGGGGTGTATTGGTTGGTGGGTTATTTGTAGGGCTCAAACGGTCACGGTTTTACCCCTAACGGTTAACTGCTAAGCTAACGGTCGGTTTAACGTTTATAACCTATAAGCCACGGCAATCCTGCGGACTCTTTTTTAACCGTACATTTGACTATACTCATTCAAAAAATGTACCCTATTCAGTACAACGCACACATGTACATTCTCTTGCATGCTCATTCATACCTACTCTCACACCAAGAGACCGGATATGACCGAGTTGACAGCCCAGAAATTGCCTACGCATGCGACAGCCTGCGAAAGTCCATACTTTGCAACGACCTGATACTTTGCAAATTGACTGAAAAGTTTCTCCGTAAGGCCACCTAGAATTAATTCGTTGTTTCGGGTCACTTCACTAATCCGTACCAGGGTCGGTCGGTCGGGTTTATTTTATATTTTATTTTATTTTTTTATTTTGGTTACGGTGCATCGAATAGCTTTTGTCCATCTAGCCAGTCGATCAAATCTGACTGTAGTGTAGACAATCCAGCGCAGTCATTGTCCCATCAGATCCAGGTCCCCTCCAGGACCAGATCTTGGCCTCGCTGGCAAACGAGTCTGACGAGCAGCTCTCACCTTGAAAACTTCTGTAAATAGCGACAAAGTGGCGGAGCTGATGCTGTTTCAGGACCGATTGCGGATCGGAGATAGAAGACAACGTCGTTACCAAGCGCTGCATCCTGTCATTCGGCTAGCCATGGCTGCTTCTGAGGTCGATATCTGGACTGCTATTATTAGGGTCGCGTGTGTACATAGTCTAGTCTGTACATTTGCATGCACTATAAAAAAAAATATTTTGCGGTCGGGTGAAAAAAGACGGTCGGTCGGGTGACCCGAAACAACGAATTAATTCTGGATGTCCTAACCGTTATCTTTATCGGTTAACCGTTCATTCTTCGTAACCGGTCTGCAACCGGTTAATCGGACTAACCGTTTGAGCCCTAGTTATTTGGGCTCTCTCTACTCGTGTACAAATGTTCACCACACAGTCTGCACATCAATATCTGCTGACTGCTGCTCTGAAACTGCAGACTTCTGTGGAAAATGCATGTACCATGTATGAGCGAGTACTCGGATTTATTCCGAGTACGATTTTATTTGAAAAATCCAAACGAGTATTCGAATATTCGGTATAATTGTTTCACCCCTAACTATGTAGGACATGCAATGTGCTCTGCATTGCAGTTGGCTATGCTTTTCAAAGGGCCCAGGTCGCTCACACTGACACCCTACTCTCGTAAACAAAGAAGTGTACAATCATGTACATACATGCACTATGAGATAGCATTTCCCATTGAAAACTCACTGTATGATTATACTAGTTGAAGTACAGCTAACCCTGGCATTACCCCCCCCCCCCCCCCTGCATGGCAGGACAATGCTTTCCCCGTAGACCGTGGATTGTGGTGGACAACACACGGCCAATACTAATATATAGAGTAACACCTGTGTTTGCTGGACCCTGTACCAGGCGGAATCCTGTATTGACCAGACACATCAATTTTTTCATTCACCAAAGTGCTGTGTAGCGAATGCATGTGCATTCCTGAATCAAGCGAGATCCGGGCATACCAGGAAAGTTTCCGCTGTGCCAAGGGAGTCCAAGGGAGTCCAAGGGAGTCCAAGGGAGTCCAAGGGAGTCCAAGGGAGTCCAAGGGAGTCCAAGGGAGTCCAAGGGAGTCCGGTTGGAGCAGGTTTTACTGTGCCTACTTGCTACCGGGAGTAGTAACATACAAGCAACATAGTATTGTCAAGAACATACTAGCACATAGTAGCAGTCCATTTTTATTGAACAGCAAGAAGAAACAATGGAGAATTCGAGGAATTTAAAGGGGAAATTTACCCTATCATGAAAACTTCATAACATGAACTGCTGTAGCGAAAAATGCACTGATCCCAATGGTGAAGGTCCCAGGTTGATCGAAGCAGCCGTTCTCGAGTTACAACAGTTTGAAGTTTTCACTAAATTTGGTGATATCATGATGATGTCATTAACTTGCGCGGAATAGGCCATCTGGGGAGACGTCAGAGATGGACTTTGTATGGGAGTAGATGGGGATAACCAATTTATTTCTCGTTTCTCTACTCACAGACAGTCTCCTCTTGAATTTAAAAGTCTAACAGCATTCACATCAATACTCAACTTATTCTGTTGCTCACTGAGCAATACAATCTTTCCATTTTCTTTCTTCTGTTTTCTTTTTCAACTTAATCCTCCCTACCCAATCTCCCTTTGGTGCGTCCATGGAGCTATGAAGCCAAGACCTCTGGTTGGCGGAGCTTAATGGGCCCCACTACCACGCTCCATTATTCACCCCAGTGTCTGGAGATATCACGGTGGATTTTGTAGAAAAAAAACAAAAACAACAAAAACAAACTTCTTGTGAGATTTTTTTCCAGTCAGGATGCCAGTATATATGTCCCATACGGAAGTTTGAAAACGTCTGACTTCTTTGGGATAATGGAGAGTCGAAATACTGGGCTCCTTTAGAAAATTGGATTCCAGTTGGTAGGGAGAAGCAATGGTAAAGTCTTCCTTCTCTCATAACGGCCACCTTCACTTCCTTTCCCCAGGAGACTCCCTTTGATAGGCATCCATTTGCCTCTGGAGAATCCTTGAAAATGTAATATCAATAAAGTAGAATAAGGACTACCAGCGAGCTACTGCAAATTTGCGACACCTACTTCTATTTTTGAAGAACTTTTACTCCATACAGAGTACCCATACAGTGTACTTTTTACTGCACTCAAACCTTCTTCTTCAGCTCTTTTGGAGCTTGGTGTTTTGACAGTTACTTGTTAGGAGTATATTATGCATATCGGGACACCTTTTTCAAAGGGAATGACAATGTAAATGACAATGTACGAACTACCTTTGCCTCCTTTGCACCATGGCTTGATAGCTCGGCTTACTTAAAGCTCGTGGCTGTACTGATGAGGCATATATGGCCGAAACAGCTTGCTGTATACAGCATTGGGTAAATGGCAATGTATATATAAATGTTAAATTGAAACAAGAAAAACGGTGGGGCACAAGTTATGCGTTAGAGTCCGCCAACTAAATCAGGTTTTGAACAGTCAGAGTCAGGCGTGCACAAGGTAGCACCAGACTGACAAGGAGTACTGAGATATTCCACGACAAGGAAGTGAGCTTGAGCACTGCTCGATAGCGCTAACCAACTACTGAATATATAAATGCTTTACTGAGGCAGTGTTATAATTATACTATAGAACCGGTCTGAGCCAGCCGCTCTAGGGACCTTATGACTGTCGTCCCCGCGCACAGGTGGCTTTCTTGCACATTTAGTGCTGCTGGCACAATACTTTCTTCTTCTTGTGAATTTCTGTTGTCTGGCCAGGTGCACTCGGAGACTGTGCCGATGTTGCCACTGGACCACCATCAGCTCAAATCCTACTGGTGATGGATGAAGATCTTGGTGTGGTAGACCCAAGAACGGGTGATTATGATGAACTAAGATATGTTCATCAGCTGCTCAACAGAACTGAGAAGGAGCTGAAGTTACAGGGCATGGGTGTGGATCCGTCTGCTCGCAATATGTACTCGATTGTTGGCTTTGGCAAGCGGTCGACAAACCAGCAATCCTGCCAGACGCCTGCAGGGTGCTATGCTAATGTGTACGGCTTCAGTGCAGATGGTGATGGCGATGGCGTTGCTGCTGCTGCCAGCGCTAGCACACATGTAACAATTGATAATGTACAGCATCTTATCTCGCAGGTCCGGGCTACAGCTCAGACAGCTGCCAATGACATCGTTGATTCATACCAGGCTATACTAGAGGGTCTTGATGCACTGCGCTATAAGTCAACATCGGCAGCAGCTACCTTCATCATACTGTTAACTGATCAGGATCGAACACACCAGTACGGAAATCGTGGAGTTCAATTGACACGCAGATCTATTCGCCGGTACTTGGATTGTCAGAACATTGGCATTGCAATGGTGGTTGACACGTTCTTCCATGCTGCGAAGGACAGCAGATACAGTGATGTCACCGCCTACTATCAGGAATTGCTAGGCTACGACTTTGCGACAAGCGCATTACTGGTGGCAGAAACTGCTGGCGATTTCAATGCCACACAAGTTACTGGTGAAGTGTCGTTTAGCAGCTGGGGTAGAGTGGACGAGGACTACATTGCTCTGGCTAGGTTATTACGAGCAACCGTGTGGGACATGAATGCTGTAGTTCGCATTTCCAGTGAGCAGCTCCGTTCCGGTCTGAAGGAAAGTAGTCTAGCGGCTCTCAGTGCCACCGTTGCAAGCACTCTCAAGACGCAGCTTGCAAACCGCAACACGGCTGCAGAATGCAACACTCAGTTGAGCCAGGCATCACGTCAGTGTGCTTGCGAGGTCAATGGCGGAATTGTAAGTATCCTACAGTATGTGTGAAGGTTTCATTTTGCCATTTATATCAGTTTCAAGTAAATGTATTCATGACTAGAATAGGTATCATGAGTGCGACTGATCAATCGCAGAACACACTTTTGCACGGTGTTGGTTCATTAAGCCGTACCACCCAGCCTCAAGTCGGCTGACGGCAAAAAGGTCTCACCATCACTAACATTGTACTAGACTCTGGACTGCTCAATCTTGATGCTCTCTTCGTGCCGCGTAGTTTTGATACCAGAATGCTCAGAGCTTTGGGGAAACGCAATGATCTACTGGGCAATGTGGACGGGTCACGACTCACGGTCCGCTTTCCCCTTTGGGTTTCAATGAATTTAGTTGGAATGGGGAGGTTAGAGTTTCTTTCAATGTGCCCTTTCAGCATTTTTGGGAGATCATAGGCAGTGAGACTGAAGAATGGGAAGCAACATCTGCCTCAGTTTAAGGGAAGTATAGTGTATGCCAGTGGTAGTGGTTTGGTTTCTTCTAACTCACTTTCCCACCTATGGTTGGCTCATCACACCAACATCCTTATGTTGGCTACTAGTACGCCTGGTTGTGCTCCATGAAGTACAACATGAAGACAGGAAAGTAAAAATTAATACGGGTAATGTTATAGTCCAATCGAATGCGTATTTAACATATAGGACATGTTATGGGGCCGTCCGTAAATACATGTATTTACTTAGAGACGTCTAAGAGGCGTTTCTGGTGGGTACGTTCGCCTGCAAGGCGTTTCTAAAAAATATATTTCGGAGTGCATGCATACCATACCGCGCGTGTATGTACACGATGTAGCACTGCTACAGCTAGTACAGGTAGGCTCTGAGACGCACTCAGTCTACGCTGCACTGCATGAACGGGTCACTGCAGAGTGGCCAGGGAACACAGGGAGACCGTTCGCTAGCTACTGTACACGTACATGACTGTATTATAAAGGGTCAATTTAGTATGGATTCAAACAGGGACATGGACAAGGGTTCGCTAATACTACTAATAGCTACATGACTTTTGTTTACTAGTATCACGAAATTCGCTATATATGAGTTCGTTATAAGTGGAGTCGTCTGTACTGTATATGCGTGCATAGTATAGTGGTTATTATGAGTGGTATTTTCTGCATTTTTGAGGGGCGTTTCTGGGGATGGGTGGGTGGGTCAAGAAAGAAACGCCTCTTACACGTCTCTAAGTAAATACATGTATTTACGGACGGCCCCTTAGTAGTCTGGCCACATTCTCCGCATTGACAAAGACTCACCGCCATGGATCGCGCTGACAGGCTATTTTTCAGAAGCCAAGGCTGGGCTAGGCCGCCCAAAGGACCTCACTAGCGACACGCATGCCAAATGACCTACAGAGAAAGAGCATTGTGTTGAAGCGGGGCAGTCAGCTGGAGAATCGGTGAGGTCCATCGCTCTGGACAGCAGGCCGACTTGGAGAAGTCTGGCTTACCATCCGTGATCTGGGGTAACAGGCCATCAGTAAACTGTATTTTACATTGGGAATGGAATTCACAGTGGATAGGACAGAAGCGGAACATATAATTGTGCTCGCATAATTATATTGTTATGCGTGCTGTGGTATCATTATTATGTTAACTTTATTCACTACCAAAGCTGAAAATAAAAACTTGAAATGAGGCATGAAGTACAGCACCAGGATCCATGGGAGCCAAGGGTGAAGCACCGATCAGTGATGGAAAAGAAAATGTTTTGATAAATTTCATGAGCGCGAAATACACATTCACCTATACCAATACGGTACTCACATAAATTCACAGTCATGTATAACAGCACTAGTAGATATCAAGCACACTGCACATGGGGAGCTCCAAGCAAGACAAACTCAGACGAGATAAGACAGCATAGGCAGAGAAAGACAATACATGACTGGGGGCGTATGTCAAAAGTCACGCCTCCCGGCTCGTCACACAGTACATAATGCACCACCATCATAACACGCACAAACTGAGACACATCGAGACATTACGAGCAAGGTAACATAAGGTCAACCGACCGTTCAGACTGTGCCACTCCCCAATCCATGACCAGCAACCGACCACACAATCCTCAGGGTGCCCAGAATAGCACATTGCTGCAGCCGCTGGATCAGGGACGCATGGAGCCCAATGCTCAAGATGTGGCTGCGGTCCGTTCCTGACACACCACCCAGAGCACCAATGATAACTGGAACAATAGTTATCTATTTGTTCCAGATCCTCCTTAGCTCTGCTGTCAAGGGCAGGTATTTGCTGATTTTCTCCTGCACCTTATAATTGACCCTGTGGTTCAATGGGACACTGATGTCCAAGAGTAGTGCCCGATCACTCAGAACCAGCGCCAAGTCTGGTCTGTTAGCCTTTATGACTCGATCTGTGGGGATGGAAATCTCCCACGTGAGCTTGCAGCTGGTAGAACTTGTGACCTGTACCAGCTGCTTTTTGCTAGGCAATCCATGTTGCCTACACAACGTACGATGCAGGGCCCGGACCACAAAGTTGTGCCGGGCAATGTATGCAGTCCGTGCCAGGGCTGGGCAGCAGGCGATGATGTGGTCTATATTTTCCCCGAGTGCACCACGTACACCACAGAGGTCCACGACATCATGCCTCTTGTGGACATGGCACATAGTGTTTCTCGTGGCAGTCACCTGATCCTGGCACGCAATGAGGAAGCCTTCCGTTTCAGGAAGCATTGTCTGAGATCTGAAACAGGAAAACGAGAGCTGCAGGCCTAGGATGCCATCAACACGCGCCCAATAGCGGCCATGACGAGGCATCGCCCGGAATTCTCGGCGGCGTTTGTCATTGAAGGCCTGTGTAACAGTCTCTTTGTTAGCTGTGTCCAGGCTGGCCAGGCGAAGGCGCTGCATAACAGTATCTGCCAGCTTTGGTATGGATTTTCTAGAGGGACGTGATTCATGGTGCCGGAGAACAGCGGCCAGGGCAGGGGCATCTTCCCGATCCTTCAGGTACCGAGCGAGACGGATGCAAGTGCGGTCGTGGAGATCTACGATGGATACTAGGCCACGACCTCCCTCACTCCGTGGTATATATATAGGCGAAGGGTTGAGGCACGTGGGTGGTGGACCCGGCTAGCAGTCAGAGCCTTCCTCGCTGTCCTGTCCAGCGAGCGGAGCTCATCCGCGGTCCAAGGAACGACTGTGCGAAGGCCATAGGACACCACTGGCAGAACGTAGGTGTTGATTGCTCTGATGAGGTTTGGTGCACATAGTGAAGCGTCCGTGATCGAGCAAAGATGGCGCCGGAACTCAGCGATGACAGATTGTTTAACGTCACCAGCCTCGATTCCCAGGAATTCCCGGAGGCCAAGATAGAGGTACGCCGCGCCATTTTGCAGAGGATAAATGATTGACTCTGTTCGCAAGGTTGACGAAGGATCAGCCTCCTGGCTTGGCTTAGCGGCCAGGCAGACAATCTTAGAGCACTTAGTGGGAGATCGTTGCATGCCAACTGCACCGCTAACGCACTCAACAATTTTGATCAATGAGTCCAGCCCAGTACTGCTAGCGGCAAATAGCTTGACGTCAGCCATGTACCATAGATGCGACAATAGGGAATCACGTGTGGGTCCACAGCGGCATCCTATTCGGCTTCTTGCTTATTCGTTTGAGATAGGATTGAGACCGATGCAGAACAGCAGGTGAGACAGAGAATCACCCTGGAAGACACCCCTTAGGATAGACATTGGCTCGCTGACCCCGCTGCTAAGGCACAGTTGTGTGCTCCACTGCTCTGACAGCACTCAGAGTGTGCAGATGATCCTAGGAATGAACTTGTAGAGCGGGTAGCAATTTTCCAGATTCACTCCTGGTAGAGGCTATCAAAGGCCTTTCAGAAGTCTAGCCATGCCGTACTGAGGGAGCGCTGGTGGAATTTGGCATCTTCAATAATCATGTTGTTGATCAACAACTGATCTGTGCATCTTCCTCAACCACGTGCACATCCGACCTGTTCCGGGCCCAGCAGACTGTTAGCGGTGATGTGAGACCACATAAGCTCCGATACTACAGATGTGAAGAGTTTATATTATAGAAGGCAGGCAGGTTATAGATCTCCAGAACTGGGGTTTCGACAGATCACCTTTCTTAGGTAGGAGTACGGTTGCACCAAGATTAATTTTATTATTATTATTATTAAAAAGGTTACGTGGAGATAAAAATGTAATCAACGCAATAAATAGAGTAAGCTGCGCACTCAGTACAAACACCATTAGCAAAACTTGTTTTCATGTAAATAACTAAGCTTGTTCCTAAACGTTTTCGTCGCCATCTCATCAGAGGATTCATATTATTATTAACATTACATTTATAAGAAAGAAAAAGGACCAAAGAGCTAAAAGTTACGCTACAATGTCCACTAACACCACCAGTTACTAAACAATCAGCTCATGCGATAATATTGCACGACACTGACCGACGATACTGTCGTTCTACAACTAACTGGCTAGGGGGTGTTAGTGGATAATGGACATTGTAGCGTAACTTTTAGCTCTTTGGTCCTTTTTCTTTCTTATAAATTAATCCTTGGCTCTCCATCCGAGTCCATTAATATTACATGTTAGTGAATGTGCAGCTGTACAAGTAGCCCTGTGAACTTTAAAACTGGCATGTATGTTCTTTGTCCATGGCTTGTTGTTTATGCATTCATACAGCCTTCAGCAGGAACTGCTTGCAATGTACAGATTGGTGAGTGGCCAGATGTATTTTGAAATTTTTGCATAATTTTGTGGTGGAACAGTTCATTTACGAGTATCTCGTAGTATCTGGGTTTAGGATTCTAAACTATTATTCATGCAATTCTCTGTGCAATGATTTCTTTTACTGGAAATCAGTCTGTCGCTACACCAAATGGGGGTGCTCCGGTGGCATGACATGGAAAGTGTTTCATTTTGACGATATTGCTCTAAATTTCAAAGATGAAGATTACTAGTACAGTCAACTTGGCTAATAACGACTGCGGATATAACGACAATTCGCGAATAACGACAGAACTTCCATGCCCAGAGCAAAGTCCCATCCAACTGTAATACATATAATGAGACTTCGGGTATAACGACACTTCGCGAATAAGGACTCTTTTCTGATGCCCCGCCGAGTGTCGATATATGCGATGTTCACTGTACACTGCCATGTATGTGTGGGAGTGGGGAGGGGGGGGGGGGGGGGGGAGAGGAAGGAGTCTAATTTGTCCAGTATGCAATGCCTTTTAGGCTAAGCAAGTCCTAATCCTACACACTGTGCATGATATCTCCATCTAGATTGTGTGCCAACTCCATGGAGCTCATGGTCGGAATGCCTGGGCCAGTGCGTTGGCGGAGATGATAGCATCGGAGTGCGAACACGGCACAGAGGTGAAGCAACGCCACGGCGACTTCTTGGTCAGGACTGTCATCCTCTGATTGAGCAGAAGCCTTGCCAAATTCTGAACTGCACTATTGAAGGTAAACAGCAGGACTCCTGTGAAAGTCTTTATGGTTAAATCATTCTTGTGCGGCTCTGAACTTGCTACATACTGTATGTTCTGGAGCATAAGCCACGTTTTACTTTGAACACCAGCAATTCACCCAAAAACAGTCGATACGGCTTGTAGAGGGGACGGTTTCAAATAGGACACAGGTTGCAAACCGGAACGGACTCAATATTCACTTTCTCTCTTGGTATTTTGATTAGAAGACATATGTCACAGTGAGACTACGATGTGTTATACTCCGAGCCAAAATTTCATGGCTCTGCGATGACCAGAAGCGCCATATCAAGCAGGTGAGTTTTTGACGTGTTGCTTCGCACTGCGACTTGAGTTTTACGACTTTCGAAAAATCAACTTCTTGTCGCAGGTAAACAGCGGCTCGCCTCTCGCCAATAAAGCACCGCATACCAATCAAAACTAATGGAAGCACACACAAGGCTTATTGTTACTCTGTACTGGCCGTCGTGGAGCGATAGCAATTACCTAATTTCAGACCCAGAGTGAATTTGACGTGCACTCTAAAACGTGTCCGGTTTGGAGCCACCTCTGATTTGAACTTTTTTGAAGCGAAAAATTGGGCAACTTGGAGGCAATGGGTCAACACAAAGGAGTGGCTCAGTTCGATTGACTCTGGCCCCAGAGCAAACTTCAACATGCCAGTTTCCTTCCACAAACATATTTCGAGTGAAAAATCAACGCTGATGATCGGTTTGGGTCTATACAAATTTGGCTGTCAAAGCGTCCCAGTATCGAGCCGTCTCCTCTACTACGATGGTCAACTGATTAACAGTAATAAACAGGGTACTGTAAAAGCCATATATTATATAATGAAGTGCTAACTCTAACGATTTAACGAGGAGAAATCTGTCGTTAAAATAGAAATCGTTATACAGAAATCGATACATATACTGTCCTATTGAGCGTTGAGAATGAGTGAGAATCGTTACCTTTGGTACACGTAAACTAGTCAATTTTGGGAAATCATTGTATATGCACCTCGTTAGAATAATGGCTTAAACAGGGTAGATGCCTGCATTGCGGGATGAAAAATCTGCGTGTGGCTTATACTCCAGAACATGCGGTAAACCGTTCTCCGATATCGCCTGCAATTCTTTGTGCTTTCCAGGAGTTTCCAGCGGACCAACTGTTATGCCTAGTTCTACAGTGCATGTGTCACCTGACCCTACCATCACCTTCCGTCCAACAACCTCTGCTGGTACAACAGACAATGCTGATCCTGCCTACCTGGTTGTTCATATTCCAAACACCACGTCATGTGATGACAGCATTATTGTCATGTACACACTGCTAGTCTATAGTCGGGTCTCAGGGACGCTGTGGACGCGGAAGAGCATTCCGCCTCTGTCACTAGGCCAGATTGCATCATTGGAGCTGGCAAGTGTAGCTGGCAAGACCAGTGGTGAATATACAGCTGTTGTAACAGGAGAAACGGCCGATGGGACAACATGCAGCCTTGCTGAGTATACCAGATCCTATCCATTTCAAGGTATTGTAGGGTCTTGTGCAGTTTGTGCACCACCTGGTGAAATGCTAATGGCTGGCATTCTCTGATGCATTTGATTGCGACTGCATTGTGCGTTTGGAAGCCTCGTCGAAATATTGTAGATAATTCTAAGGTCTCGTTTTCTGATTTGTAGGATACTCCGTGGCATCATTTTAGAAACAACCACCATGGAATGCTGAGAACAGATTTTTCACATGTTTCATGCATTGCTTTCGCTGCTGCTTTGCAATTCTCCTCATTGCCCTGCAGATGTTTGCCTAGGTGCTGTGGTGAAGGGAGGTACGAAATATGTACAAACTCACATGCATGATCCAGTTGCGATGGACATAGTATTCGTGATGGAGAATACGAGAGGCAAGGAACAGTATCACAGCTGGGTGAGCGTTTACAGCAAACAACTGGAGGCGAATCTAACAGGTATGGGCATTGGATCTTCTGCAGAGCATTCCAATCTCTACTCAGTGGTCGAGTTTGGTGGTACCACTGAGCCAAGACTGATGAAGCTGAATACAAGTGAGGAGGTGCTTGTCCGCCAGGGAAGCATCGGAAATCTTGTTGCGCAACTTCAGCATGAAGGAGGAGGCCATCAGCTTGATGGATATAGTGCATTGAGCTATGCCATCACCAACGCACCATTCCGCCATGCCGCAAACACTCGATCTGCTATTGTTTTCGTGACGGACGAGGATCGTGGAGTGGAGTCGTACACGGGTGACATTGACACAATTGTGCAGGAACTGCGACGGAAAGACATAGCATTGCAGGTACTTGTTGATACTCAGTTTAGCATCAATGGTGAACATGATAGTGATCGTCCGGTGTTTGGCAATGGTGACCTTGGTGCTTACCGGTACCTACCAGAAGAGAGGCGGGCTGTATTTCTCCCTTCTGCAAATGTTGCCTCATATCTTCCCTTCGCCAATGTCGAGCAGGATTATATTCAACTTGCTGAGAAGATGGATGGCATGACGTGGACCATCTTGCCTCTGTCCTATGCTGATGATCATATGTTGGTTGCAATTGCCGAGGCAGTTGCCGATTCTCTACATATTCACGTCAGTCGGACCAGCAATCGCTGCCTGCAGTGTGTATGCTCTGAGCAGCACGGACATGCTACACAAGACCAGCAGCAAGACAACCAAGGACCCAGGTTCGAATGCTTGCCCGACTCCAATCCTGAGAGATGTGTTTGTGAAGCCAGCGATGGGCAGGTACAGTGAATTGTCAAATCTCAAAGTTTCGCTTGTTCATGTAGGAAATGAAGAGTTTAACTCTGAGCTCAGGCAGAATAGACTATGTAACTGTTTAATGCCTGCAGTGTAGAGTGAAATCAGGGTGTTTGTGCATATGTATGTTAGAAAACCTGCAAAAATGCACATTTCGAGAGGTACTGAGGTACTGCAGAGAGCGGCTTCCTTGTGAGGCTTGACGGAGACATGAATCTGATTGTGATTTCGGGTTGGGGAGAGGTACAGCGGAACTAACCTACAGTGTAGCATGTTCTTGAAAAGGTGTACACTTACTAAGTATGGGTATTGTCCAGGGCATCATAGAGTGCGGTATTACTCCATTGTCCAGGGCATCATAGAGTGCGATATTACTCCATTGTCCAGAGCATCATAGAGTGCGGTATTACTCCATTATCCAGGGCATCATAGAGTGCGGTATCACTCCATTGTCCAGGGCATCATAGAGTGCGGTATTACTCCATTGTCCAGGGCATCATAGAGTGCGGTATTACTCCATTGTCAAATATGATTGTTGAAAGAGTACCTTTGGATAATAAGTGTACTCTCTTGTTCCCACGCGAGTACATCTTGTTAGAGATCCCCCGAAATAACAGTTGCCTTGTTGTCTATTGTTTATCTTTGCTATTGCGTACAGTTCAAGTCCACTGCTAGTGCAGCAGATAAGTGCAGAGTGACAAGAGGTATGTTATGCATGTTCTAGTACTATTAACATTTTTACTTTGCAGCTTAAAAGCTTTGGCGGACTTGCCGATCACTGTGGCCCAACAGGTTAGAGTTTCCTAGTTTGGCCTTCAGCTCCTGAGTTTTTCAGTCTCACTTACACCGAGTTTTTTCTTCCAGGTTCTGTCACAAAGCACATTTGAAAGGACAATGTGAACAGATTTTTCGCTCAACTCTCGAGCACTGAAGGGCTGTAGTAGAGGTTCTATACAGCTAAGCATATTATACCCGGAAACCTGTCACCGTATGCACTTTGCTTTTTCTGCAGATTGCGTGCTGAGCGAGTGGGGTAACTGGGGTAGTTGCAGTGTCACCTGCAACAACGGGACCAGCCTTCGCAAACGATCAGTGCAGCAACAGCCTACTGGCCATGGTGCAAGATGCCCTGGCCTGGGCGATGCACGGCAATGTGTGATGGAGAAATGCGGTAAGTGAAACTGATATACCAGTACATTGCAAATAGGATATCCCAGTACATTGCGAATCTAATATCCCAGTACCGTATTGTGATTGTATCAATTAACATGTTCAGTTCCAGTGATCTTCTGCTGTAATTGGCTGCTAAGATCCGTTTTCCAAAAATCTATCTTCCTCCTGACTTTCAAAATGAAAGCAGATACGATCTCATACAGGGGTACTGTCAAGAGTGCATAAACCAGGATATGCAACTCCGCATCTATACTGCGTAAAATCAATCCTACGACCAAGTTTTTTTAAATTATTTAGGTCATCATAAATCATAGAGATCCCGTCAAACGGTAGGCTCGGTGCTAAATTACCGTATCCAAGACTAAAATGATTACCGGAAATTAGAGTGTGTTTTCGTATAGGTGAGTCCCTGTGATCTTTTGGCCATGGCACATCTGCTGTGAATGCTTGCACCTATTTTGTTGCCCTATGCCTCGCTAGGCCCGCTGAATCCATGTATGAAACTCCTCACTCTTGCATACACACACCGCTGCCTCTGTAACACTACTGTATATAATCAGATCTTGGCTGTTCATCCGGTATTAGTTGTCTGAGGGTTGCCTATGGGCATGGAACTTGAAGTTAAAACGAATGATGCATGGTGCTCTGTGTCGTGTTTTGCCCTATGTTTGTGTAGATATTGACTGTGAAGTTTCCGCTTGGTCACCATGGGACCAGTGCTCCGTGACCTGTGCTAGTGGACAGCAGACGAGAGCACGGCAGATTACTGTGCCTCAGAAAGGCATTGGCTTGCCTTGTCCTCCACTTGCGGACCAAAGAATCTGCACAAAAGTGGTTTGTCGTGAGTTGCCATTTGTGATGTTTGACAGCTTGGATAGCTTTGGATTTTGTTTGGTTTTTACTTTTTAGGTAGGGTGCCAGAACGTATATAAGAAAATATTGAGCTGCCTTGAGTGCAGAGTACCGTGGCTGAGTTTATAGTGCACTCACTGGTATGCATGTGGCTGACTTGAAACATGGCACAACTGGAATTAATGAGCGGCACCAGGCATGCAGCTTGGTGTGAAAGATGCTGTGAAATCTCTTTTCAAATGATTTTCTACATACTAGTGCCAAAGGAGGGCTTTTAAGAAGGAGGCTGCGTGTGCTCCTGGTTAGATACAATTTAATATGCGTTGTACATAGACTGGAATCAACATCATTGTGCTTTCTCCTGTTGCAATTGTCATGTTTTGCTGCTCCTGCCGCGGATTGTCGCAGCTGTAGACTGCGTTGTTGGTGACTGGACTAGATGGTCATCTTGCAGCAAGTCATGTGATCAAGGCATACGGACGCGCACACGACCGATCACTGTGCAGCAGGTTGGTAACGGCTTGGCTTGTCCCAATCTACTGGAAACACAGCACTGTCTTCATGAACCGTGTGGTAAGTAATCATCCTAGACGGCGGCTTGCTAAGTTACTAGTATGCCTTGTTTCCACACTTTACCTCCAGAAGTGTATTATCTTTCACTACTAGGCAGCCAGCCTTACTGAAAACTTCACCTAACGTCATGTTTTACGCTGTAATGTTTGCACTTTGCTCTCCAGACTGCATAAAAGCTCCTCTGCATGCTCTTAAAATATATACAAAATAATGTGTATGGACAGATAGTATGTGTTTGTCTCCATAGCTTGGGTGGGTACTACTTTTTAGCAATTGAACAGTTGGTTTTGAAGCCAAAATGTGATGTACAGTAAAACCTGTAACTAAAGACCGGCACCGTGACTAGCGACCGGCCTGGTACTACCGACCACTTTGTCAGGCACGGACGGTCTCACATTCAAAATGCACTGTGACTAGCGACTACCTGCTGAACGCGACCAGCGACCGCCTTTTCTTGTCCCAATGTCGAATTTTGACCCGTAACTAGCGACCGCGATGTAGCAAATCAAGCATTGCTTGAAGCTCCTTCTCAAAATTTTGATGATTTTCCATGGTCGTTTCGATACTACAGCTGGACAAATGAGCGCAGTCTCATTTTTACTGTGGAATCAGTGTGGATTGCACTACACCTGTCATAATTTCAAGTGCTGTCAAGAACAAACATGATAGGAAACGTCTTGGAGAGCGCATCCAAAGCGCTCTTTGATCGATGTTACTACTCGAAGGAGAAACTAAGACTGAGCGGCTCTCTGTCAAAGTGCAATCACACAGCTCAGTCACCAGACTCACCACTACACCAGGTCACACTGACAGTCTGTGCTGGCTAGCTAGCATGCTACGGTATTATGTACTCACGTACGGAACACAGGCCAGGATACGATGGCGGATAATAGTCTACAGTGAAAGGTGCGAAAACTCGCAACATCGCTGGTCGTATCGCTTCCGGTGTACAAAAAACTTGATTTTCTCTCTCTCCAAGTGTTGTATGATCTGAAAAAAGAATGTCAGTGCGCAAGTGGTGGGGGATTGTATTATCTGCATTTTGACATACATATCATATAATGGGATCCATATATGGTCGCGCGGTGCAAACCTCTCACTAAAGACCACCTGCCACTAACGACCACTTTTCCGGGCACCAAGGGGTGGTCGTTAGTTACAGGTTTTACTGTATTTCCGGACCATTTAACACTGAAGCACGTGCTTTTATTGAACCAACTAAACTTGGTGAAGCTCCTACAGTACTGTCGGGCGTCAAAGAACTGGGAGGGGGGGGGGGGGGGGGCAGGGTTCTAGCCTAGCCCATTCTTACTTCGAAGTATTTTTTAGCGAACAAAGCAGCTTCGTTCTTTTTCGATGGTACTGTCTTACATGTACATCTATGCCGAGTTATACATCTGTATGTACATTAAAGTGTACATTACGGTTTCCATTCTTATGTGCAAAATTCCAGCCTACACTGTTCTTAAAAATTGGTGAAATCCTAGCCTGGCCGTTCTTCGGCGGTCCATTCTTCGGCGGTCCGTTCTTCGGCGGTCCGTTCTTCGGCGGTCCGTTCTTCGGCGGTCCGTTCTTCGGCAGTCCGTTCTTCGGCGGTCCGTTCTTCGGCGCCGGACAGTACTGTATCAGTGCAACACTAGTCTGTCGATTAGGTCTTAGATCGTATTGTGGTGACATGAGCTCAGTAGATCGTTGTGGTGACATGAGCTCAGTAGATCGTTGTGGTGACATGAGCTCAGTATCTGCAGTTGCAACTCTCACATAACACAATAGCTGTACAAAGTGTTAACGTATGTCAATCATGGCTCTACTTCATGTATTTCTACCCATGATGCTTTCGTTGACGGTCTTCTGTAACAGTCACGCTAATTCCCATTGCCAGCCATTGTCTTTGCTAATCACTCTGCAGTGTGTTATGATGAACCTATGAAGTACAAGTATATGGAATGTATGCGTGGGTTCACTTGTATTATGAGTCGGCCCATGCATAAATTCCTCGCAGGTTCATGTGCACTTTTTTATATTTATTATAATTTTATTTACTAGATGTCTCTGTGTCAGCGTACGTGTGTGTGTGTGTGTGTGTGTGTGTGTGTGTGCACGGTGGCACATGTGCCCGTGTGTGTGTGTGCACGTGTGTCCATGGTGGAACATGCGCCCGTGTGTGTATGGGCGGGGGTCCGTTTGCCGCTCTAGATGTAAACTGTGAAGTTAGCAACTGGAGTCGCTGGTCAGCGTGCAGTCAGTCATGTGACTCAGGACTGACCGCTAGAACTCGCAATGTAACAACACAACAAAGGGATGATGGAACACCTTGTCCTGATTTGGAGGAGATGAAGAGCTGTCAACTACGGCCCTGCGGTGAGGAGAAATTGAGAAGTTGAGCTGATAAAGCATTACAGGGGAAGTGTACCCTGAAAATCAAATTTTAAACCATTGTAGTCTTCGGGGTGCTGAGTCGAATGATCTGCCACTTCCGCCGAAACTGGGTGACTGCGCCCTACTAGATGGGGGTTTGTATGCAAAACTTTGCGTTCTCGGATCAAACTGACCAGTCGACTCAGCATCCAAAAGACTACATGTTGGCCAATCGCGGTTATACGTGCTTTTATAAGAACGAAATGGCGCTTTTAGTGACATTCTGCATACGAATCCCCATCTAGTAGGGCGCAGTCACCCAGTTTGAGTGGAAGTGGCGAGTTCGATTGGGAATAAAGGAGGAAGGGAGCGTCTCAGCTTCCTCGGACCAAGACCATTCGACTCGGCACCTGGAAGACTACAACTGGTAAACATTTGATTTTAGGATATACTTCTCCTTTAATATTAAAGGACGGATGACCGCAATTGACCCATATGTTGTAGTCTTTTGGACGCTGAGTCGACTGGTTTTGGTCCGAGAAGATTGCGATGCAGCGTTCGGCCCTTATTACCAATCGAACATGGTTGAATAAGCGGCCACATGCTCATGCGCACACCGATCACCTGGTCACCGTGCCTGCAGGGTACAACGTACAGCCTATTTGGGCGCGTTCCTGTAACTCGAGTTGAACCATGGTGTGAAAGTTGTACTTCAAGTAGCCTGCAGGCACGGTGACCAGGTGACATTTTATTTATTTCACCTTCCCGTGGCCAGAGAATATAGGCCAATATGGAGGGAGGGGGGCGGTAGCCAGCCATGGCTGTAAACAAAAACAAAGCAAAAATAAATAAATACTACACATTACTGGAGGCAAAGAGAAACAAATCTGGATGAAGAATTAGCAGTTATTAGAACACGAGCTTCATGTTGGCCTTGAAATCCTTTAGCGTACAAGACGATTTTACTGATAGAGGCAGGGCCAGCCAGAGAGAATAGGCAGCGAAAAACAGAGATCTGGTATAAGCTGAGGTTCGGGCTTTAGGTAAAGTGCAGGGATTGCGCGTAAGACGAGTGGGAAGAAACCAGTTATATTTACGCAAGTGTGGCGGGGCTTTGTCAAGACGAATAGAATGAACAACGATACACAGTTTTCGATCCTCTTGACTAGAGATAGGGAAGGTGTTAAACATATCATACAGCTCGGCAGAAGGAAAGTATAATGGTTTGCGGAAAAGGACTTTCAGTATCCTCTTATTGTGGACTTCCAGACCATATTAAAGTCCTGGTGGTGACAGTCAATTTTTTCTTCACAGACTTTTCCCGTTTGTCTCTTTCCCTCAAACCAGTTAATTCATATTAAAATTATTTTCTTTGCCATAATGTTAATCCTTGGCTCTCCATCCAAGAAACATGTTGCCTGAGAAATCATTTCTTATTGCTACGCTCGGCTAGCGAGAAATATAACAATAGTTCTGGATATTGTCACTATCCTGTTGTAGATGTGAACTGTGAAGTGTCTGCCTGGTCGCCATGGTCACCATGCCCAGTTACCTGTGGCAACGGCACTCAAATTCGAACACGACTCGTCACTGTAGATCCAGTTGCCAATGGTGACGAGTGCCCAGTGCTTGAGTCATACCAGTCTTGTCATCCCCGTCTGTGCGGTGAGTTTGGGCAATGGTTGATACCTGATATAAATGCCATAGGGACATGTTATCACATGCCTTATGGAAACAGACAGCGGCATCTGTCTTACAATCATATCAATCCTGATGCCATGTCATGTTGTGTTCGTACTCTTCTTTTTATGATGTTTTGGATAATGTGGTATTTTTCAGCTTCAACATGATGTAGTATTGTGCTGTTATCGATGTTTTCAAATGGTAAAGCCTCGAATTTATGCTATATCGAAGACTAGACATCATAATATTTGAATGGCTACCATTTTGTGGTCAATCCGTTGAGTATCACCCCTCACTGTAAGAAAGAAAATTAGTATGATTGCCCTGGCTATTGTATGATTGCCCTGGCTATTGTATGATTGCCCTGGCTATTGTATGATTGCCCTGGCTATTGTATGATTGCCCTGGCTATTGTATGATTGCCCTGGCTATTGTATGATTGCCCTGGCTATTGTATGATTGCCCTGGCTATTGTATGATTGCGCTGGCTATTGTATGATTGCCCTGGCTATTGTGCGCTTGCTGGCATTATACCTGTCCTGTTGTAGATGTGAACTGTGAAGTGTCTACCTGGTCACCATGGTCACCATGCCCGGTTACCTGTGGCAGCAGCACCCAAATTCGAACACGACTTGTCACCGTGGATCCAGTTGCCAATGGCGACGAGTGCCCAGTGCTGGTGTCCTACCAGTCTTGTACACCTCGTCTGTGCGGTGGGTTTGTGCAAATGATTGCTACAGCACTTTGATGGAAACTATAGAATCTGTGTTCAGCATCCACCTCAATAAGATGCCAACTGAATTTATTGGAAGAGAACCGTAATCGTAGACACCGCACCATGTCACAGTATACCGACATGCACATTTGAAAACACATCAAGTAAAGCCTGCTTGTCAGTGCTTGTCTATATGACCAGTTTGATTGGCGATGGGCAAAGTCGTTGGAGTTGACTGCACTTGATTAAAACAGGGTGTTGTATGCTTGGTTCTACATGTACGTGTGTGTGCGTGTGCTCTTGTGTGATTGCAGTTCTGTGCAAAGGTCTCTACGAAGAAGGAGAGCGATTGCAGCAAGTGGCATTGGCCACCCGACCTTTAGCCAGTGACGTGGTGTTTGTAGTGGATGAGACCTATTCCATGGCTGCAGAGCATGTATGGTTACGGGGTATTGCTGAAAGCTTGGATGACATGCTGCAGCTAAAGGGCATAGGCAATGACTCATCATTGCCTAATCGCTATGCTCTGGTGGGCTACGGGCAGCGTGCAGACAGGCCGCTGCTACTCAGGCCACATCATTACCGAAGGAGCGGCTCCAACAGTGACTTTCTGACGCCAGGCGAGTTCAAGAGTGTGGCAGAAGAGAAGCTGCAGAATGACCCTCAAGGCAGAGTAGAGGATGGCTACCTGGCTATACACTATGCCCTGAATCAACTGTCACTAAGGCACAGCTCGCAAGTAGCTGTACAAGTCATTCTACTCAGTGATGAAGACCGAGACATCATTCGTCCTGACGGTGAAAACATCACCAGGTCTGCACTGCGCCACCAACTGCGACAGGCTGGAGACTATCTGAACGTCATTGTGGATAATTCTCTCTTCGTTGATTCTTCAGTAGCGCTTGGCGGTAGCCGCCAGGTCGCCTATCAAGACAGTACTCTACCTACGCCCATGAAGACAACTGCAGAGATGACAGTTGGTCCCGGATTTGGTGGAACCAGTCACGAGTACGTCCGATTGGCTTTGAATGAAGGCGGCACTTCATGGGATATCAACTACATTCAAGCCAGTGGTGATGCCTTCACTGCTGCATTCCTCGATGCCATCGTTGAACAGGCCGTAGAGTTTGGCAACGAATGTCAGAACTGTCAGTGTGTGGATGACGGTGGATCAGGAACCCTTAGCTGCACACGCAACAAGCATCAAGCAAGATGCAAGTGTGACGTGCAGGGCAAAACAGTAAGTACCAGTACTTATCGAATGAGTTCAGTCTTTGTGCAGGGAAGAACATCCTATTCGTGTAAACTGCAAAACTGGGCAGTGAAACGGTGTAAAGTGCCTGATCTGGCGGGCCAACTACTTTTCTAAGTCGTTTCCATGTTGGCTGCAGGAAGAACTCTGCAACATCATCTCTATGTGGCCTTAGCCACAAACGCATGTACTCAGTGAACCAATCCTTCTCTAACCACCCCACCCTATCATTTCCCCGCTCGCCATGTACAGTAGAAGTAGGAGGCAGAAGTGATGGATAGTGTCCTTGTTCAACCCCACATCTCCATGACATGAAGCCCTGTGTGATGGATAGTGTCATTGGTCAATCCCACATCTCCATGACATGAAGCCCTGTTGCGGCATGTTCCATGGGGTAGGTGGAAAACATCTGAACTTTTTCCAGGGCTGCCTGATCACTATTGTGGAAAGGTGGAATGTTTAGTCTCGTTAGTGGCTATCTTCCCTATGGTTGTAGATGGGAGAGAGGAGCGGTAAGGGTGGGGTGCATCAGGAGAGGAGTGGCAGGGGGGGGGGGGGGTGCATCAGGAGAGGAGTGGCAGGGGGAGGTGCATCAGGAGAGGAGTGGCAGGGGGGGGGGGTGCATCAGGAGAGGAGTGACAGGGGGGAGTGCATCAGGAGAGGAGTGACAGGGGAGGGGGGGGGGGTGCACCAGGACATCTGGGCATGAGTGACTTTGCCTGTATAGTCCAGTGGTTGCCAATCACCTTTCATTGCTGATGTTGCTGGTACTGAAGTACGTGTGTGCTGTGCAAATGTGTGTGTGTGTGCATCTGTCCGTCCGTGTGTGTGTGGTGTATGTGTGTGTGTGTGTGTATGTGTGTGTGTGTGTACGTGTGTGTGTGTGTGTGTGTATGTGTACGTGTGTGTGTGTGTGTGTGTGTGTGTGTATGTGCATGTGTGTCCAGTTTTCCACGAACTACAGATGCATGTAACAACCAGTGAACAAGACATTGGCACCGTCTCGGTGATGCCTATATGGAAAGTGTGATCCTCTGTGGCAATATTACCCATAGACAAAAACGGATTGTAGCAAGCTAACTTACATGACATGTAAGCAAACTTCACTTGTAAGTTTGGAGAGTTCCTCACATTCTCAAAACATATTGCACTTGCTGGTACACAACTTGAGTGACACAACATGTGGTGATAGCAAGTGCAACAGCTCAATGACAATATTGACACACACCATTGTAGTCCACCTACAATAATTAATATAGAACTGTGTGTGAAACAAAGGGTACATAGTGAGTCACTACTATAAATAACATAGCAACCATTGTATATACTAGGAACAGTACTTCTCTTTTTAAATTATAGAGCACACAAGACCTCACTCACTCTCTCTCTCTCTCTCTCTCTCTCTCTTATATGCAGTCAGCTTGCTGTTTGAACTGTACTATTTTTTTTAAACAATTACTTTTCACGATAATGGTACGACTCCACTGTAGACAGTACAATCATGTACCGTTCTTTGAGCATTACTTTCTTTCTCTCTCTATATTTCTCTCTCTCCTCTCTCTCTTTGTCTCTCTCTCTCTCTCTCTCTCTCTCTCTCTCTCTCTCTCTCTCTCTCTCTCTCTCTCTCTCTCTCTCTCTCTCTCTCTCTCTCTCTCTCTCTCTCTCTCTCTCTCTCTCTCTCTCTCTCTCTCTCTCTCTCTCTCTCTCTGTTGTTTGCTCTTGCTGGGTGCTTCAGCTCCAACTAATTTGCGCACATCCACTTCTTACAAATTATATGTGTATTTAAAATATCACAAGGGCATGCTGACTTGCTCTTTGACGCTGTACATGTGTATACTCACTCTGTTTACATCTGCCGGAAAAAGTTAGGATTTAAAAATCATTTAATGGTGCTAACGGCTAACGTCTTGAGAAATATAAAGAAGGACACCTCATGCAAACAAATAATTAGCTCGCTGTTTCGTGAGGCCACCAGACTAGTATGGCACTATGGGTTCAATGGAGTTTACTTCTCTGTATGTGTATGTGTACAAGGCTCTTTGCCTTGGCTCGGTTGAGCACTCTTTCTGGTTAGCATCAAAGATATCCACCCTCGTGCACAGCTCGCTGTGTTTATCGCAGTTAGAGCATTCTGACTTTCATGATTTGAGCAGGTCTAAGAATGCATTTTCATTCATCAGACTTCATTTGCGATCGGTCCGACCAGTAACTCTGAGCTCCGCTGATGAGATCTAACAAGATTGAAACAGCTAGATGTCCGGAGATTGAGTGTGAACACGGCTCGGTAGTCAGGTGTATCGAACACTCTCTCCAGCTAGCTACGAAAACTCGCTGCAAGTGTACTCATTACCCTACCGTAATTCAGCGCATATAAGCCCATGGGCTTATACGTACATGTATGTGAAATAATGCAGTTTGGCGATAAAATATCCAGTAAAACATGTTCGTTTTTAGCCCTTGGGCCAATATTCGAATTTTCAAGGTTCAAGAAAAAGTACAAGTCCGTGGCCATAGTGGGTGTACCATACTCTACTGGTAAACTGCACTGACCTGCTGTACCATGGTACTGAGGAAGAGTCCATATTGTGAAAATTCTACTTGCATTTGTGTCTGCTTATTAGCCCATGGGCTTATAAACGGAGGTGGACACGCGAATTGCATTTGTGTCTGTTTATTAGCCCATGTAATGGGCTTATAAACGGAGGTGGGCTTATATCCGGATATAGGACCGTGGGCTTATATGCGCGGAATTACGGTAAGTGCATAGCACGAAGCTGGATTCACTTTTAATGTCTCTCTCGGTTGCTTTTTTTCACAGAAAGACACAGGCTGCAACTACCCCAAGTCCAGCGAACCCCCAACTACCGACCAGTGACTACGATTGTAGATACAATCAGCCTTGACGGCAATGAGAAAAGTGTGGTTTGTTTGTTTGTTCTTTCTTTTATTTGAATTCGTTTAGAGCGCAGGCAATTGGTTCATGGCTTGTCGTAATTCGTGATGTTGAAGTATATTTTTATTTTTATGGAAATGCACATGCCTACATAGAATGGAAGAGAACATAGTGGACTGCAAAGGGTGTGCAGGGCTAGAGGTGTTATAGGCTGTGCAGGTGCGGTGAAGTACGCCCCCCCCCCCCCCCCCCCCTACCAATGGTGTCGGGATCAAGGCGCATCGGGGAGAGAAGAGAGATTGTGTGTGAAAGAGTGAGAGCCTGAGAGCGAGAGAAGGAGGGAGGGGAGACAGAGACAGAGAGAGGGAGAGAGACAGAGATAGAGAGGGCAAGGGGTGGGGTGAGCGAGTGCGTGGGAGTGAATACGCGTTGGTCATTGTGCAGCCCTAGACCTGCGAACACGGACTGCTAAAATAAAGGTGCAAGGCGCAAACTTGACTCATGTGATTGGATTTCATAGACCAGCACTGTAAACGCCGCAGTCAATTGCTATCATGTATCTGTCCTGAGAAGACACGAATTCGGCGATCAATCGTGCGCAACACATACAGTCATTATACACTACTATACTATCATGTACTCTATACACGGTCTATGTAGATCCATGCCCATGCCCATGGAGAAGTCCCTGTATAAACGTAAGAGAGACTGCGATCATGTAGGATACCCGTGTTTCGCGCTTGGCAGAATGCGGTATTGCGGCTGAGAGGCTGTATTCACATAGTGTTGCGGCAGTCGCACAGCGACTCTCGCATCCTGACACTAGCGGACAAGCAATTCCTTCAGAGAGGAAGAAAACACAGCAAAAATACTACAAGATAATTTAAAAAAAGAAACTATGGAACCGAAAAGTGCAACCGCACACGGTTTAGTGCGGCACAGTGCTATGCACGACATTGGTACATGGTGTACATGCGTGTCGAGACATGTCACAACGTTACAAGGCAACGGCAGCACACTGCGGGCGCATCTTCCACCCGTGGCATTTTGCAGTCGCTCAGATCGGCCTTGCAGCGTTTGAAGAGTTTTCCTTTGGGCTTTTAGCCTCTAGGATACGATACCCCATCCTATCAAGAAAGATAATGACTGTACTGTAGTGCGTACAGTGCTGACTACTGCACTACAGTACAGTGTACCGTAGAACGACTGTAGGGAAGGATAGGTAGGGACAATGCTCCCAACGCCAAGGCCTCGACCCTTACTTAGGCCTTAGCAACAGCAAATATCTAGGCCAGATGACACAGGAGATCCTCCTGCGATAGGCTACGGCCTAAAGGAAATCCTGAACTGAAGATATTATTACACGAGGTACTGTACAAGATAGCCAACTCCCCAGTGGCAGTGATCCCAACCAGAATTAGAATACACGGACAGCCTGGAACCTTGCTGGTTTACATGTTCGTCGAAGTACATGTACGTAAAAAAAGAGGAGTGCTCAAGCCACGACGCACTACATGTACATCTACACTCTACTATTGCAGTATCCATTGGTATCCATTGGTATCGGCAAGGGTAAAATAAGCTCCCATGACGTACCCAGACGCTTTTGTAACTTACTCCTGGTTTTGTCTTTTAGACCGTGTCCTGCGCAATCTCCACACCCATACCTCTTATGGTCTGCGAGAGTAGTGTATTCTAATACATCATCACGGTATGTGAATATCCGCCAACCATGCGGGACCGCACGGGGTTACCAACCCATATCAATATCTTCTTCACTTGTGTTCTCAGCTGCACTGTATCATAACTGTGGCTTAGGGCATAACCACGATAGCCGTGTTACTGATGAGTACAATGTCCTGTACTCGGTGCAAGATGTACAACACAGTTTCATCTTCATCCATCGTCACCAGCACATGGATTCTTTACCGTCCCTACTCCCAGTCCCAGGGAGAAGATCATGTTAGTATTTTTAGTTTATTTTACATCGATATCAAACAGACAGTGCTGCTGCCCAATAAGTACTTGAAATATGATTCGATGGCTTCAGAGCAAAGAAAAGTGGCGAAGAGAAAAAGAGTATACCAGATAGTGGTAGCAACTTGGGCGATTATTTCATAGGAAAGGTGCTCCCCAGAGTCCCCACACCGCAGGTCGCGATTTTCCGCCAACTAACTTGACTGACTGGACACTTGACTGGCTCCCGACTGCCATCCAGAGCACGCGAGAAGTCCATCGAACACTCACTAGGCACACCTGAGAAAAGGGGAGAGTGATAAACCATGCAATAATGATTGCAACTGCAATACTGAGGTGATAGCCATTGATACCGTGGGTGAGAACGAAGACGATTGAGACCCATCAGAAGGCTTGAACGTTTGCCTTCTTTACTTAAAAGTGCTACATAGGATAGTCTTCGTCTTCACACAGCTATGCCACATTGATATCCACTGGCGATGATGGCCAAATGTGGATAGCCCTCTTCCTAGCTGCCTCAATCACACTCCCAGTGACGATGCTTAGAACACGTAAACCCATTGCTGCTTTATTACGCCATTGATAATTTGATATTGTGTCAAGATGTCGTTCCACCTGCAAGTGAGGTGCAAGAGAGGAGCGCGGCGCCGCTCTACCCAAGCAGTGTTATGGACTAGGCGGGATGCAAAGCCATGGCCTGTAGGTCTACTTGTAGTCTGTACCTTGGCCCCTAGTGTTTGCCTGGTATGTGTTATACCACCATAACTCTAATGTTCCAGCACTTCTGCAGATATTCAGGAGGGTGGTACGAGTCTCGTATTGTAGAGGCGTTTATCGATGGGGTTCTGCTGTGTTGCGCTATCATTCTGTCTATTCTTTTAAAATAACAATCCCTGGGTTATGATTCGGGGGTAGTAACCCTGGGTTATGATTCGGGGGTAGTAACCCTGGGTTATGATTCGGGGGTAGTAACCCTGGGTTATGATTCGGGGGTAGTAACCCTGGGTTATGATTCGGGTGTAGTAACCCTGGGTTATGATTCGGGGGTAGTAACCCTGGGTTATGATTCGGGTGTTGTAACCCTGGGTTATGATTCGGGTGTAGTAACCCTGGGTTATGATTCGGGGGTTGTAACCCTGGTACATGTTTATATGTACACGTATACTGCCATACTGGCCGTGGGTAACCAGTCCTGAAGGCAGGGTAAAGGGAACCAGTCCTAACCTTCAGGCTTAAAATGGCTAAAGGCAATAGGATGCTTCTGTGCAGGTCAATGACTATGTTTAGACTGATGCAGTACAACTTTGTGATACCGGGAATGGAGTCCCAGTATCTTATCTCTCCATATACAGTGGCATTCGCATTTCTCAATCGATATGCAAGCAGTTGTGACGTGATCAGACCAGCACACAAATCTACGTCGCTTCGTGATCACTACGTACTTGGAGTATGTGATTGTGTAGCACATTGTGCCAGGTTATGATCGTGATGTTGGCTCGACGCCATATTGTCCATGTGCCCAGATACACAAGAGCATACTGACTAGGGTTTAAAGTAGAGACAGACATTCTCCACCATCTCAACACTGATAATGTCTCACTTGTTGGAGCAATTTCCCCGGTTTCTACCAGCCGAACGAGCACGGATATGTCCGCTACAAGCCATGGTAATGGGGCGCGTAGGCTCGTACAAATACCAGTATCGTTTCTGTTGTCCAATTGCCGAGCTGTTGCCGGGCATCAGTATGTATACCAGCCCGGTCGCGGCTAGTTGCGTATTGGTGCGACTGGCATGGTTTTCTCTTTTACGTGCAACCCAGGACGTGAGGTTGCCAGCTTGGAACATGGTCCGCTCTTCAGAATAAACAAAACATCCAGTTGATGACGACGAAGAGCTCAGTCGATCAACCCAGGGCAGGGTACTAGCTTGTTAGGCAACAGTTGAACACAAACTGTTAGGAGCCTTTTCAGTCTCGATAGGTCAGCTGGAGCGCTATCAGTACTCCTAGTGCGTGGTGACACGTTGTGCGGTTTGCTTGGTCTTCGATCGATGGTGTATCGTCAGATTGAGGAAGGTTCCAAGGCAGTATTCGACACTAGATCGTTAGCATTCTTACAGGTAAGTAGAAACAACAGCAGCAACGAATACTGTTACTGCACTGGTAGGCATAGCATAACTTCATAGGAATGCTGCTGCTTATTCTTACTTTGAAGTAGACTTGTAAAACATGCAGTAAGTTGCCAAGCAGAAAGAGGAAAGAGGAAGATGCGACCATTTGCTTGGGTGTGGAATGGTCCAGGCTTTCCTACGGGCTGCAGTAGGACTGTAGACCCGGATTGTGCTTCGGATATTGACTCGTGCGATGCTATGAATGCTTACCCGCCGTTTATATCATTCGAAGTCATAGCAAACAGAGTCACACTCACAGTGTCTTCGCGATGGTTTCATGTACACGTGCTAAGGTTGCACCACTGCGCGCTGCTTTAATGATAGGTGAGCTGGAGAGCAAAGGTGGTATTCTGTCTGGCTGCTGATGAGCTTGGATGGTGATAGCTTGTAGTGCGGTCAGCAGGTGTTCGTATACAACTCTGCACGCGAGCACGCCAACCGCCAGAGTTTCTACATAATATCTTGTTTAGTCGCTTCGCAGGACAAGATTGTCTGAGAACGGACGGAAAGACTAAGCGTCGACCAATTGGCTGCTCTTCCTGTCCGAGACTGAACGCCGACGTAATGTCGCTGAGCTGTGCCCGGTATGCACAACCCGCAAAACAGCTACATGATTACAGTACATATCTGGTGGCGAAGAACTAGGGGTTCAGAGTCGAACCGGTCGTAGCCTCAGGCTAATGTCTGTACAGTTGAGCCACCGTGTGCATAACTTATCCATAAGTGGATCCTGCACTTGGTAAAATTCTAACATGTTCGTTCTTCGGCGCCCGACAGCACTTTAATTAATGCGCTCCATGTACATTGTACACGTAATTATAATGTTCTCTGTGACAAGAATTAAATGCGCCACAAATGCTGGCGGTGTCTCTCTTGCCTGCAGTGGAGCAGACAAAATGGCACCAACCTCTGGGATGCGATGTTTGCAATAAAGTACGCCATCACCAGCATGCTAGGAGGGTCATATTTGGTGTAGGACCCAGGTGTTGATCATGCCTTTGTTCACTTCAAACATGAACGCAATCTTCAATTCACGTGTAGGTTAGCCTAGACTTATGGCTTTAAGCCCATGGATCCTTCCATGAGTGACATGCGAACTGTAACTATTATTGCTATTAGCCTAGACTTGCTGCAGCGAATGGGATTTTCGGTCTTTGACAACTTTGGACCTTTAGTTTGGAGGTGGGTATGATCTACTCACCTCTTTAGGAGCTGCATCTGCGCCTGTATCCTTGAGGGTGGTGGTGTTCCCACGGATGCGGAAAACTCCGTCTGGGCCTTACACCAACCGTGAATGATTCCTATTCTTCAGCTTAGACCAGTACTAGTACATTACACATCTTACGTGTACTTCTATTGGTTAGGTGTGTACTGGCTTACTGGCTAGTCTAGTGCAGGATACTATACATGTCCTGTGACTGTTTACATGTACAATGTAGTACTGTTTCATTATCCTAGTTCGTTGCATTATAAATTTATGCGATTAATAGTATTAGTGAAGCGGACATTACAAAATGATGAATGAGAATACATGTATCTAAAATGGTTGTTCCTAATCGATTTTCTTGAGACTATCATCAGGGAAAATCGTCTCACAATAGAGGCTATACGGAGAAACAAACTACTTATAGGTTATCGGATAGTGGGAAGTATACAAGGTGAGGTGTGAAAAAAAAACTAAACGATTTTCCCTGATGATAGTCTCAAGAAAATCGATTAGGAACAACCATTTTAGATACATGTATTCTCATTCATCATTTTGTAATGTCCGCTTCACTAATACTATTAATCGCATTAATAAAGTTATTGTCTCCTCGTCGCCTTTTCATATAAATTTATGATACTTCTTTTCAGCATACGTACATGTATTCCTCTAAGTCGAACACAGGCATTGTTCGTGTATACTGCGATGCGCTATGGGAATTCAGTGCGCCATTTGAGTTTCGGGGAGGTCGGGGAGGTGGGGTTGATTTCTGCCCGACGATGCACATTATACAACAGATGTGCCCTTCACCCGAGCCTTGCACCAGCATTGCACACTCAGGTGACTAAATACCGCGACGTTGCATGTACTGTCTGTATACCTTAGCCCTACATACTTTCCCTACATGAACAGATACAAGTGCTATTCGAGTAGGAAACCCTGGGTGGCACACCGGCATCCCAAATAGGCCTAAAATGGCGGAGCACATTCCCCGGCAATCGCATACCAGCTTCAGTTCTGACTGTCAGTATCTAAATTTTAATATTAGTACTGGTGGTGTTCAGCTGCATTATCACTTGTGACCGTAGGGGGGATATCAAGGAGATGGTGTGTTTCTTTCCAGGTGCTAACTTCATGCACGGTCTTTAGCCTCGCGGTGTGTCCTTGCTTCAGTTAGCAGACAGTTGTGTAACACGCAGGTCTTACACAACACAAAGCAGCAGCGTAACGCAGCTGGACGGCGGAGGATCACACGCTGCACTGCCTTCAGATCAAATTGAAGCTCGACGCGTTCATGTAGCGAGGCTAACCTGCATAGTAGCCATTGCCATGAACATAATTTATGTCAGAAGCCGATCGTGGCGTCAATACCTCCTTCAGTTCATTCTCCTAATATCAGTTGAAGCAGGTTGTACACGAATGCGAACGTGAAATGTTCTCGCAGTAACCCTAAGCCTACCTAGAACGTCCAATATCACTTGGCTAAGTTGTGCAGGATTGTATGTACACAAATGCTACACAAATACAAATACAAATACAAGTTTTTAGATCCGGCTCTGAAGCGTACTGTGTCTGTTTTTATCTCTTCTGTTCATCTTCTGCAGAGCTCTAACAAAGCAGGGAGTGTGCGCGCAACACCTGGTGTGTGGAAGAACATCCCATCCAGCTTACTGAGAGACCAAAACCATCGACGAATATCCCACCTTAAACACGACTGGTTGTGTGCGATACCAGCTGTACCAAGCCCACGGGCGACACACCAGTATCCTACTATTCCTAGCCTGGGATCGGGGCACAAAGCCGCGACGGCGACGTTACACGAAACGTGGAAAGTTTTCACTCGAGTGTGGCCCGCGTTGCTAATAAGGCAACGTCGGGTGTCCTGCGGCGCTCCCCGTTGGAAGAAAGCGGAAGATCCCGCCGCAGACCTTTCCTGCTTCTCTCCCTGGCATAGATCTTGATCACGCTGTACGCTGTGCATTGGTGTCTAGCGTGACTAGGTCAACCGTCAACCGTTTTCAGTGAGATTGCTATGCAGTATGTAAAGCTGTAGCGCTGTATATTTCATTAGGCTAGTTCTCCAGCAGTGCCCAGGACTGGCAAGCCTGGCAAGACAGTAGTCCTGTGGAAACTGAGTATCCTTGTCAGGAGACGACCCAGCTGCTGCTGAGCCTGAAGTAGTAATAGTAGGTAGCAAGAAACAAGCAAGGGTGTTTGCCAAGCAAGACTCCATCAGCAGGAACTCCGTGTAACAGCAATGGAGGCACCATGCGGTGGTCTACACTCGTTTCTGGCCAGGGTGGTGTGCTGGTTGTCTGCGAGTTGTATAATGGCGTGTGTAGGACAGATTGCCGACAATGAACGCATTCTTCAAACCAAACGACCTCCGTCTCAGACAGATGTGGTAGATTCCTTATTCCACGACCATGCCCAGTCTCTGTTGGACCCTGTAACTGGTGAAGGTAAGGGCCATAACGGAGATCTATCGGTGACTTTACCACCACGTCCACTGGACTACGTCAGGTTCGGCCAGGGTCACGGTGCGAGACCAACCTTTGACTATGGACATATGGGAGGAATGATCGGAGTAGGGTATCAACAAGGGGAGCTCAACTTACTACCTGCTGAGGGTAATGCAGCAGCAACAGCTGAGACGAAAAGAATGGGTAACAACCAACCAAGACTTCCTCCAATGGAGTCTATAGCTGCGGGAGATGCCAACGGACAAGGTAGTGCAGGTAGTAGTAGTAGTAGTCATCGAGCCATCAACACTATTCTCAACAGTGGAGCCAATCATGGTACCATACCGGGATTAATACAGGAACAATGGAGTCGTGGTGGCAGACTGAACCTGACATGCCAGCACGTCCTATGGCCAACGCATCTTCTGGAGTTGTGTGACTTCGACCCGTTGTATCGCATCGTGGGTCAACGTCAACCCAGTGTGCAAGAGTTGCTCAAACTTACACGTCATTACGCAATGATTTACGCCCAGATACGCTCTCAGACGACTGAACTCTGCGCCGACGCTGCCGTCGAGCATATCTGCCATCAGCAAGTACCGCGCTGCGAGCAGAGTGCTGTGAATTCCGTCACCGGCATGGCCGTCTGGAGTATAGAGGGTGTGAACACGCAGTGTTTCAACGTCCACCGATACTGCCACTCTCCGCAATCCAGGAGAGTTCTCAGCGAGATGAAGATCTGTACCGGTGGTGGTGACGTCATTACGGGACGGTATGAGCTCAATACGTGCAAGCCCATAGCAAATTCTGCAATGGGTGCTAGAAGATCGCGCATGCCTGGAGGCGTGGGAGGTGCATTTCGACCCGGCTTTGGTCAGCAGGCGAGAACTACTTGCACTTCCAGCGTTGCACCAGGTATACGGGTGCCCGACTTTCAGATACCGTTCTTCCAGATTCATCGCCAAATGAATGCACAGCTCATGCAATTGCAGCGAGCAGCGGCACAGGGTGCTTTGCCACGGGTTTGTCGGCAACTTGTCCAGCAGTTTACCTGTACACCTGAACAACAGTGCAGTGCGGATGGCAGACGGATGGTCTCCGGGAGAAGCAAAGAACAATGTATGGCGGTGAAGACGTGGTAAGAACACATTACACAAGTCATGGTGGGGGGGGGGGGGGGGGCGAGGGGTTGAGCCTCATGGCTTTTAAATTAAGTCGCTTCTCCGATAGATCGATCACCTTCTCACATGAGGAATGTATCGTTTAATGTATAGGGAAAGGGGAGGCGATAGCTCATATACATATACAATCATGTATACTGTCGTGAATTCCAGCAGAAATCCAAGAGAGCTCGATACCGGGAAGGTAGAGCCGTGACACACTAGTCAGAACAACAGATGGCTTGATCAGTCACAACTTCAAGTTTCATGCCATCTCAGGCACTCATCAGGTGATACAATCATGTACATGTACGAGTAACACAAGGCACAGTGACATCCGATCCACGCCACTGGCGAGTGGAGAAACCTTGCATTTTACTATTCCCAGATACAATCATGCAATACCGTCGTATGAATCACTATGGTTACAGTATTACAGTATGTACAATGCAGTGTCTGACTGGGTTTGCCAATTTCTGAGGAGATGAAAACTCAACGCAATGTACAAAACGCAGCATATGGAGATGTACTGCTGTATACATGTACGAGCATGTACAATGCACATGTTCATTTCCTTCTGCGGTACTACTAGAGTGAACGTACGTACTAGTGTGTACTAGTGTGTCGTGGGCATAGCCACTACTAATATTCGACTGCATGACTCCTGTGATATACAATTAGCTGTAAGTGGACTGACCACCAATGTTCAATGTACATGACATACATGTACATGTACATGTTATGACAGTCCACACACACATACGGCATGAAGGAGGTTTGTAGAGGTTGGTCGCAACTCCAGCAGTCCAGGTTTTTTGCTCAATGGAATCATCAGGCGACTTACCCTACTCCGCTGGCGACAGGGAACCTCTTTGTTAGGCCCTCCATGTGCACTGCTCTAGCACTCATGATGGTGATACGTAACGTCGTTACTGGTCATCTGCTGCATGTACATGTATGCTAACTACATGTGTTTGTGGGCAACATCACGCAGAGAAAACCTACATGTATGGGGATGCAGTATGCATTGGTATGGCTGTTGGGTATTACTTTTGTCACGGAGAAACATGTTTTACGTGTATGTGTGACTGTGTTCAAGTCACGGTTTCACTGATTCTAATTAACGTTACTTTGGAGGTTGTGTGGAGCCCAAAGCTTGCACGCACTAGTACCGGTAGTGGTAGAGCAGTCGACTCTGTTACACGTACACACCCGAAACATTACATGTGTCTATTGTATTGCACTTCATACGCGATGTTGTGAGAATGAGAAGTGGTAAACTATAGCTTCAAGCAGTTGTATGCTTCGTCCCAACATGGCGAAAACAATGTACAGTTGGTGTAGTGTAACTCTCATCCTGTGTATTCACGACATTCAACTAAGTAGAGAAGAGACATAACACTTACAAATGAATATACTAGTAGAAGGTCAGTTAGGCTGACGCCAGATTGAGATCAGCAAGACATACACACAGTAGTTAAACACACATGGTGATAACTACAATCATCATGTACACGTATGCAACTCCCACAGTGATGGATAATAGTCACTTCATAATAATAGGTGAAAGGCCCTCTGATGCGAACCGTTTTCTCAATACTGTACACTGCCATGCATTGTAGTCACTAGCCATCACCATGCATGTGGACATACTGACCCTTGAAAAGATCAAAGCAGTGGGTGAATGTGGCCCGCTCAAAGCCCACGCATACCAACTAAAGCTGTCGAGTCATCTCAGGTGCACGTGATATTTTCAATCTCACACAGTCAGGCCATTGAACACGGATATACCTAAATGTAACTGAATTCCATTCCCTCAACTAAGGCTTATGATTTTGTCACTTCAATTAGTCGTGATTTGTTTTGTATTCACATTCTCCTTTAACGCCGTGTACCCATGTGATGCTAGCTGATTGCCAATATACATATACATATACATTTACATTTACAAGCCCTTTTTTACCAGAAACCATGAACCTCGAGAACAGAATACTGCATGATAGAGGTGGTTGCAGACGCAACTGTGGTGGTGAAACTGGAGCATTTCCGTCGACCTGAGATCTCAGCTTCAGCGACACTTCAGTGCACCAAAAAGTGGGGAGGAGTAGGCACAAGGGGAGGGGAGGGGGGGGGGGAGTGCATTTGTATAGAGGGTGGGAAATGGAAAGATGATACATGTGATAGAGTAAAAAGGGGAGCCAGTGTGCAAGCGGAGAGGGTGTTCAGGGAGGGTTCAGAGGGCATCTGTGGCTGAGTGCCAGTCTCGACTGCGGAGAGACTTGTAGGCGCCTTCCTTGAATGCCTGCATTCCCTTCTGCGCACAATGCCAGGCAATGAACACTATACTCTATACAGTACTCGCATCAAGTGTTACTCATGTGATCATGTGATCATGTGATCATGTGTCCATCCATATGATTCTACACAGTAGCCCGCATTTCAACACTTTTTTAGCACTACTTCGAAGTACATTCATGGATAAATGTACATAATTGAGTGTGTACAAAATCATGTTCTCTACTTTGCCCTGCAGCTTACAGCAGTCTATGTTTCATTTCGCAATCGACTGTGGATCACTTCCAAGTAAACAAAGGTAAAACTGAATTCTCGATTCTTGCTCAACTCAGGAGTTATGAAACTCCTCAATACTCCTCAAGCTATGTTATTGCAGCCACCACGTGTGCAGTGTACATTCAAGTGGCGTGAACTGTCTGCATTCCAGTGATGATCTAGTTAGTACTCAGCTTCAATTTGCTGGAGGAAACTATGTTTCGATCTCTTTCGAATAATTATGTGTATCCGCGGAGCCATCCCGCCCTACCAGCTCACCGGCATGTACAAAGATGGCATTCTCAACATAACTTATGCTCAGAAATCTTAATGACTGTGACTTCTGAACAGACATATTTCCCTGTATAGTAGCAGAGATTCGCCCACTGTGCGCAGCACTCCTGGACATTACCCAGCAATTTTGAAATTCCATGGCTTATCATGAGGCTGCAGGCACACAGCGATTCTGTCTTGCCGCAGTGAATGATGAAAACTAGCATTAGAATGCTGCGTGTACGCCTGCAGGTATTGGCCGATGTGATACGTTCCTAAACATTGACTAATATGCATGCACAGAATGTGTGTGTGAGTGGGGGAGGGGGGGGGGGGGGGGGACTGCAGTGCAGACACATTCGACTAGTAGTACATGACTGTTTGAGTATAATACTCTGTCTCTCGAATCCTCTAATGGAAGAAATATTTTAAGCTAGACTGCAAATATAATGTAAACTTATTGCGATTGATGTTGTCGCTCGTTGTTCCTTTCAGTGTGGCTGAACTCGACTTGAGGCCGTCCAGACACGGTTCAGCTATTGGCATGAAGAAAGTGAAAGGTCCGCGGGGATTCTTCTTCTCCTCGGCGCCCAGACATGCACTTGATTACCCGTTACCTGTCCTTGCCGTGGCGTTTGTGCTGTCCTTCCTTGCCACATGATGCATTCCACCGCCGTATGCCTGCTCTCCTGATGTCCGGCCTGGAGTGGATCAATTGCAGACAGGAGCTTTGTGATAGTGCTCGAAGGGTATACGATTATAGCTCAAAGCTCTCAACCCGTGTCGTGTCCACACCACTACAAACACAAGTACCTTGCGTATGGTGTAGGACATTCCTCTCGGAAAGCATTCTATAATCCATCACGGCATTTGGTGATGGGCAGGTTGCCGCTGGTGCTGGCAATCCAGACTGTGGCAATCGTTCAGCACGAAAACCATGAATTCGTCTAAGTGTATGAATGCATGCGTTGGTGGCAATATTTTGGGACATTGATTGTTCGTGGACATAATAGGCAGCGGCCAAAATGTGTGTATGCATGACTGTGCGTTGGTTTGGTATGCTCCTCTGGCCTCTTCCCAGTATTACTTCCTGCCAGTTTCCAGAGAGGATCCGCTTGAATTGAAATTATTGCGTATCTTGCGTGTCAGCCATTTTCTGACTTTGATCGGACCGATATTCTACCCACACTTTAGCACTCTGTCATTTGTGTATTACAATTTGTACGCCTTGAAGTCTGAATTGCCATCAAAGGCAGTACCTATTCAGTGAATGGGAAATCTGCATACTAGTACTCTACACTGCATTGTAACGAAAAGGAGAGAGCAGTGTTCAATGTACATGTAATTGCTCTGGAGCCAATTTTGGATAGGGCTTGCGTAAACTTTAACACTCCTCGCAGACAGTTTAATTGTGCATAACAAAACCAATGTGACGCATGCTGTAATAAGGACTTCAGTCTTCTTGAGAAATGCATGTACATGTATGAATACCAGTCTTGTATAATGCCTTCTTTTAACTTTCAACAATACAGTCATGCACATGTATGTATGTACATGTATGTATGTATGTATGTATGTATGTATGTACATGTATGTATGTAATTTCAATTGAGCAACACTAACCATTTATAAGAAGTGCAAGAATCGAAGTAATTAGTTGGTTCTGCGCGTGTGCACGCGTGTGTGTGTATGTGTGATCACTGAACACACATACACACAATGTACAATGTCATGTAATTTACTTAAATTATCTCGTTCTCGGTGGCAATCTTATTGATCACATTGCCTACATGGAGCGAAACGTTAGTGTACTTCCCCAATTCCAAGTAGCATATAATAATAATACAAGAGTACAATCATTTTAACGTTAAACCAGTACTTTGTACTTTGTAGGTGAGGCACACGTACTCCGTACCGCGGGTAAATTGACAAGAAAGGAATAGGTCGTTTTATCCGCGATAAAGGCGCTATTTCTGCATCACCACAATGCATTAGTCGAAGGTCAATGCCACCATCAACTGGACAACAGCATGCGTGAGAATAGGTAGGGTCCTATGAGTCTACTCTGTACGATAGTATCAAGAGTACAGTAACCATGGTTATGTACTCTTGATACTATCCCATGCAAAGTGGAAAGTCTGCCGTACACCAGTGCCAGTGGAACACACAGCAATCCGACGTGCACTTCCCAGCAGGAATCTAGGAGAAACATAGCACAATGTTCTCCTCTTTTAAAATGGTACGCCTTGTAAGAGATCGCGCCCTTACTGCGTCTTTAGGAATCAGCAACCAGTCGATAAAGTGTTCTGCGCGGTCAGTAATTGCCCGAGGTCACGAATAAACGTTCCCGAGAACCTGCACTGAGCCCACAAGTGCATGTTCATCGTTACATGTGCGTGTTCATCGGTCGAGTGTATTGCAGCTTGATAACAGTTCATGTTCTCTTTCACACCACCGTAACGGCGTTGTCAACAATTTGTCAACAATTTGTTAACAATTATCGTAGATTCCTTGTGTTGTTGTTTGTGGGTGGAGTGTATGTTAAATGAGTTAGACGACATGTTACAGAATGCCATAAATGAGTAGATCAAAGATGTGCCTCAGTCTCCAAAGTGAAAACACCAGCCGCGTGAGCCTACACTCCCGCTGAGTGCAAGTGTATATTTTGTACAGTGTACACATCATGCAATCTATAATGATGCCCATGTTTGTGAATGTGAACAGGTAAGTGACAACGAGTCTGTGAGCTGCTAATCACCCAATACGAACACCTCAGGCTCAGTCTGCATCATACTGTACATGGTCAGTGAATAAGGGCTACAGTTGTACTTCGCCAGGCCAAACAGTGGCAAACACCCACTGGCGGAGTAGAAGTCCATCAGAAAACATGTGTACGGTTCTGGGTCACGGCGATCCAGACCAGACCGACATGATGCCGTCAATCGATGTCATGTTCTGCACCTTCAGGCACACAGCTACAATGATGAAGTCTCGCTTAAAACGCACCTGGCCTCTCCACTGTCTCACTTGATAGCAACAGTTTTGCAGGATACCCATGATGGCCGACGGGGGAGGGATGGCCTCGATAGGTTCAAGTAATAATTATTATTAGTTAGTTCAGTCCGATGAAGATCCGCTAGATCACGGTGGCTGTGACTATTAGGTGTTGATAGGTTCCGGGTTGTATGGCGGCGGGGGAAGAGGGAGGGGGGGGGGGCACATCAATACATTGTACTAACAACACGTCATAATCATAATACTACAACTACAAGTCTACAACGTAGTAAGTGACAATACTAACAGCAGCTGCAGTACATACAAGTACTACATAATGTACATTGCACTGCACTGCAGTGTTGCTGGTACAGTACATACTGCCATACATGATCCAACGCTCACTCTGACTCGGAGCATGTTTTCGGAAGGCTCAATTTTAAAAGACATTACCTGTGGCTATGCATTCGACATCACTGACACAAACACTTCATCAACTCTACACTCCACGCTCAAGTTGAAGTCGCGTAACTGTGTGCCTCGAGGTGACGACTGATGATGCATCTTGGTGTTGTACAATGAAGTACTGTAGTGTAGCCGAGATAGAACAGGCGAATACAATACAGTACGATTGTGGTGATGAGAGCAGCTCAGCTAGCTTGCATACAGGACAATGCCACGTGCGGCGTCTGTTCGGTGTTCCGTTGGGTGACGTCTAGACAACAAATTGCTGCTGACGAAAGAAGATGATTCACTCGCTTACAAGTAACATAGTTTCACTACAGATCGAGCTGAGCGTTACTTCCTATTTCGAAGAGTATTACCTGGAAATTATTTGAATGTGTGGCGACGTTTTGCAAATGACTGACTGAGTCACAACAACTACATTCGCGACGGCTGTTTCGAACAATCAACGCATACAGCTCATGAACGGTGCACAAGAGCAAAAAAACAATTTATTTGTTTCCAGGGTTTGTAATTACATGTATTCACCTTCTTTTCCCCGTGCACACAATGACACAATGCTCCATCAACATTGTGACTCTGCTACAAAGCATGCAAGTAACAACATTAGTTCGGATGGTGCCCGCGCCAATTTAGATTTAGTATGAAAATACTGGATACTCGACCTAGAACTAACTTGTACACCATCAGTTCAGTACCACATTTACATGACATGTACTTCGAAGTACTAGTAATATCATGTGAAGCTGTGCGCAGGTGGTGGTTCTGATAGCAGAGCTTCACTTCAGGGCAGAATACCGTTCTCACAGCACCCCTACAGCATGTCCACGCTACAAAACTGCTCATGTAAAGACTGGAATTGGCCAATAGTGCTCGCTATCACTATCAGCAGCATTGCATTGATTCTGTTGACAGATGACTTGGTGGTGAGGGTGAGAGCGTGAATTGCTTTCACATCGACATTGATACATGATGTAGTGGTATTTCATCAATTTTGGTCATTTGCTAATTGCTGCCAGCGAGTATGAATGGAATACTCCAGCACCTGCTTATCTCTTACTGACTTTTAAGTCTTTACTTACTGCAGGAACAGAGATGTGGTTGGTTAATGGTTGTGCAGTTACCCAGCTAGCCGTGGTAAACACAGTGACACCCGCTGTAAACTAGAGTGCCATCCTAGATCCAGTACAGGACCCCACATGAGCATCTTCGATGATCGCCGTAAATCCCTGGCTTCAAAAGACTTGAAAGGTCCTAATCATTTTACAAGGTTTTGGCACAAGGATGGACCTTCCGCAAACCCATCAACACGCAAAGCAAGGTGACAGTCACGTGAATACATGTATGCACCTGCAGTGGATGTAACATATTCCCAGTTTATACGTACAAATGTACATGTACATGTACAAGTCATGGTCATAAACGAAACATTCCTATTTTGACCACAGCAGGCACAGTCCTCGGTCAAGGTATTACGAATATTCCGACAGCCGTCTGGCGGTGAATGCCCATTCAAGGACAACAGCTAGTGTGTTAGCGTAAGGGGAAGGCCACACAGACATCCTTGCGCCACAAGGGACGGAGGTAAGCAACGCATTTCTGGCGGCATTTCTCACCGGATTGCAGTCCAGATATTGCTATCCACTGTCTGTGTCTCGGGACATGCAGCACAGACTACAGACTACAGGTCAATGTCCTGCATGCACTCTGTCCAACAAATACTTTAAATTATTATAATTATCAGATTCTTTTGAAGCCAGTACATGATGGCTAGGATCTCTATCTGCTGCGTGTGCTACAAAGCACAAGACAGTACATTACGTCTATTTTGTTAGTAGGAGTAATAGTAATACAGCTGTACTAATAGTAGGAGAAAGAGTACGTATTTAAAATTAATTAAACCCCTGGGGGTTCTGTACCCTTGGAAGCAGCGCGGGAGCGTGCTCGCGTGGCACTATGTGAGTACAGTGTTTTCTGTGCGTGTGTATGTTGTCCAGTTGAGGTCACAATGAATGGGCATATCGCACCTTCCCCGGATCCACACAGTCCGCCCGGGTCCCAGTGCGATTTGCAGGCGCTAGGCTGGATTACTGCGATGCGGTGGTCCAACACAAAATCAGACCTAATACAATCACAACTACAATCGCAACTCGTACTCCTGAACCACTGCCGGCAGTACTGGGACTTTTAAAAGTTTTATGTTGTGACCATGAATGAATGGATGTTGTGGCTGTCATCCCTGGAGGCACACAGCTACAAACTGACCAGGGCAGCAAGCAATGCTGACACTAGACCCTTGAGAGTTCGATGTTGTTATGTTCGAAAACAAAATGTAGTATTAGGGTTGTGGGAATTGATAATGAGAGATACGGGGCTGCACACTGCCACACAGGGTTCCAAAGCCATTCTTGATTTCAATCCTCTAGCTCTACAATGTCGTGTCTCCCTGTGTGCTACACTGCAAGCTAGCTATGGACGCTGTCTCCCTGTGTGTTTGTGTGTGTGTGTAGTACGTGTGCGTGTGTGTGTGTGTGTGTGTGTGTGTGTGTGTGTGTGTGTGTGTGTATAGTGCGTGCGTGTGTGTGTGTGTGTTGATTCAAAAATAAAATCAACACACACACACAGACCAGGGAGACATGTACAATCATGTAGATCGACCAGATTGAAATCAGGACAGGCTTTGGAAGATTTTTCGGCGGATGTCTAAACTCGACGCAATGACATAATGTTAACATGAAAATGACGTAGCGATAGCCCGACCAAGAAAAATACCGCCTTGCCATCTGTCCCAATTCACATCTGTACATTGTACATGAGTTGAAGTGCAGTATTCTGGTACCGGACACACAAATAATGTTGGGGGCGCGGAGTGTGTTCGTATTTCGACTATGTACACCTAATGCTGAGGCTGAAAATGCACTTTTGGACGTTGTGCAATAGGAAACAGAGAAGAGGTTTTGATAACCTGCCTTCATGCAACTGCACGGTTGTGTCCTCTCATTCAGTCATCGCAAGCATTGACGCACTGCCATTGACGGATCTGCCATCATGCACCATCACTCAGCACACACAGGAGCTCGGTATTCGGCAGCGAATGCACTCCATGCATGGGTATGTACATGTATGTGCGATGAATGAAAAGAGCAGAGAAATGAGAGGTCACAGATCCAGCCAAAGTGCTTCTAGTTTGTACGCTCAATCCAGACACAGACATACCACTGCGGTGATTAATCTGTTGATAAATAAGCAGGTGGGCAGACCAATGACACCGTTCACAACATTCAACTGTGCCAGCGCCTGATGTACATGTACATGTACGAGTACAGATCTGAAATGATCGCACCGGACACAGTGCTTGGGCATCCAGCCACATACTTCATTGAACATCCCTAGCCTTGTGTTATGCGACCTGGACAGGCGCGACAGCAGGCTGTCATTATGGCTGAGCTAGCCAGCATTATGCATGTAGCCATGTGCCCAAGTACCGTGACATATGCTTGATGTTATCAGTCCGAAGGAAGGAGCCACAATGAGGGAGGTACAAATTGATCGGCTATAAAACCTCCTCGCCACCGCTGGGACTGATCATAACCGCTTGAAATTCGTTTGCTAACCAAAGGCTCTTAGAAAAGTGAACTATTGAGTATTGCACATCAAGATGCCGCAAGAAGTCTCTCTCCGCACTAGTGAGGGTTGTGAAGATGTGGGCAGCACTCCTGCCGTGGGCCCGATGCGACGACAAGGAATCGTGGTCTGCCGGAAATTGCCCAGAGAAAGTATCCTGGTATCCAGCAACTCTCCGCGACGCAATCGCAAGAGGAACGTCAGCTTCTCCGCTGAGCTTATTCTCGAGTCGGCTGTGCGATCTGGTGAGCTGAACGAAGTGAGAAAATTCCTACAGACAGTCAACCCATCAGCCATTGACCAGCTTTGTCCCAATTCCGGGGTTACCATTCTTCATCAGAGTGTGCTCAACTGTGATGCTGACATGACCCAACTGATTGTCAACTATGGTGCCAATATCGAGCGACGTGATGTTGATGGCTGGACTCCCCTTCAAGCCGCAGCGGCCATGAGTGCCGATGCCTGCGTGAAGGTTCTATTACAGGCTGGAGCCGATCCCTACGCCAAGACCCTGGATAGCAACGAGTCAGCGCTAGACTTGGTCGATGTAGTCGACCCGACTAGTGTTCGCTGCGTCAAGCACTTGGTGAGTGCAATGCGACATGCCAATCCTCACAACCTCCCTGATTATTCCGCAGGAGCACGTGACAGCTTTGCATCACTGAGCAGCATATCTACATGTGGCAGCATTGGCAGTACGTTCAGTTCTTCCACCACCGGCAGCTGTCCATCGCCATTGCTTCTCTCTTCTCCACCATCAGCAGCACCGTCTCCCTCACTATCGCGGAGTCGGAGTGAGGACAGTGGAATTGATTGCATCGACAGTGGCAGCGCTGTCCTCAGAACAACAAGCGTAACGCCGCGCCAAGACAGCGTATCGCCACTGTGCCTAGAAAAACACACCAAGACATCTCTCACTACATCCCGCACCGCTCCAGTACAACAGACCTCCCAAGATAGCGGTGATGGGTCATGTGACGTCACGGACAGCCATCAATCCTCGTCTAGGAAGCTCCGGGAGCGGGAGAACTCCTGTCAACGGTTGACACCTGCAACGTCGGATAGTGATTCGGATTGTGATTTGGAGGCTGAAAGGTGTGGTAGTGTTTTAACCACATGGAAGGCCCACACGGCTAGCTCTCCCATGGAGCCTCAATCAACATCAGCTGCGCAATTATCATTGAACTCTGTTTGCAATGACGTTGACGTGGTAATCAACACTGGAAGTGTAGCAAGGGGCAGACGAAGAACAGTCTCCGGAGCAAACAGAGCCAGTGCCACAACACATCAACACGACGCTGTGCCGCATCGACGACTCTCATTCGTCTAAGCACTGCCATCGTGTGTACTTGTCTATAACAGTCTTGCAGGGTGATGTGCTGAGCACTCGGCTTACTACTGCAACCACTATTCTTACGGCTTGTTTTTGCTTTTGCTGCTGCTGCTGCTGCTCTAACAACTAACACTAACATTGTACTTGTGCCATTACAACCAGCTGTACGCAATATTACGCCTTGATTACGCTTTGATAACGTACGTGTTGAGCATTTATATTATTATATTTATTGAGTTGATTGGGATCGAGAAGCCTTCCCTTTTCAAAATAGCCTATTACTGTCCATCGCAATTACTAACTACAGGTGCAGTGTACTAATCATGCGGGTATTCTGATTTAGAATACCTTCATCTTCCTCCTAGCTTTCACACAAGTTCACACTGCCACGTCATCCTCATTGTGATATCAGGAATTACACCAAAGTTATCCATAGCAGTCGCTTGAAACTACATGTGCATAATTATGTACATGTGCATAATTATGTACATGTGCATAGTTATGTAATACAGTATAATACAGTTACTAAACGACTATCAAAGATCTACAAACTGTTGGGGCTGGCTACCGCAGTCGGTGGTGCATGAGAATCGCATCAATATTGGGGTTGTGGGGGCACTGGGGGCCCCACGCTGGGGGTAAATACTGAGCTTGTTATTACAGTGCGCTACGGAAGAAGGGGAAACATAAACAAATCAATGCAAAAGTACAACAGTGAGCGCTACATGAGCTTTGCTAAAGAGGTGCTATGCAACTCCCTGAGCAAAGGTATCGGGGTCAACGGACACGGCACACACCATAGGGAGGGGAGGGAGAGAGAGAGAGAGAGAGAGAGAGAGAGAGAGAGAGAGAGAGAGAGAGAGAGAGAGAGAGAGAGAGAGAGAGAGAGAGAGAGAGAGAGAGAGAGAGAGAGAGAGAGAGAGATGAGAAAGACAGAGAAATGAGAAAGACAGAGAAAGAGGTGGTGGGGAGAAAGATATAATGTATAAAGAAATTGAAAAAGCTGTAAGGGCAAAATGTTTTGCTAGAAGACGTTAAAAGACTTCAGGATCTACTGATAACCGGCTACACTGCCGCAAGTGACCAACACCAGTCATGAGCAGAGAACCAGTTACTCTGTTGCAGGTGACTGCATGCACGACGGGGAGAGAGTCAGAGAGACAGAGAGAATTCGGACAAACATTATTTCATGTACATTGAGAAAATAGCAAGTACTTCAGTATGAGTATGTAAGTTGGTTGGTTTGTATAATTTTATTTTACTTCGCCAGAATGAACAGGCATTGCTGCCTTCTTGCCTGGACAAGTGGATTGGCCAAGCTCTCTGACAAAAAGACGAAGAAGTATGAGCACGGTATGACTTACAAGTAATTGAGTGTGAGTGAGGATTGAAGAGAAACTGTTCAAGTGTGCGTGGCAACCTCAGGAACCTATCTCAATACCCGTACTGTAGCCATCAATCATAACCATACTCCCTCACACCACTCTTTATATATTATTATGGTCTCTGCGCCACACTACACTAATCAGTAAAAAAAGGTAAATAATCGTGTCCGTTCCCGAGGGGAGCTCACGACGGGCGCTAACACCCGGTAAACCATTAATCAGTGAAACATGATAAAGTTATCCGAATTTTCAGGAACGTGGGCTTTGAAATCATGGTAGTAACTTGGGCAAAGTTGGTTTCTCCCCACCGCAGAGTACGCGAGAAGTCTATCGAACCTTCGCTACGGAGTGAAGAGTGAAGAATGGTGCTCTTCAGACACACTCGTCTTCAGCCTACTCAAGCTCAGCTCATGAGAGGTGGACTTCCCCGAAATACTGTGCATTGAACCGGGAATTTTTTTTTAAATTTCGGCCAGTCGGCTACTATCATTTCGTCTTGGGGGTTAGACAAGGGGAAGTAGCCATGTAGGGGCGTTAGCCCGCCTACCGGGAATGTTTCTTTCTTGCAGGCTTGCCGAGTCAAAGGTTCGGTGCCGACTGTTCGTGTGCACTTCAAGTCTTGATTGCAGTCGTCAGTTTAGTCAAGTTAGTTTGAAGTCAAATCGGCGGAAAAGCGCAAGCTCCAGCGTTGTGAGAAACCAACTTACTTTTTAATATTACAAGATGGTCTTTGATAACTAAGAACTAGCGATAAACTCGGCCATTTGAAAAGAATCTAACCGTCCACCTCTCCACACATGGTCTTTGATCAAAGTAAATCCCAGCGCAGACGGCCGCACTATGTCCTTGGCTACCCAGTCTTTCCAGACTATTCACGGGAGTCACCACCTGATGATGTCCTCTTGCCGTCTTGGGTCAAAGTCCATCATCCTTATACAGTGTTCGGTGTATAGGAATGCACAGAGCATAGCCACACAGAAGAGGACGAACTACGAGTTTCACGGTAATATCTGCCAGGAGTCCGTTCCGTGACTTATTCCTCGCCCATAACTATACAAATCATGCGCGAACCTTCCCTGAAATACTGCATACGAAAACTTCTTCTGAATCGTCTGCCGCATCCTTAAAGTCGGTATGCTGCAACCTCTATCGTGAATGACTATCCAAGAGCCAACTAGCGTAGACGAGACGAGTGACTAACTCTAGCAAGCACATCTGAAACTGTAAGAAAAGAGAAAGTAAGTTGCAGCATCGTCCGACCTCAAATACTCTGTCATGCAGGCAGGTCAGAAAAGAAGGGTAGCTTTGTCCGGAGCTCATCAAGCCGTGTCATGTAGCATGGACCGACATAAGAACTACAAAGTGGGCACTCTGTGAGCGTCAGTTTCTCGCATTAGGTCATCTCAAATTCTCTATCCTGTCAAAGAATCATGATTCAATAATATATATCCATCCGAGCGAGAGAAGACACTACCTTCCATGTTCCTTCACCAACAAATCTTTCCCGGCAAGTACTACGGGTAGTATCTCACTTGCATGATCTTTATCACATTAATTCACATTAATTCACGCACGCCTGCTGGGCGTGAGTGACAGTGAAAATGGCCCAGCCCGGTGTTCGGTCTTACACTCAGAGCTGAGAATCGTTTCTCAATATCCTGTCGTGCTAACAACACATGGGAGTGTATCTATCCGGCCCCTTTCCGTTGTAGACGCATATCCCCTTTCCGTTGTAGACGCATATCCCCTTTCCGTTGTAGACGCATATCCCCTTCCGTTGTAGACGCATATCCCCTTTCCGTTGTAGACGCATATCCCCTTCGTTGTGAAAACCAAGTCGTAGTTTCACATCATCGTACAACAGAGAAATGGAATCCAATAACTATGCCACTACATGACATTGTATACATGGACTAGCAGTACATGTATGGGTCCATTGGCTTGACAAAGGGAATACGAATACTACTACTGAGTACTAGTAGAACGTAGACAGACTCACAGAGACTTACTAACTGAGCTAGCTAGAGAGCGCAGTATCCCTGTGTATGATACAGTATGTAGTGTAGCTAGCTGCTTATGCAGCGTCAGCAGCACTCCAGATCACGCCGGTATAGGCAGTCTACAGCAGCGGCAACATCTGTCGTCGCATCAAAGCTCCACTTGTGAACTTTCTTCTGATGCCGATAGGGAGAAGCAAAGATTCTTCGTATATTTCGGACAGGCTCGTACACTGTGGATACTAAGTATCTCTCATGCTCAGTCTTTCTTGTAATCTAGTAGCAAACGTTCCTGGCAGACATTCACATGATGTTTATGATTTTGTTCTGTTCGGAACATGGCAAGCTGCTCGAATAATGCTGCTTCATCTCCCGGAATCTACAAGTACAACTTAGTACCTAACAAGCAGCTGAGATACATGCATGCTCCGTGTGAATATACACAGCAATAGTGGCAGTTACACACTACACAGTTGAGATATGCTCGGTGACAGTGTGGTGTCACTTCCCAGTTTTCACAGCCTGAATCATCCAGCACGTTATGACTTCCTTCTTTCAAGAAGTGGGTTACATACTCAAACAATCAGCGGAAAGTCCACTGAATTCTCCGCGACATTATTGTTTAAGTTATAGACGTGACAACGGCGAATAGCCATCAAAAGCTTAGTATTGTAACTATTGAACATGCTTCAGTAGTGTAGGGACAGGTTTCGAATGCAGCAATATCATGATTTCGTGTAGCCTAACCCTGACTTTCCCTTCACAACATTGTCATGTGCATGGTACTCGCAGTGGACGGTCCAAGTACCTGTTCCGTTCACCAACCGCTCTGCATGCTATACAGTCACTGTGTTGTTGCAAACTGCACCCACTTGACTGTCGGCAATACCAGCAACCAGTGCAGCTAGTGTCTTCCCTCCTTGTGCTCCTCTATCATGCGCATCTACCACTATTGTCCATAGGGTCAGCAAGTTGATTACGAACAGTCGACAACAGTCAACATGCCACTCATTGCAAGAACCCCGCAGTGCCAGTCTAGAGCCGGGCAAAGCGGCGGCGAACACTTGACGTTCTGCGCATTTAGCACTGCTCTATGTACATAGTCACGGTCCTGTCCGGATTCGTGAGCACTCTGAATACTGTACAATCATGTAGACACAGGGTACACTGTACAGTATCACTTCAATCCAGGGAGTGCAGCAAAGTTGGCTGCAGGAGAAGACCTTACTTGTGGGAATTGCTATGCCCAAACGGAGGCGTTTGCCAATAGACCGACTCCTGGGCGGGCATGCACGCGTGAAGCCCGACAACTGTCAGTAACGTAATTGCCAAACAGTAATCGCTAGCTGCCTCCGTCTCTTGTGGGTGGCGTGTGACACATGGTACAGCAGGAAGGGCGGCTGCACGACCATCCCATCCATTTTCCAGCTCCGGAAATCGTGACAACCGCACAGCCCTAGCCGTTGTGTTGCATCCATTCGCCCTCCTCGCGAGCACTGGACAGAAATGAGCGAGCGCAGGGCACGGGACACAGAGTAATACATGTAGTATTATTGCAGGACAGACAGAGCAATGGTTCACATGATGGACACCAGACAGTGCAAGAGCAAAAACACAGCCAGTACCATAGTGACAACTTGATGGAGAGAGGCAAAAGGCAACTCCGAAGCGACAGTTGCTTTACCCCAGCCATTAATCTCTTATACTGTCGTGTTCGGGATCAGCGAACACCACATAGGTCACATCTTCTACAACTAGTTTAGTTTGCAGTCTCCTCAACTTACAGAAAGGTGCACAGTTTCATGTGAGGACTTTCAATGCGCAAAAGCCTAGTTTGAGGTGGAGATAGAAGAGTTTAGTCTCCTCAACTTGCAGAAAGGTGCACAATTTCATGCGAGTACTTTCAAGAAGCAAAGGCCGAGTTTGTGGGTGCAGATAGAAGAGGAGAAAATTAATATCATGGCGTTGGCAGTGGCCTTGCCAGCACTTGTCCTTCTTTCCACTGTAAGCGTCGCTTTAGGTTCGAGTAACTATTTTTCTGATCCAGCACCATCGACATTGAGGTCAGGAGAACGGTGGCCGGATGTTGACGAGATCGTAGCATGGCCAATTCGAGACAGAATTGGACGCACTTCGCCTCGCTACACTGCCGAGCTCGTGTCGAATCGGAACAGCCGTGTACGTTTTGCCTGCTCCACGTGTCGAGTGATGTCATCAAGATGCGATGCGCTACTGAACACACTGGAAGATAGTGTGTACTATCGTTGGAGAACAAGCAGGGCTGTTGAGGTGCGAGCAGCATGGACTGAGCAGGAAATTCCTGGTCGGAATCAATCTCTGAGATATGAAGGTGAGTGCACCAGTGTTTAAATTCAAGTATGGTCGACTTTCAAAGGGTTAAAATAAGGCTTGAAACCCCCGTTTATTCGACATGCTTTTAATTAAACATTCTTCAAGCACAACTAACTTCAAACTGTGCTGTGGGACGTGTCACTGATAGTACTGCAGGCTACATGCTCAGTTTCAATGACTGTCATCGTATGCAGGAATTATGTGGGAGGGGGAGGAGGAAAGATGTATGGAAAAAAGTCGGCAAGAAATGCAATATACATGTACATTGTACCTTGTACGTGCACACGCTTGTAGGCGGTTCATGGATATTTGGCCAGTCTTGATGTTATGAGGACGATAGCTATTCAGGACTTAGTCTTTGGATAAAGCACTCCGTCATGCTTGCCCCCCCCTGCAAGGCTTGATCGAGATGATGGCATGGCATCCGACATCATAATAGTACCCTACACTACGAAATGTAAGGCTACAGACCAACCCGCAAGACCGAGCCCAACCCCGTAAAGGAATTCAAACGCACAGAGTAGACTACAGTACAGGCTTTACAGCATGATTGCAGCACAATCACAGCTACATGTACATGTACATCAATCATCATGACAGTCATTGTCATGTAGCTACAGACTCAGTCAGTCCGGACCAGTGTGGGTGTAACCACGAAGCGCCCGGCGCTGTCACAAACGTGGCTTCCTTTACCGTCCATAAAAAAAAGACGGATGCAGTAATGGAGAGATTTCACGTGCTCGCGTCGGACGGTCCGAAAGGTCGATTAGCGAGCAGAAGGCAATCTGCCTCGGTGACAGCAATGGAGGTAGCGGCGGTGAGCATGGAGTGGTAGAAGTGAGCCGGTGGTGGTAGCATGTAGTAGTGAACGATGGGATATGGCCCAACAATGGCAACGTGAACGAAACCAGAGCCTGTCACGTGTGTATATTTTATTATCGTGATTATCTACAAGTACAAGTACAACCAAGTAAAAATGTTCGTCCTTGTTTGCACGACTCGACCCAGTGCGCACCCGAACTGATATGCAGATTCATGTCTAGAGTAGAGCTTTGGTCAAAGTTTGGAAAATGTTGCTAGCATAGAGAGCCTACGACCGGGCGCACGATATTGAGGATGGCCACTTGACGGCGCAACAGACCTGCTTCGGCGGGAGACCCGAGAAGCTGAGTGAGTGGAAAAGTATACACTGATACAGTCTCTACTTATCTGCTGCATGCACTCTTGCACTCTTGAGCAGTATTTTCGTTGGCCTGTTCTCTTACTTTGCCGTTTTCTGGTCGAACAGCATTTTCTGATAATGTCTGCATAACATTTTAAAATATGCAAATTTGTGATAGAAATTTCTTTTTGACGTTTTTTTCCAGTGGGTGACTAAATACGACTTGGGTGATGAATAGGCCCCAGCGGCAAATGCTAGCACCCAAAGTAGCACAAAAGGGCCTTTTTGTGACTCCACACGATGCTAGCATAAACAGCAGTTTTTACCGGCATCCGATACATTTTTGCCAATTTTGGCATTCTGGATGTGGAATTCGGTCTAGATTACACTATGAAACTAGTATTAGGATTACTGAGCCTTATGTAATCTTTGGTTGGAAACGTAAAACAAATATTTCCATAGCAACATGATGCCAACATCGCACCTTTAAAAACTCTTTTTACATACCTGCTTTGTGAGAATTCATAAATAGCACGGAACACCGTTTTCAACCCAAATGTTTCACCATTACCATTAATAGGTAGCATAATTCGTGTTGTCTAGCATCCAAACTAGCATCTTTCTGAGTTGTCAGCTAGCATCCCAAAAAGCATCTTGGCAACATTTAGCTAGCATCTGCCGCTGGGGCCTAGTGATGAATATTCACAATGGATATTATTTTGGAATGCACTCAGGGATTACTAGTGGCCACAATTCGCACATACAGTCCATTCAGAAAAAGATGGACTTCTAGCTTTTGGCCATAAATGGGTCAAACTTTGAGTTTTTTTAGAATTTTTTTCTGCAATCTCCTAAGGAATCCTCTTCCAATTATGTCTCTGAAGTCTATTTGTCTAAAAAGCAAGCCATAACAAGAATAGGATATCGGCCAGGTTTCGCCCCAAAAGCAATGAATTGGGAAAACCATCAAAATCCAGGCCGTTTGACCCCACCTGCAACAGTGCATTGCGGGGTTCGAACCCCAGTTCAGGTACCCTTTTTGGACTCTTTTTCAAAGTTCAAATTTCGCTGCACTGCACTGTGTACACGAAATCACGACAAATCGCCAAATACGGGAGCTCGCCAGAGCCAGGACCCATCTTTTTTATGAATGGACTGTAACTACAGGTGGAATCCTGATAATTCGAATTAGCCCCATCCCTCACACAAACAAGTCAACAAAGAGGCATCTTTGGATTGAGGAGTGCTGGTTTCGAAACAACTGGTTTGAAGCTCAAAGTAGAGCTGGTGTTAGCTCAGAGCAGAGCTGCTGTTAGCTCAGAGCAGAGCTGCTGTTAGCTCAAAGTAGAGCTGCTGTTAGCTCAAAGTAGAGCTGCGGTTAGCTCAAAGTAGAGCTGCGGTTAGCTCAAAGTAGAGCTGCTGTTAGCTCAAAGTAGAGCTGCGATTAGCTCAAAGTAGAGCTGCTGTTAGCTCAAAGTAGAGCTGCTGTTAGCTCAAAGTAGAGCTGCTGTTAGCTCAAGGTAGAGCTGCTGTTAGCTCAAAGTAGAGCTGCTGTTAGCTCAAAGTAGAGCTGCGGTTAGCTCAAAGTAGAGCTGCTGTTAGCTCAAAGTAGAGCTGCGGTTAGCTCAAAGTAGAGCTGCTGTTAGCTCAAAGTAGAGCTGCTGTTAGCTCAAAGTAGAGCTGCTGTTAGCTCAACGTAGAGCTGCAATGCTAAATGGATGTAATATAGCGCAAGGCAGAGCCGCAGCAAATAGCTAGATAACACCAGTTGTGAGAGTGGACCCGGTTAGTGGGTACGATAATATTATGATGGTGTGAATAAGTTGGATAGGGAGGGATGGTGGGAAAAGAAACACTGCTGAAGCACGATCCGTTGTCTGGAAGAGCACAACAGAGCAAGCAAGATTTGTTTTTCTTTTCCGCAAAAATGGGCTGGTGCCATTTGTGATTACGCAGCAAAACAAAGCGCATGACGTCAGTCTTGAATGCAGTACAAAGCAATGCAGTGCAGTGTGTGCGCTAGTTCGGATTGTTGCTAACAAGTACTAGCACAGCTAGTACACCATTAGCCCCATCCCTCACACAAACAAGTCAACAAAGAGGCATCTTTGGATTGAGGAGTGCTGGTTTCGAAACAACTGGTTTGAAGCTCAAAGTAGAGCTGGTGTTAGCTCAGAGCAGAGCTGCTGTTAGCTCAGAGCAGAGCTGCTGTTAGCTCAAAGTAGAGCTGCTGTTAGCTCAAAGTAGAGCTGCGGTTAGCTCAAAGTAGAGCTGCGGTTAGCTCAAAGTAGAGCTGCTGTTAGCTCAAAGTAGAGCTGCGATTAGCTCAAAGTAGAGCTGCTGTTAGCTCAAAGTAGAGCTGCTGTTAGCTCAAAGTAGAGCTGCTGTTAGCTCAAGGTAGAGCTGCTGTTAGCTCAAAGTAGAGCTGCTGTTAGCTCAAAGTAGAGCTGCGGTTAGCTCAAAGTAGAGCTGCTGTTAGCTCAAAGTAGAGCTGCGGTTAGCTCAAAGTAGAGCTGCTGTTAGCTCAAAGTAGAGCTGCTGTTAGCTCAAAGTAGAGCTGCTGTTAGCTCAACGTAGAGCTGCAATGCTAAATGGATGTAATATAGCGCAAGGCAGAGCCGCAGCAAATAGCTAGATAACACCAGTTGTGAGAGTGGACCCATGAAACCAGCACTCCGTTAGCTAAGCACTATTGACGCACAGCAAGGGTCAATTAATGTCAGCACAGGCAAGCATTGCGCAGCTAGAGTTCAGTAGCTCATTACTCACCCGAGTTGGGGATCATGGCATCCATGGCACGGCAGCAAGCCGGGACGATAGCTGGCGCTATGCGCTTGTTGTAGTCTGGATGTAGCGTAGACACGCATCGCTCTTTCCACTGACCTGCCACTCGGAAGAAGGAGTCGGGAGCACTAGCCATAGCAGCGGTGGTGGCTGCACCAATGTGGACCAAATGCCCGGAGTAGTTCGACTGGGATAGTACACCGGCCGCAGCGACAAGAGACCATACTGTTACTGTGAATGACTGCCTGGTCGGCTGCTGTCTGTTCGAGAATACGAACAAGAGTTGCTCCGGTCCCTCGCGACGAGTGACAGATGGGTAGCTAACAATGGCACGGGCCGGGCAGTACGGCGGTACAGACGGGCCAATGTCACTAGTAACGCCTTTACCGAATGGGTCCGTCTTGGATGAAAGCAGGAAGAGTTGCAGGCGTCCGTCACCAGGGGAGCTAGTACAGCCCCGTGTGATGCCATTAGTGAATTCAGCGCACCGAAGAAATCCAAAGAAGCAGCATGGCGGCTTGGTAGAGCAGCTTGTCATGGCCATTCAGGATACTACTTTTTCCAGCGTGCATCCGTCAGGTGTCGTAGGATTGGCATAGTTATAGGAAGGCGAGGGGTGAGTGCAGCCGTACCATGGCATCGCTGGATGCCCTTCAACGCCCTCTTCAGAAGCCACGCATCTACTAAGGGGCCGGCAAACCCATTCTCAAGGTGGGCTTTATGCACCGCACTCGCATACACAGATACAGTTCAGGGCACGCTGATCATAGTTCACGCATGAATGTGTGTCCAGGAACGATGACTCGGGCAGCAAAAGTGAGCTTCCCCAGGAGGGACTCGAGTTGACGCTGGCCGATGCTGCGCTCGCTGATAGTAGCCATGAGTGGCGCACGGATCTCGGACAGCTTGTCCTCTGGTAGCCGAGCTTCGTGGCGCTCGCAGTCTAGGACAATACCAAGGAAGGTCAATGATGGTGATGGCCCTTCGAGCTGGGATGGAGCAAAGAGGAGTGCCGAGATACGTGAACGCCCGGAGGGGGATGGTGAGTTGCTGGTTGGCTGCAGCCAAACCAGTGGAGATATCGAGAAAGTCATCGAGGTAGTGAAACCGGTGATCTATAGCAAACTCGTGCTGCATGATCCAGTTGACTACTGTGGCTACTGAGTCAAAGACGGCTGGGCTGGAGCGGAGGCCGAAAGGCAGAAAGCGCTCGTAGTAGTAGGAGCCTTCCCAGCGAAGTCCTGACGGCGGACTGGGATCTGCCGAAATGCACTGCGTACATCGAGCTTGGACAAATACACAGGCTGTGGGCATGACATGATGATGTTGATCGCGTTGTCAATGCTCGCGTAGTGCAGAGAGAGCGGCTCGGCAGGAATGCTGTCGTTCGCGCCGGTGCCTTCCGGACTAGACAGATGGTGGATCATTCGCGGCTTGCCGTTCTTTTTGGGGATGGCACCAATACCAGAGCGGCGCATGAACTGAAATGGAGGTGACGGAAATGGGCCTGTGGTCTCGCCGCGGGCGCAGGAAGCAGCTAATTGCTCGGATATAAATGCCGAGTGAGTGAAAGCCAATGGTAGATTATTAGAGAAAACCAAATGTCGTGTTGGCCGGCAGATCCAAGAGTAAAGCCACGGCGCAGGCCATGGAGAACATACGCAACACATGATTGATCTGAGTGGTTACGTAACAGGCGGGCAGAGTGGTCAGCTAGCAGTGTGGTGTCTGCAGAGTGTATAGGAAAGAAGCTACGTACCGAGTCAAGCGATTCAGTAGCCATTCTGCTAGGAGCGGCGGGGTGGCCGATTGGCTCTGCGCTGCCGCTGGTTGCACATGATGCATGGGTGGTCCTTGCCACACTGGCTGCAGGTGTGGGAGAAGCGGCACGACGACGAAGAACAGCGACCTCCATTGAAGTTGCGGCAGATTTCTTGGCCGTCGCTGGTATGGTTGCGACCACTGGAGGTAAATGCTGCTGGCTTCGGGACGAAAAGGACACAAACCGCCCCTGGATGGACCGTCTTACATTGAGCGCATTTTGGGTGTGGACCGTCTTACATTGAGCGCATTTTGGGTGTGCATGGCCTATGACAGCTATCTGCCATAGGTTCACGTCGATGGTGTCCAACCTCTTCGTGCCTGGTTACTGGGCCACGAGCATCCGCAGCTGGCGGTCGTACTCTAGCCACGCGCTTGGGAAGAACTGGCAGTTAGCAGTCAGGATCAACTGCTGGTACGCAATCAGTTCAGCAGTGCGGTGTAGGGCAGCAGCCGTGATAACAGACATGTATGTGGTCCATGCCTCGAGCCGGGTAGCTACATGTGTAATTATCGTGAACCTTGCTACGCACCTGCTTCGCGTCATCCGACTCAACGATATTTAGCTGGCTATCGTTATTCGGGCTGTGCACCAGCCGGAATCACAGTGTTGGGCCGGAAGTGTGCAAGAATTTCAGGCAACAAACTTGAAAAATCTACGAACTCCCCTCGCAAGATACGTTCTTGCACAGCCTTGGGCACAGCTGGTGCAGGTGGCTGATCGGGTGGGTAACAGGAGCTTGGCCTGGCGTAGTGGCGGCAGCTGCCGCATTGCCTTGGCCTTGGGTGAGGAGCGGCGCAATGCTCTCCGATAATAATAAGATGGCGGCCGACAAAGCCGACTACACCTCGTCCCGTACGGGAGCGCAGAGATCCGTTGAGCCCGCGTCGCCTGAGCTGGCGGAGGAGGCATTGGTGCACGTCGGGCTTCTGGGCTCGCGAGCCGTGTCCGCACTGTCATGTTGCTGGTTCTCCTGGCCGGAGCAGACCTCACTACCAAGGGCTAGTTGTGCCAGCAAACGGTCCTGTAAAATACTTTTACTAAGTTTCCTTTCGGATTCAAGCCGCGCTGAGAAGGCTCGCCGCGGAGGGCTTGGCAAGGCATTGCCTTGACGGTGTCGACAGTAAGGTCAGACATACTGAAGAAATACAGTGTCGAGGTGACACTCGGGCTGGCAGCAAAGCTACGAAAGGAAAAGAAACACTGCTGAAGCACGATCCGTTGTCTGGAAGGAAAAGAAACACTGCTGAAGCACGATCCGTTGTCTGGAAGAGCACAACAGAGCAAGCAAGATTTGTTTTTCTTTTCCGCAAAAATGGGCTGGTGCCATTTGTGATTACGCAGCAAAACAAAGCGCATGACGTCAGTCTTGAATGCAGTACAAAGCAATGCAGTGCAGTGTGTGCGCTAGTTCGGATTGTTGCTAACAAGTACAGTAAATAGTGGATATAACGTGCCCCTTTGATTTTCGATAATTTATCACTATATCCGGTGCATCACTATAGCCGATTTGCATGTATGACCACACATGGCACATGACTGGGCATGAAATGATGCGTACACGCTGGAAAAAGTATGAAATGCAGCCACGTGTACATAAGGCTGCGTACAGCATGCAGGGAAGAATTTTCTCTCACTCATGTCTGCTGCCAGGTGCATCCAGGCAACACTGGATCAGTTTTGGAAGAAGTGAACTTTATTGGAAGAACACTTGTTTTTGTGATCATCACTCTTGATCATTATACGCGATATTTTCCTGTACATTTGATATGGTTTGCTTCCTGAAGCCCATCACAATAAGCGATATATCGGTATAGCCGATAATATTGTGTATAGTGATATTTTAGCTGCATTTTTTTCTGATTTGATTTTGATTTTGGCGAGTTCTATCATTATAGCCGGTATATCGTTACACCCGGTCACTTTATAAACGATACTCACTGTACTAGCACAGCTAGTACACCACCACCAAATGCCGGGAAAAAACTTCGAATTATCCGGACATTCTCAAATTATCCAAACATGACCCCACAACACAATATGTATGTCAAAATGCTCCCATGGTCACGCAGAGTTGCGCTATGGACCTTAGACACATATTTCACGGATACTGAACACCAGCACAGCCTGCTCATGCAAACTGAACTGACCAGTACAGTGTACAGTGAACTTCGAATTACACTTTGCTTGAACTTCGAATTATCAGCACAAACCCCATAAATTTTCTATGTAAGTGGAATCCGTGGAACTTTGAATTAACCGGACAGGTCCGGTTCCAGGTTCGAATTATCAGAATTTTTTTATGTGGGAATCGTATTGACAGAAATCGGTCCTGGAAAAACTTCTAATTACGCGGTATGTTCGAATTAAGCCATATTCGAATTATCAGGATTCCACCTGTATATGAATGATTGCTGCTTAGATGACTTTACGACTTGTGACACAATGACATCATTATCAGTCAAGTTTTCACATTGTATACATGGTTGCCTTGAAGTGTAGCATCGCACCTTTTTGGCTTGCAAATCGTCCCGCGCTACTCGTATGCAGCGCAACCATCACATGAACATTGCATACTTTTCCAATAGAGCAGAATGTGTTGCATGATACGTGTCCGCATTGATCCTGGCATTTCTGTTTCTCTTTTCATGCGACAAGAATCTCAATCTGGGTATGATCATCATTTCGTTTTCAATGGCTCATATTCTGGTGTTCTTGTCTCGTAGGAAGAAGTTTAAGTCTTCGCCTAAGGAGTGGGTCAAGCTATGATCACACCATACTGGCTGGTTTGTGTATCAAGGCTGGGTTTGACTGGGTGAAGAACTATGGTAATTGGGTGCAAGTCAGCTCCATCCCCACCAGTAAGTACATACAGCTCATATACTTTGGCTTCCAAAGTATATGTACTTGCCATGCAGGATAGAAGATAATCTCCTTCCCTGGACAGTACAGCAGGAATGGTGCATGAGTAATAATACAAGTAGTGTGCCCAGTACTAGATTGAGCAATACTGATGCAAGGGCATGCCAGTCTACTAACAGTGCACTCTAGTTTCCTTGGCGTGTGATCACTGCCGAATACACTTGTAGAGATGTTATGCTGCATCAATGAGCATCACCCTGACTGAGAATGCATTGAATCCTCATAATGACTTTCCTGATCCACCATCCTGGAGATCAACTCTGATGTTTACATTGCTGTACTCAGTGTACATTGCATGCTCAGCTATACACACACAACCACAGACAATCACATACATGCCCATACATACCCACACTCGCATCAACACACATACACATGCCGCAAACATACAGCCGGGCTCCACACCACCTGGGAGATAATTTACTAATATTAATATTGAATGACACCGTTAAAATCACTCAATATCCTCGTTGTCCAATTCATTTCACAAGGAACTTAGCAAATTCATTCACCTTGGGCACCCTGTAAGAAGACCTTAGGGTCTGTTGGGAATGTCCAAGTAAAATAATAAAATACAATAAAATATAATACAATTGTGCCTGCTGGTTTGCCTGTTCTGTGTACACAGCATGTAATACGTCTTTGGATCTTGCATTTGCCTTGGATGCATCCGGCAGTGTTGGTGAATACAATTTTGAGACGCAGCTGACTTTCATCAAGAATATGATCGACTTCTTTGATGTTTCCCTGGCCGATACTCGTGTCTCACTTGTTAGATTTGCTTCCTATGTACACCGCCAGTTCTCGTTCACTGCCTACACTAGCCGTAGCTCTCTGCGCTGGGCTGTGAACCGTGTGGGCTACACAGGTGGATATACTGCTATTGGGCCAGCGTTGCAGGTTGCTCACACGCAGATGTTTGTGAAAAGCAACGGTGTGCGACCTTTGTCGGAAGGTGTACCGCGTGTGCTAATTCTGATGACGGACGGTCGAGCCAATGTTGGCGTGCGACCAGGTATACCCGCCGAGGCATTGAAGAGAAGCGGCATCAACATCTTTGTGATTGGAGTTGGTAGTCGATTGAATATAAGTGAGCTGCAGAACATTTCATCGCGACCACTCTCTGATCATCTCTATCAACTTGAGAGGTTTGATGACTATGCAGCGCTAGTCAACAGAATGAGATCCGTATCATGTGATGGTAAGTATGTTTGCCTGTATAATGTACAGTCAGTGTATATGAATGAATCGGGGAACTGGAGTACATGTACTATGTGTATGGTCATATGGCATGTAGCTAGGTGCATGGTCATATGGCATGTAGCTAGGTGTAAGAACAGTCTCGTGGAATATGAACCAACGATATCATGATATCATATACCGTGTAGTAACTCAACATTATATGCACACACACACACACACACACACACACATAGTCTTCACCATTCTTGAGTCAAGAAATTGGTTATCAACAGCCATGACAGAGAGGAATGTGAAGCAAAAGGTGCAGAGAAGGAATAAAGTAATTTCATCCTCTCATCCTGGATTTCCTTACTACCCACTGTGACTGTGCATCTCTCTCCTCTCTCTCTCTTCTCTCTCTCTCTCTCTCTCTCTCTCTTCTCTCTCTCTCTTCTCTCTTCTCTCCCTCACTCTCTCTCTTCTCTCTTCTCTCTCACTCTCTCACCCACACTCTCTCACATACTCTCTCTTTCTCTCTCTCTGTATCTATCATGATTTGTACTGTGGAGGTATTCACAGTATGCTTTGATAGGACTCTGCTCTGTTTTGTGTTTTGTGTTTTGTGCGGCTTGTGTCTTAGAACCCGCTGATGTGCCGCCGGGTCAAAATACCACCACTGAGGTGCCTGAAGATGGTTACAAGTACTTCCAAGCCAAGTGTGCTGGCTTGTCTGGCAGTGTGGTTGTTACCATACACAATATTGTTGGGAACACGCACGTCTTTGCCTCCACAACGGTATGTAGGTCGGCGTTCTGCCTTACAAAAATGGCCTGCCAGTCGGCACAAGTTATCATCAACTTCTCACGACGAACTGCACTTACTCTGATGTCATGTGGTATCTTACCAGCATCCTAGCTAACCATCTAGTACAGCTCTGTACCATCCTGTACATACTAGTCATCCATGCATTTACCCCATTCACAATATGCTATGTTGTCTACTTGTTTGATATGTGAAAAGTTTGAAATCACTCAAGAGGGGAATAGTCTGCTTTGTCATGGCTTAGCTGATCGGCCCTACTCGACAGCATGCCACCATGACCGTAAACTTGACCCTGGATTTGTTTGGCAAAATCCTGATGCACCCGCACAACGCTTATGTTCCTGTGCCTTTATTTGTTCCAGATCAAGAATCCCAACCCCTGGTATGATCCAAGGGTGGTTGCACGTGATACCACCACAGGGAGGATCAAGTCTGTTCTTGTCAAGCTACCAAATAGTGGCGATGAGGTAAGTTCTGGCTTGCCTTAAAATTATATAATAAAATAACATTATTACCGAACAACAATACAGTGATGTTAAGTGTGTTCTTTCAGCGACCACTTTTGGCGTTGTCTGATCATGATCGTTTAACGTGGGTGGTCTCTGAAAACCAGACTACGGTAGCGTGTGAACATTCCAAACCCAGTGTTTACATAGACCACATAGACGACGTGACTGTGCAAGCAGATGATCCGCGGCCTGTCCAAGTATCACCTGTATTCCTTTCTCGGTGTCAATGCTATTGACCACACCATACATCTAAGTTCACTGGAGCTTAGATGTGAATGACTGACTGTTTACACCATGCAAGTAATTCAGTGTCACCTCATCATCTTCACTCGTTCAGTTTTTTTCTGTACAGTCAACTTCGCTTATAACGACACTCGGCGAGGCATCAGAAAAGTGTCCTTATTTGCGAAGTGTCGTTATACCCGAATTCTCATTATATGTGTTACAGTTGGATGGGACTTTGCTCTGGGCATGAAAATTCTGTTGTTATTCGCGAATTGTCGTTATATCCGCAGTCGTTATTAGCGAAGTTGACTGTAGGGTTTACCGGGTGTTAGCGGCCGTCGTGAATTCCCTTCAGGAACGGACATGATAATTTTTTTTTTACTGTACATACCGTATTTTCAAGAGTATAAGCCGCACCCCCAATTTTTGCACGGAATACAGACATTTACCCTATTTATTGCCGTTCATTTGATCATCAGATTATAATATAAAAGCCGCACCCCCTTTTTGGGTGAATTTTGAGCATTCAAAGTGCGGCTTGTACTCCGGATAATATGGTACTTAAAAAGTACATGCCGCGTGCGTGTTTGAATATGTCTGTGCTCATGCGTGTGCACTTCATACACGTGTGTGTGTGTGTGTGTGTATATGTGTGTGTGTGTATATGTGTGTGTGTGTGTATGTGTGTGTGTGTGTGTGTGTGTGTGTGTGTGTGTGTGTGTGTGTGTGTGTGTGTGTGTGTGTGTGTGTCAGAAAAAGCCACTTCAATCAGCTGTGTGGTGGATACCAGGCTAAATTTAGTGGCGGTCAATTCATCAGCCTTGCAAGCTGTTGAATGGTGTAATCCCAGCACAAGTTGCTATGTCTAACATAGCTGTTCGCTATCATCGCTTCCGCGATGGGCAAGTCTGAGGTCTGAGGTCTGAGGTGTGTGTGTGTGTTACCTTTGTACGCGCCATTCCTTTCATGTAGACGGTATATATAGCCATCAAGGGTACAGACAAGATCAACCGGTTCACTATATTCATCACTGATGACCTATTCGGTTCTGATGAATTTCAAGTGTCCTTTGATGAAGAGGAGGACGCAGGGACAGTGGTCACTACGCTGCCCGCTATGGCCAGGAAAGGATTCAAGTAAGACACAAATTACTCACCTGTGCACGTCATGTTCTGGCTTGCAAGAACAGACCTGTCGTTATCTACCACCCCGGAATGCGTATGTATGCATATGTGCTCCCTTTAGCCCTCAGTCCTAATGTAGACTTGGTAAAACGTGGTCTCCTGCTCTTGTTAGGATGAGAATGCCATCACTATTGTCAGTCATTGTGACATGGTATTGGAGAAGACTGCCGGCTCGGGATCTTCTTTGAGGATTTTGGTGTGTGTGTGTGTGTGTGTGTGTGTGTGTGATTGTGTGTGTGTGTGTGTGTGTGTGTGTGTGTGTGATTGTGGGTATCTGCTTGTATGTGTATGTGTTTGTATGTGCGTGCGTGTGTGTGTCTTGTTTTGTTTTGTTTTCGAATGTCAGTGTTCAGTACAGCCTGCCACTGGGATCACAGGACTTTGCCATAAACAGTGTCACCGGTGCCATATCCACACTGCGACCATTTGACAGGGAGCGTGAGACTAGTGTCAGCACAGTGGTCATGGCTACGGATCCCAAGCTGGCATGTTACAGTGGACGCACAACGCTGATCGTGAACATTCTGGATATCAATGACAATGCGCCGGTGTTTGAGCCGTCCGAGTACTCGATCACCATTGATGACATCACTCCTGTTGGATATGCTTTTCTGACGGTCACGGCTTCTGATTCGGATATCGGCAGAAATAGTCAGTTGTCTTACACTCTCACCGGGCCAGGTGCCAACGACTTCAGCATCGATAATGATGGAATAATCACTGTCGCATCTAACCAATTATCAGTCGATCGCATCGCTGTCTACCAGCTGATAGCTGTTGCTACGGACAATGGCAGGTCCACGCTCAGCGGAGAGGCTAGTGTCAGGATTGCTCTAAGAAGAACCAATCAAGCACCTGAATTTCTCATGCAATGCGCTCGCCAAAACAGACTCTGCCGATTTGTGACGGAAGAGAATCGCAATGTGCAGCTGAACCTGACCGCCAGTGATCCGGACGCGGGCAGAAACGGAGAATTGTCCTACAGCCTGAAAGCTGGCAGCTCACCTGCTCTGTTCCAAGTAAGCAGTGATGGCATTGTCACCAATACTGGAACGTTGGACTATGAAGAGCTAGATGAGCACGAGTTTGTACTGACAGTGTCAGATGGAGGAACGCCATCCCTATCTTCAGAGGTGAAAGTCATTGTGACAATTGAGAATGTCAATGAGTTCAATCCCAGAGTGGCACCGTGCAGTGGGTCCGTATTAGAGAATGCCGCACCACAGCAGCGCAACATACTCACTGTCATGGCCGAGGATCCTGATCCCTTTGGAGGCCTAGTGTACCGGCTACTGGACTCTGCAGACCTCTTCACACTGGACAGAAGAAACGGAAAACTATCAGCCACAGTTGCGTTTGACCGTGAAACCTTGGACAATTACGAGGTTGGAGTGATTGTGAGTGATTCCGGAACGCCACAACTCAGCACCACTGTGCGTTGTTCCATTACAGTGCTGGATGAGAATGATAACGTACCTCAAATACTGGACAGTCCTTTTGAAATAGACGTGAACGAGTCCATCATTGTTGGATCGGTGTTGCTCCAAGTGTCGGCAACGGATGCTGATCTGGGAAGAAACGCTCTTCTGGAGTACCGCCTGGAGGATGCCTCTCAGATGAATCTCTTCCGAATCAACGCAACTACAGGCGTTGTCACAACCATCGCTCCTTTGAATCGAGAGCTGGAAAACCGACACAATCTGGAAATCATCGTGGAGGACAATGGCGTTTCGTCTCTGTCAAACAAGACGAGTCTTACGGTGAATGTTCTTGATGTCAATGACAACAACTGTGTATTTCCATCAGGTCCGTTCATCGCATCAGTACCAGAGCGCTCCCTAGGTGGTATTTTCCTGGTCAACGTACTTGCGGTTGACATTGACTTAGGGGCCAATGCCGAAGTGCGCTACCGCATTCTAGACCGGGGTCTTATAGCAACAATATTCGGTATTAATGAGACCTCGGGTGTTGTCAGTACAATCGGCAGAGTTCCATCCCTTGAGCCGGAAGGTGCTGGTCCAGATTTCGGCATGGGTGGCTTTTCAGTGTACACAATCAACATTGAAGGCTTTGACCAAGGCAATCCATCGCTGACATGTCAGACAACTCTTGACGTTCACATCACCGATGTACCCGAGAGTGGCATCATGGTCAATCAAACATTGCAAGAAGTAACCGTTGCCGAGAACTCACCCATCGGGACGCCAATAGCCGAGTTTGTACCAACTGCAGCCAGAGAATTTGTCCGCCCGCTGGTATACACCATAATTGGAGGGAATCAGCATCGATTCTTTGCTGTGAACTCCTCAACTGGTGTTGTGTTCGTTGCCGGCAACCTGGACAGAGAATCAAACTTAGGGAATGATTTTCAACTCATCATCACCATTCGCGACTCGTCAACTCCGCAACCTCTAACGCTGACAGTCACCCTATTCGTTATCATCGGGGATGTTAATGACAACGTCCCGGTGTTCACACAATCGGAATACTTTGGAAGCCTGGTGGAAAACGAAGCAGCCGGCCAAAACGTGGCAACGGTCGAGGCGGACGATTTAGATGCCGGACGGAATGGTGCTATCACCTATGCAGTTCTGAAGGGTGACGGAGCAGATGTGTTCTATGTTGACAACAGAACGGGCATTGTGCGCAATCGTGTGCCATTGGATAGGGAGAACGTCTCGCAATACCTGATAAAGATCGTCGCAAGGGACCATGGCGTTCCGTCCTTGTCAAGCACCACATTAGTAAGGATTGCGGTTGCTGACGTGAATGACAACTCGCCTCAGTTCCGACAGCTACCTTCAGTCATATCTGTGAGTGAAGACGTCAGTGTACCCATTCTATTACTGACGGCCACAGCCAGTGATACAGACCAGGGTACGAATGGTGAGGTTGTCTTTTCAGTGCTGCAATCCACTGCCGACGCCAGGTTCTTCTCAATCGACCGCTACACTGGGCAGCTAACACTTGTGGAGTCCCTCGACCGAGATGTACAGGAATTGTATGCAGTGACCGTGATGGCAAGTGACGCGGGAAGCCCACAGCAGAGCACTTCGCAGACAATAACTGTCATGGTTGTTGATGCCAATGATAACGCACCTGAGTTTGTCGGAGCACCATACTCTGTCAGTGTTGCAGAGAACACCGATGAAGACACCACCATACTGACGTTCAATGCAGAAGATGCTGATATTGGTGTAAATGGTGAAGTGCGCTACGCAATGGTCTCGCCAATACTGCAGCACCTGCCGCTAACCATCGATCCCGTAGGTGGTCATCTGATCGTGACTGGTGCGCTGGACTTTGAGAATCAGACATCCTATGTGCTTGATGTTCGAGCTTGTGATGAGGGTATTCCACAGCAGTGCACAACAACCACTGCCTCAATTGCCATCACTAATGTCAACGAGTTCCGGCCCACGTTCACTAATCTGCCGTTCTTCGCCGAATTGAGAGAAAACGCTCAGCCAGGCACTGTTGTCATCACATTGTCTGCCGAGGACCAGGACCGTGATGATAGTCTCACTTTCAACATCATATCAGGAAATGAAGATGGCGACTTTGCAATTGATGTACAAACGGGAGTGGTCAATGTATCGGGAACGATTGACTTTGAAATCAGAAGGACGTATGAGCTGATTGCTATGGTGCAGGATACTGGAAATCTCAGTAGCATTGCAGTTGTGACCGTGTCTGTACTGGATGAAAACGACAACGCACCGGTGTTCAGCATTGATCAAGCGAATGTAGTTACGATTGACGACATTGCCGTAAAGAAGCTGGCAGTACTGCGGGCGAGCGACGTGGACAGCGGAGTGAATGGACTGGTTAACTACACATTGGTCAGTGCTGTGGTGCTGAATGATACAACACGACTTGTCACCGTCCGTGCCCAAGACAATGGCATTCCAACGGCGCAGTCTACAGATTTCAACATCACTGTGTTTACGACATTTCCATGCGACGTCATCACATTCTTGGTGGATAAAGAATCTGGTCTTGTCACGTTCAGGACCCTGTGCGAAGTCCTGTTCGAGGCGCATGAGCCTCAGAACCTCACCGAGGGTGACCTTCTTCGTGGAGACAACGTGTCCTTTGTATGTGTATCAAAATCCAACTGTCATGATGATGTTCAGTACACACTAATAAAGGATGGCTCATTCAATGAGGACTCGGCCATCGGTGGAGTGACATACTGGGTGTTGTCTGACGTCGGCATGTCGGATGAAGGATGGTATAGTTGTCATGCATCTCTGCCCGATGCTGGTACTCTGTTCTCCCATCAGCTAGCGCTGAACATAAAAGGTATGATTGTACCGATAAGGTAGCTTAGTGTGCGCTAGTGTGTATGTAATATCCCGTTCAATAGTACTAGCCCCATGCCTGTTCGAAACGTCAAAGTTTGGCTCCATCCATTCAATTTGCACATAATATTGATCTAAAGCACTGGTCCTTTGGTGGGGTGAGCAAAGGCGATGGGGCACAGTAGATGAGTGCACCATTCAAAGTTCAATATGTGTTTAAAAGCTCAATGCAACAAGAAACCTCTAACACTTTCTGGCACTAAGGATATAATTATAATTATTATAATATTGTAGGATTGACTACGGGGCAGTGGTACTTGTACCAATAATTATTATAGTACGTAACTATACTGTTCTATCTGTTTTAAGTAGATACCATCAGTGCAGCTCTGTCATACTCAGGCCACACCTGTACTGCTGATGTGCAGCAATATGTATCATTAAATGACATGTTACTGGGTTTTTTTTGTAACTACCATCCTCCCCCCCCCCCCCACAGAATCGCCAACCATTACTGCTCACCCAGAAACGGTTGAGGTTCAAACCGGCCTTTCTGCCTCATTTACTTGCGGTGTCCGTGGTGATCCCACGCCAGTCATTCAATGGCAGAGTGATGGAAAGGACATCCCTCTGAACTCCCGGATATTCTCTGGTTCCAACACCACAACACTAACTGTCGCTAATGTTACTGCTATCGACTATGGCAAACTGCGGTGCATCGCTGCCAACCGTTTAGGAACGGCCATGTCGAGAACAGCGGAGCTCTTTGGCTATGGTGGGTGCTGGGTGCATGTGTGCACATTAGAGAGGTTAAGATGCACGTTATATCCGACGTGACGCGCAAGTTCACGTAAAATTTGGCGTAAAACTCCAGATTTCAACGTGAGCTGCAGGTCACTCGCGTTGTTTTTTGACGCGCGAGCCAAATAACGCGAGCTGAACTTTCGTGTCACGTCAGAAATACCGTGCATCTTAACCTCTCTATTGTCTATGTTGTAACTACATGATTGTATAGTTAGTTGCACAGCATTTGAGTGAGGTTTGACTGGTTGACCAGTGTTGACCAGTGTAGACCAGTGTTGACCAGTGTTGACTAGTATCGGCCAGGGCTGTAGCACGTCCAGGAGAACTGCCCATGGCCGCAGTGTCAAGACTGAACAAACACCTGAATAAACCTGAACATGTTACGTGTGTGTGCTACTTGTATATTATGTGTGTAACTTTGTATAAGTGTGACCTTCTGTTGCCATCTGGTGTGTTTTTACATTTGCAGTTCGATCTGACCAGATTACCGTGCTGACAAGAGTGCGTGCTTCGCTCAAACAACCATGTCCACCTTTTTCCCTGCAGCAATTTAAGGTAACTATTTAAACACTTTTAGAAGCAGAAGCAGCAATATCATGTGTACATGGTGCTGATTGTCACCATTCAAAACAACCTCCCAAATATCCTCATAGTATATTGGTGCAGGTTATGGATTAGCGCAATGAGGTGGTTGACATGCATGCCGCATAATTGTGTGGATGACATAATATGCCGTAAGTAGACATTGGTACGTGGCAATATTGTTTGATTTGATCTGCTATGGCTTGATACTAGTATGCTGACGCATTGAATGTTTTTGCTCGCAGTTCGCCCTGATGCAAAACTTCAACTTGGATACAGTTGCCATAGCAGCAAGTACGAGCAATAAGTGCAGCGAGAACCCATGCTGGCCACAGCCCTGCCAGAATGGCGGCGTGTGCTCGGCGCAATCCGGAAACAAGGACTTCATCTGCTCGTGTCCATCAGGTTGGATTGGCTCAAGGTGTGAAGTGGATCGTGATGAATGTGACAGAAGTAAGTCACACTACTGAACAGGAGGATAGGTATGTGTGTAGCAGGAGGATAGGAGAGTGTAGCAGCACATGCACACTGAGTAGAACGACTGTATCATCAACTAGAATGTGCATGGGGAAGTTGTATTTGCAGCAACGAAACCTATAATCTTGATGCTCTTCTTCATGTTTGTGTGTGTGTATGTGGGCGGGTGGGTGTACGTGTGTGTGTGTGTGTGTGTGTGTGTGTGCGCACATGTGTGTGTGTGTGTGTGTGTGTGTGTGTGTGTCTGTGTGTGTGTGTGTGTCTGTGTGTGCATGCACGCATGTGTGTTTGTGTGCATGAACAGATCCTTGTGAGAACGATGGTGTATGTATAAATATGGAAGGCACCTTCTCATGCGACTGCCCGAACAACACAGCAGGACAGCGTTGTCAACTGAATGCAGCAGCATGCGATAATGTGAATTGTGAAAAGAAGGCCGAGTGTGTTCTGACAGACATACGTGCAAGGTAGGTTGAACTGCATAGTTTGGAAAAGAATAATGCAGACTGGAGGTGTTCCAGCATGATTTTTGAGAATGCTGGAGGTTCAGGTACAGATGGGGTCATCATGTGCTTGAAGATCCATATCCCAACTGGCCTGTCGCCCGTTGCTGCTTTTGCTATTCATTCTGACATTCTTTCTCTCTCCTGATCTCTCTCTCTCCTGCTGTCTCTTCTGCTCTGTCTCCTGCTGTGTCTGTCTCTGTCTATCTATCTATCCGTCTCTCCTGCTCTCTCTCTCTCTCTCTCTCTCTCTCTCTCTCTCCCTCCCTCTCTTCTGCTGTCTCTCTCTCTCTCTCTCTCTCTCTCTCTCTCCTGCTCTCTCCTGCTCTCTCCTGCTCTTCCCTGCTCTCTCTCTCTCACTTTTCTCTCTCCCTCTATCAATCTATCTATCTATCTAGCTTGCTAGCTATCATCAGGCTACAAAGCCAGGAGTAATTCTGGCAGGCTATCTATCTATCTCGTGTTGTGATCATTTTTTATACTTGTGCATCCTTGCTATGCCCGTGCATGCGTTCTCTTTTCTACCACAGTGGATACGCGTGTGTTAAGAACAGTGATAAGATCAAGGTCACACTGAAGCTGAGGTCCGGTCGCCGTCCAGCATCCACCGATATAGCCGAGCAGCTAACACCACTAGTACTCAACGCACTGCTCAAGAAGAGAGCGGTAAGAACTTATCATGCGGCTGAGAAAGTACATGCATAAACACAAAAATATGAATAGTCAAATCATCTTAAATGGCATGGTGCAGGAGCCATAGTCCTCAGCCTCAGCAGTAACACTAACATTCCTTTGCTTTAGGGTATATTAGTCCTCACTCTGCCAGTTTTGAATTTTTAGCAGCTGGTTCTCCTGAAGCCGGTAGCTCCAGCGAGCTCCACCGCCCGTCTACCAAATAAGAAGCTGGTCAGAATCTGGTAGAGTACGGAAGTAACTTTCTGCCTCTGAAAGCTATAAGTCAATCTGTTAAAAATGGTAGAGGGTTTGGAGAGCTTCAAACTCCTGACTTTGTCCACGTTTGTCCACTTCTATCGGTAGACGAATGATGAACAAAATCTCCTAGTCAGTGCGCCCCCCCCCCTGCCATAGTTTCATGATGTGTACCAGTGCAGTTCTTCAACATACTACTGCATTTGTATGAGTTCGTGGCTGTCACGTCAAATGCTAACTATGAGTATGACTTGTTGTCCTCTATCTCTGTAGCAAAGTTACGACGCTTCACTTGTTACTGCTGGCTCAAGTACAAGTCAGAGACGCCGTCGACAAACTAGTGATAGCGACTCAACTGGAGATGATGGCTTTGCTGGCTGTCAGATAGTAGTCCTGGATGCCTCTTCCAGCTCACAGTCATCTGATCAGGTGAGCTGACATTGCATATTGAACTTTACCACAGTATTACTAGTTTGTATATTATATGTAGGCCAGCAAACTTGACCGATAGTATGTACATAGATAGCATCCAAGTGTTGGGATGGAAAGGTATTAATTGTCCAGAATTGTTTTGTAGTTGTACCCGGGTCCAGCACCTATGATCTTGCTTGGGGTCTTTAGTTATTGGTGGTCTAGCTGTTTCTACATCGCGATATGATATCTCGGGTTATTCTAGAAAGGCAAAACTTATCCTGGAACTACGTTTGCTACTATTCTTCCCCTGCAGACATTTGATACAACACTTGTTGTGGTGTGTCCGGAAAATGAGCCTAGTCCGCAAGATGATGAGTTTCAATCCGTGTGCCAGGAGATCACTAATGGCGGCGAGGCGACCCAGTGTACTGTGGGAAATGCCACGTTTGTCGAGCAAGAAGAAAGCCAGGAAACCAAGTGAGTGCCTGCTCATGCACCAGGACATGACAACATACAATCATGTGGCCACGAGTGACATGAAAACATTCACAGAACCTTACATAATTCTGAACTGCCCGGGAGTCATGCCATGCTGACTGCATTGGCTTACTTTGCACCATTGGCTGGTTGCATGCGTCCTCAGGATCACTAGAGCCCGCATATGTAGAGACTAGTCCACAAAGGAGCACCTGTCTGGTTCACTGCGACTCTCTACATGACAAGATCAGTCTAAATTGCAAAATGCACTGCTAAAGCTGACGCCACCACCACCAACTTGAAGATTATCGTTGCTGCTGGTAATGCTCCTACCAGTTGCTTAGCGCTACGACTAGTGGACTACACATGTATGCCATATGGCCAGCCAGCTAGTGTGTGGTGGGACAGCCAGCTAGTGTGTGGTGGGACAGCCAGCTAGTGTGTGGTGGGACAGCCAGCTAGTGTGTGGTGGGACAGCCAGCTAGTGTGTGGTGGGACAGTCAGCTAGTGTGTGGTGGGACATGAGCTGGGAATTCCCATTACTCAGTGGTCTATGTTGTCTGGTTTGCTTGATAATCACAGTGTTCAGCTTCAGATCTTGATCTTGTCTAATGGCACCACCATACCAGTGAGTGCAGAAGAGGGAGTGCGGCTGCTGACAGACCCCACTATCCAAGCAGCACTCGTCCCACTGGGATTCTCCATTGTTCATGTGCAAGCCGGTAAGAGTCAGTCAACCACTCTCTTGAAGTTGTCTCACACAAGCAATGTGCCTGTATGAACTACATATTCGTCTCAGCAGCAGTAAGCCAAAAAGATGATTCAAAAAGGTGGAAATAACATTATAGCAAAACAATGCCAAAGGAAGAGAGACGGAGGAGAGAGAGGGTAAACCGGTACTTGTATAGAAGTGTCATAGTGAATACAGGATAAGTCCACATTGGTGGACATCACTGGCACGTAATAAACCGAGCTATGCTGGACTCGCAAAAGAGATGGAAAGTAAAAATCTATTAGAAAATCTTGAAGTGTGAAAGATCTCACTTAGCATACAAGAGTATGCCCGTGAAATGTGCCCGTGCATATTGTTCAGCGATGCCAAGTACCCTTGGCCTTGTTTTGATCTTAACTTTGTTATACACATATTCCACTGTCCCGTGCCCCTGTACATGCACTGCTGCAGGATCAGATTGCGGGTACATGTATAGATAGATTGCGGGTACATGTATAGATAGACTCTGGCAGTAGGATCGAGTGTTTGAGTTGTGTTTGTGCTGTGACTGTATATTCCAACATTGACAGGTATCCCAACTACTGTGCCGACCTTGTCCGCCACAACAGTAACATCACCGTCAGATGCACAAAATACTCCTGGTACGGTGGTGATTATTGATTGTTACTGGTATTTTGTGACTGAGGCGTTTGGAGTGGTGTGCATGGTGTGACTGCTGGTCATACTGTGTGATACCCATGTGCATGCATTTCAATTTGGCTCACTAGGATCAGTCTCTAGGTTGAGTCCACAAGCGATACGCCCCAAAACATGTGACGTCCTTTCCTGAAGAAAGAAATGTATTTAAAGATCATCCTTTTGCAATGGATTGCTTTATCATCTTCTCCTCGCAGACCCCAGTCCAGTTGTGGCAGACGGAAACGACTGGCTTATTGTCGGAGTGGCAATCGCCGGTGTGCTCTTTGTTGTGATCATGTTTGGAGTATGGCTGACGTGTTGCTGGAAAAGAAGGTACGTTTTAAAAATTGAATCCAACTCTGAATTTGATTAGTTGAACAAAAGTTGTCATCATCAGACCTGTCATTGGTTACTCTGAAGATGAGGTGCTTATGGGTATCCAGTGTAAGATTTCCCATGTTGTAGCCAGGTTGTGCTATTAGCCTACAACCGATGACCAAGGCATTCGGGTGCATTGTGTTGCCATCCACAGTAGAACTCCAGCTAGTTTCAAATGAGCACTGGCTCTGTGCGGATCTTAGACCTTGTGCATATCCGCTACATATTGCTAGTGATTTGAAAATAACTTCCATTCAATGTTGCACCACACACCATACCTGCGGAGGTATTTTTCAAAAACTCTCACTAATTGGTATGTCTCTATGGCTTTATGCTTCAATGCACATAACCTTGGTTATTGAAGAATCTACACATTGTTAAAATCTTATTGTGTACACAGATAAGCTCCAATGCTATGACACAAACTGTACATTGTTATTTTGCTTTTACATATGTGGTCGTATAGTGGAGCTGGTGGTCGTAGCAGTGACTTTGGAGATAACTCGTATTACGGTGTGACATTCAAGCGTGGAAGTGACATCAGTGGACCTGTACCAAACAAGCTGTCAGCTGTCGACACACTGAAGAGTCGATCAATCTCCACCCTGAATGTCTCCTCATCGACAATATTCTCAAACGAAGCAGCTCTGAACGCTGACTATGACCTGAACGCTAGTACAAGCAGTCGACAATCGCGCAAAACACAACCATCCACTGTCACCGTCGAAGCCCAAGATATTGACACAATGGATCTGGAGAGGTTGCAGTCATCGGCATCTGGCTTCATGGTTACCATGCCAAATCTGTCACATATCTCATCCGGCCCGTATGCATCATCACCGCTCGACAAATCACCAGCAAAGCAGAGCAAAGCAACAGCCATCGCTGAGAGGCCTCCGGGATACACCAGTGATGACAACAGATATGTGCCAAAGCCGTTTGGCCTCGCAGCCAGCCAAGCCCAGAGTGGTGGCAATAGAAATGCTCCCTCGGACAGTTCAGGAGATACTTATGAGGATATGGCAAGTACTCCGGTAGGATACCGCTCACATCCAGATCACTTGTCATTAGGTGCCACCGCCACCGCTGCTGACGTTACAGATGGCACGTTTAAATCTAAACCAGCAGCGGCAGCTACAGCTGCAGCGGCAGCTACAGCTGCAGCTGCAGCAGCTTCTGGAGGCGACTTCTCCAAGGCCAAGCTAACGTCGTCAGCCAGTGCTGGTGCCAGGAGTAGTGCAAGCGCTGCTCCAAGTGTCCAGTCGGAGAGTGTGGAAGCATTGCTGGCTGAACTCAATGCTACACTCAAGCAAGCACACCAGGGAGCCAGGAGCGGTGGCGATCGCCATGCCCGTGACGCGAATGAGTCGCCATGCCATCGTAGTGAAATGCACGCACGCATCTGCAGTGACTATTTCTACGATGCGCTGGGTAATGAAGGTGACAGTACTGCTGATGCGAGTAGCTACGATGCTGATTATCAGTACGACACATTGCAGACAGAACGGCGACAATCTGGACACCCTCCACCACCATTGCCGCCAAGAAACGAGGCATCCAATTGGGAAGCGAGAAGGTAAGATGCATGTTCCTGGACATACCTTCACAGTTTGCGGCCGTTCACATGATTGGAAGCTATGTACATGTCTGTACTGGCTGCATTGTTTTCTTCCTGCTAATAATATTATGTTAGTATAGTGCCGTGATATTGCTCAAGCAGAAAGCCAAGTAGAAGAGTTCTGCCATTTCCCATAAAAATTGTGTGTTTGTATACCGTAACGCCGGTTACATGAAGTTATTATATGCTTTTTAACCGTTGGTCTTTTTGCTGTCTTTGCCTTCTGCACCTTCTATATACAGTAAAACACTGCCGCACGCTGCAAGACTCCAGAATGTGGTGGCACGAGATGCAAGGAATGTGAGTGATCATTCTGCACACGTGTTAGCATTTGTGTGTGTGTGTGTGTGTGTGTGTGTGTGTGCGTGCGTGCGTGCGTGCGTGTGTGTGTGTGAGTGTATTTATGTGTGTGTACATTGAATGTGTGGGCAGGTGTACTTTTCAAATGTCTTGCTTGGATGATGCCTTTTTTTGAAGGAAACTCTAATCATGCATCCCCAGTGAACATGCCCTATGCATAGTCATAGTAATGTTGTGTATCACTCCCTCTTATACCTCTTCAATGGTACAATCCTGCTGCATTTGGTTCTGCGGAGAAACACTTGTCATGGGTGTGTGCTCTACTGAAAATCCGGCTAGGGTTTTTGTTTGTTTGTTAAAAAACCCTGCTGGCTGCAGAAATCCCGCATGAAATAACTGGTTTGTATTCCTCCTCCTCTTCTTCTTCTGTCCTTTTCGTAGCATACAATGGATCGTGCTGGATCTCGTGAGCAGCTGATGGGCAGTGATTCAGATGAGAACCTACTAGCATTGTAAGTGCACTGATCACGTTGGGGTCACCGAAAGCGTTTTTTGTCGTCCCCGAAACGAACATCGTTCATTTCGTACTCGCCCCCTCCCCTCCCTCTGAAATGAATGCAGCTTGCTATGCTGGACGACGAAAATCGCATGCATGATTGTACATATGTACATTGTTGGTTGACTTGCGATTTTGGCTCGCACCCCCCCCCCCCAAAAAACGGACGATGTTCATTTCAGGGACGACAAAAAAATTGCAACAACCCCTTAGATCATCCCAGTGTCCAGGTCTTGCCTGTTGCAGCCCCATTGCGGTCAACCCAGAAGTACTTTTCAAGTAAACTGCATAATTATGAACCATAGGATGTAAGAAATGCCCAGGACAGGCTGTGCTTGGTAAGGGTGTACCCCCCCCCCCCCCCCCACACCACACACACAATTCCCCCTCTCTCTCCAGGACAGGCATTGCTCAGTGACTTTCTGGCTTCCTGGAAGAGGTACTGCTCCATGACTTTCTACTAGCAAAAATTATCCTGCCCTGGCAAAGGGTTTAAAATCTATGCCTTGCCAGACAACTTCAGCACGCTTTAAACGAATATTTTACATTAGTAAGTAGTAGTCTAGTAATGCTATTGTCTTAGTTTGGTACTGCTGCGCTATAGTGCAAATATCACAAGTTGATGCCTAAGAGGAACACTAGAGGTGTGATAACGTGTTCTGTGATGAGTGTGTGTTGGATGTTGATTTGGATGCACGTCTTCTTGTGCCAAATTTTGCTAACTTCAGGTCAACCGGATCGGTCAACTACATGACCCCTATTTGAAAAGATACCTACCGTTTCCTTTCTTGGTATGGATCTGGAGCAGGTTCTCTTTTTGCAAAGGCAAAAGTACAATAATTATTGTGTCCACTACGGCTGGAGCCTGGGCATTTACATGTAAGCTGTTCTCTATAATGTGTACTCAGTATGTGTAAATAGAACTGCTCAGATCTACATGTATAACCACAACAACTGCTCATTTCTTGCCCACAATCTTCTTGATCGCGTCTCAGATGGTGTCCTATATGTCACACTAGAAGCACACACCCTTTTGTACCATAATCTTGTTTCATATCACGCAAAAAAACATTTGCGTACCATACCATTATCGTACCTCAAAGTATCAGATTACTGCTTTATTCATGCAGCAATTCCTGTCTCTGCAAACTCCATTTCTTCAGAAAAGAAATCATGCATCACAATCAATATGAATTTCTTCATGCGATAATTATTTCTCAGACTTACCCTGAACCAAGGCTGTAACATTAATGCCAGTCTTCTAATGATACTGATGATGAGATCATAAGACCACTGCAATGCATTGTTATGGTCACAAATATGTTTGCCCACTACGTAATCCCGCATCACAGCCTTTATCCTCATGCATGTAATTTAATAACGTTATGGCCACAACTTCCACAATGACTGAAACAGTTCACTACAACATTGACACGGCAACTGTTTTTCTCCCAGATAATCTGCGGGATCCCTATGGGATAGTTCAGCACCTGCATGTGGGTTAGTGTGTTAGGACACTCAGTCTTATGAGTCATGTCGATTCTCAGTCGAGTCTCAGAGATATCTTTAACTGTGTGTATGGTGTCACCGTGTTAGTAATCACAACGGTGACCACAATGCAGTGACGATGCAGTGACGAATGTACACTCACTCCCTTGGGCTCAGTCCAGACTGGCACAGAGGGTTGGTTTGAGGGTTGGCCGTGACACTTCACATTCACTTGCAATCACAGCCAGCGAATCAACATGAAGGTTCGAAGCACTACGTAAGAGGAATAGCCTAACAAACACACCTCTGGCTCCGGCCATCGTGATAATAAAGATTTCTAACACAACAACATGATACTAACGCTCGTGTTGTACAGAGTACAGCGGTAGCATTAGCGACTAGTCTAGCCAGGCACTGCAACACTGCATTTGCCGGTTAGGATTGGACCGCACCCACCTTGTACAGTAAGTGCGTGATTGTAGTTGGCATGTACATGTACTACCATTACTGGATGGGGATGAATAATTCACTCCCAATCTTCCATACACAACGCCACGCGCGCGCGCGCACACACACACACACACACACACACACACACACACACACACACACACACACATGTACGCAGACACAGTCTCCGTCTTTCCTTATTCTTTTCCAGCTGCATGGTTATGTGAACATAGTAAAAACACACGCACACAAACACACACACACATACACACATGTACGCACACACACACACACACACACAGTTCAAGAGCATGGCGAATCATTGGAGTACCTGTCAATATCTGCCCGCAGTGTACAATGGTATACACAATTTAAATGTACCTGTTCCTTCCCACTTGTGGGCAGATCTACGTCCTGCATGCTAGCGAGTTCCAGGGACACGATAGCTTGGTGGTCACATTCCCTTGGCATTGGTGGTGGGGCTGTGGCATCACGCATTGGTGGAGCTGTGAACCATTGACGGTATTCAAACTGTTGGCCATGCCGCACAGTCTCACTATCAGCACAGGCCTACAAGAGATACAGCCATTGCTGGCACGGTGTAGGTGATAACACTACTCACTAGTTTGAGCGCCAATCTTCACCTTCAACAGTTACATGTTCACCCCGGCATGGCCCAGTGAATGAAACGACCGGCGCTGTTGTCAGACATGGTTTTGTAGCTGCAGCTCTGGAGTCGAAATGTATTTTTCTTCGAAGCCTGCGTCGTGTAAGACGTCTTTCTTTCTGCTCTTTCCAGTCTTGGAAAGCTACCATTGAACAACGGGTACCGACACAAACCTTCAGCCGTTGTGTGGCCAGGGCCGCGCGTGCACAGGCAGGTGCTTCGTATCATTCTGGATACACACAGGCTTCCCGACGAAACGCTCGTGATCGACTTTGGCCTACGAAGAGCCGTCCAGGCCAGCCACCAAACGGCATTACCAAACTTCGACACTGGACAGCTCGGCCTGGACCGACGTCCCTGGCCTGACCGCTGGAACTCACTGCTCACAAAGGGCAGAGCGCCGGTAGACCGGCAGACAAACCGGCAACATGTCAGCGTGGAATCATGGACGTGTATTGTGTAACTAGAGGGTTTGTGCTAGGAGCCGGGTACGCGGGTGGGCTTGATTGTTGCTCCAAGAGTCTATTCTCAGGCTGGCCTATGGAATTTATTCTTCAGACCCAAAGCAGGAGGCAAGCGCTTGGTTTTGCTTGGTTTTACCTCAGCCGGTTGGACACGAGCTGCAGGGGAATGCTCAACACTTGACAACAGTCTTTGGCAGTTTGGGGTCCTGGGTCACCACCCTCTAGGCTCTACGTGCCTTCGTCTCTCTAGGACTGTAGGAGTCTAGCCTCTACTCTACTCTAGGGAGCCTAGTCGACATTGTAATTTGTATGGCCTATGTGTGTATGGGGGGGGGGGGGCGGGGTATCGTCGTTCGTAGATCTACCCACTCTGTGCTGAAGCTGACTACTTGTCTTAGCAGGGAGTCGGTAAACCCGGTTTATACGACTCCCTGGTCTTTAGCCTCGAACGCATTGTTGTGAAATGTATGGAACAGGACGATGTCGTGACCAGATGGCCGTCGTGCGCTCTTTGCTGGAAAAAGAACTACTAGTACATAATTCTCATAAAAAGGACACACTTCAGGCTCATTACAAACATCTTGAAAGTTTTTGTCTTCACAAGTATACTTTCAAGCCTTCTCATCAGGTGAAATACAGGCAAGAGAAAAGGAACAGGAACAGTGGATTAAATAGTACATAATTGTGAGCCGATATCGCGCGGCGCAGACGGAGTTTTTGCAGATGTTGTCATGATGACGTAGATCTACATACGTACATGACTGTAGTCGTTGAGAAATGCGGTTGTCGGAAAATTCGACGAATCGTGTCTTTGGCATGGCATTCTCGGTTACTAGCTCAGTGCCTGCCTGGGCCGTGGGATAGAAACACTACACTACACTCTACACTACAGTACAGGCGCAGGCGGAGGTATTTTGTCATTGTCACTTCTTCCCGATTTCGATACTCTTCGCAGATGCAGGGTAGCACATGATATCGATTCGGAACCTTGGCTGCTGGCCGCCAGTAAAATCCTGCAGTTGAGTTAGTTTGACAGCAGGGTGTTACCCGGAACGCAACCTAGTCGTGAGGCCCTAGCCCTAGGCAAGTGTGCGGCCGTGTCTTTTTTGACTACTGGTTTGGCATGGGTGAAGGGTAACGCTGCCTTTTTTCGCCGTTTCGGGAATACATAGTATGGAACTGCGATCCAGGCTGAGCTGAGCGGCCAGCAGAGAACTAAACTTATTGTTATTCTTGTAGAATACATGATGTAGATCTAAGCAAATCCGTTGACTGCTGCGCTGAGTCTGCTATGATGTAGATCTTTGATTGTGTGTTTGTAGAGATGATGTACATCACTTGCCCTTGATGCGTCAGGTGCGGATACCCTTCGCCATCGGATCCGTGTGGTGACTTGTATAATATTATCTTATCATGAATACTGGGCAGCCGACAGACCGATGACCTTGCCATCAGTACGTGCGGGATAAGATCAATTTAGCTATGTTCGCAGTTTGTACCCGTCCAGGGACAGCCATGTACTTGCAAGTAGGCTCGCATGTTTGTACAAACAGTTTGTCTGCGTTGTCACTGGTCACGACCTCAATGCGGATGGGGAAAAAGGAAGCCACGGAGGTCCAAGATTGCAAGAAGACTCTTCCTGTGCAGTAGCATCAATGCACATAAGCAGTTGGTTACACTGTCCTCAACCTTGTCGCATGGTGAAGAAGAGCCTGTCTCTTCATCAACTGTAGTCTGTAGCCATTCTGAAAGAAGTTAGTTGCATGTTGGTCCTATTAGCACAGGGCAAGCACTGTATACTGTGTCCGTACCCGAATATACACTGAGACTGATTGCCCTGGCAAACATCATCATCAGATTCTGTTGAACCCTTGTTGAACCCTTGTACCGTAGTGATAAGTTCAAGTGTGTTGGCAATGATGAGCAGGTCGCCATCACTAGCTTCGAGAGTTGCTGTGCTTCTCCTTGCCGTAACATGGTGGCAGTGTGCTGAGGTGTGCGCTGGCAATAACCTGAAGTGTCCGCCATGCAGCGCCGTTCTGGCACAGAGGCGTCAGCAATGTGGAGGTCGTCCACCGACCTGTTCGTCGAGTTTGGTGCCAGACGTGTGCAAGTGCTGCTGGACCTGTGCTAAGGCCAAGCACCAGTTCTGCGGAGGTCTGTGGCATATGCATGGACGTTGTGAGAAGGGACTGCATTGTGAAATGACGGAGCAGCATCTAGAAAGTGTGGTGATTGCCACAACCAGAGACGAAGCTGGTACTGAGCTCACCACACCGTATCTCCTTCCAAATGGACATTGCAAAGGTCAGGCTCATCATGATGTGTATCTATCAATTCTACCTCTGTGTCTGTGTGTGTGCATGTGTGTGTGTGCACATGTGTGTGTGTGCGCATGTGTGTGTGTGTGTGCGCATGTGTGTGTGTGTGCGCGCATGTGTGTGTGCATGTGCGCACGTGTGTTTGTGTGTGTGTATGTGCGCACGTGTGTGTGTGTGTATGTGCAGTTGTGTGTGTGTGTGTGTGTGTGTGTGTGTGTGTGTGTGTGTGTGTGTGTGTGTGTGTGTGTGTGTGTGCATGTGTGCGTGTGTATATACATTATGTGTATGTCTGAGTTACCCTACTTTCCAGAGTATAAGCCTCACCCAGGGTTTTGTCACGAAATACAGACAACTACCCTGTTTACCACAGTTCATTTGATCATCGTAGTACAAGCCACCCACTGACTATTTTGGGGAGTGAATTAGTGGTGTTTAAAGTGCGGCTTATACTCCGACAAATAAGGTACATGTACGTCAAGGCTGTTTAATAGTCCAGTATGTGTACCCCAATGTAACAAGTGCGAAAGGTTAGGATTTCCAGGCTGGGTTATGAACAGTCCTATCCACCAGAATGCCTGCATGGGCATGTGTTGCATGTACAGCAGTGTATGCATGCATCTGCTAATCACCATGCATTGATGTATACACAAGCCTCTTCACAGTCAGGAAATAACCATGAGGTGGAAATTGGTGAAAGGCACATCAGTGGGGTACTCTACAGTACTAGCATATCAGGTCACTGGCTGTGTTCAGTCATGTACTTGTAGTTGTGAACTCGGTTCCCCTGGCCAGGTGTGTTGACACAAGCGTACAAAAAGAGTGTGAGTGCAGGTGCATACTCAGTATATAATGTAGTACACATGGGACCTATGCAACCAATTCCCTAGCTCTGGTTTATACTGAGGTAGTATCATCCAGATAGTGGCATTATTGACTGGATGCTTTTCAATATTCAAGGCTTGCCAATGAAAGATAATTGGTGTGTGTGTGTGTATGTGTATGTGTGTGTGTGTGTATGTGTGTGTGTGTGTATGTGTGTGTGTGTGTATGTGTGTATGTGCGGTGGTGGTGGTGATGGTGGTGGTGGTGGTGGTGGTGTGTGTGTGTGTGTGTGTGTGTGTGTGTGTGTGTGTGTGTGTGTGTGTGTGTGTGTGTGTGTGTGTGTGTGTGCGAATGCGTGTGTGCGGATGCGTGTGTGCGAATGCGTGTGTGCGAATGCGTGTGTGCAAATGCGTGTGTGTTTGTGTTTGTGTGCCGGTATGTGAGCATCTGCGTGGCTAAGTGTGCCAGGAAGAAAATTAGAGGTGGTCTTGCATAGCCCCAGGTGGTTTCACCTTTTCCTTGTCCTCAACCATGCCTGGATGCTCAGTGCTGCTTTCATATCGTGTTCTGCTTTCTATACAGGAACACCCTCGCGAACACCATGCCAGGAGAAGACATGCCCTTCGGGCACACGCTGTCTTCACTCCTATACCCACTGTGGGGAATTCCCTGCTGAGGAAACTGGCCATGCTACCCACTGTATACCAGTGGCTAAGTGCATTGCAGGTATGTAAGTAGTACAAGTATGTACATGTAAGCACTGCATTCAGCAACATCCCTGGCTTACTGAGTGTACAATGTACATGTAGAGATATACAGGGTGTCTATGATGTACCAGCTGCATATAGTGCTCTATGTCCAGTGGACTGAGCCAGCAATACAATTCACAAGCAGCAACAGTGCAACCAGGTCCTTCTTTGAAAACACACATCAGACAGCATAACTTAGACTGCCACTCACACAGCCTACCGGGAGAAGGGTTCAGAGATGACAAACGCATAACACTTCAGTAGGGGGTGTGGGGGGGGGGGGGAGGTGGAAAAACCTCAGCTCCATTCGAGTCTGTGGGGAAATAATGCAGTGATCGCACAAGCTCTAGCTTTACAGCACATAGGACACTTTTAGCATACTGGCTTGGCAGAGATATAGCAGGGAAGCATTGCATATTGACACAATCATGTATCATGATGGGCTGTGATGTTGAGGATGATAGTATGTGATCCGTGAAACTGGTGCATAGAAGCAAGACTAGATAAACAAGAGTGTGCAACTCCGCATCTCTTCTGCACAATCTGCTGATACCCCGGCCCACGGCAGAAATTTTTGTTGACGTCACCGCACGCGCATCTTACCGCAGAGCAGTGTGAGAGCACGTGCTGGGCACCGACCGTCTAATGTAAAGCCCGGCCAAGTGCACTAGGCAACACTTCCCAAAAGACTCACAGCGCATGCGTCGTAGAAAAAAATACGTCAACAAAAAATGTCTGCCGTGGGCCAACCCATCCGCGAGTTACACACTCTTGTTTGTCTACTCTTGGTAGAAGCCATTAAGGAGCCAGGGAGGTGCCAGGGCTGACCAGTGTCAAAGTGAATCCCACCAACTCGTAGCGAGTGCATAACGTTTGGAGTCATCCCGACACCAGCCAGCGACGAGCCCCGGAATACCAATACGGCCCCAAACACCACCCGTACCAAGGCCAGGAGGTGACCATCACACCCACCAAGAAGTCAACAAAATGTCCAGAGCCAAGTCTCGCGAACGAGTGGGCAGTGTGCCCCAAAGCGTACCCATCGCTCCCGCACCCCCGCAAAACCCATCGCCACTCACCCGACCCCATGGCAACTACAACAGCCCCTCCCCCGCACCTGGCATGACCAATGTGCACGTCATCCATCATGTTAACCCTGCTGAGCTGGAACTTGTTAGCATGGCGACATTTGGGGTCAACTCACACCCGTTTTGTTCAGGTGGGATGCTCTGTCGGCGGTGACCATGCGCTACATGTACTTCTCCATCAGGCAGAGATTACTCGGCGCTTGCTTACGTTGCTGTATGTCTTGGACAGCTCTGCAATCCTCCACTTGATCGTGGACTGCTTACTCTTCTCCTTCAGCTGCCATACACACATACTTAGAGATAGCTCAGCTGCGTTCCTTCAGGACTGGGTGTTCATGGCCGATTTGTGGTTGTAGTGACGCTTCCTGAACGGTGGCTTGGTAGCTCCGATGTACACTATCGTACACCCACTCCGGACACATTCACTTCATAGATTACTTTCTGGGCTTGGCAATTCGACTTGATTCAGCTAGAGCAGCTTCTTGTTATGCCCATTAACTACAGCGGCTACGATGGACATGACACTATAACAGACTCTGACGTTGCTTTGGCTAAGTATTTTGTACAGCTTGGAATTCGCTGGGAAGTGCTTCTTCACCAGTCTCAGGAACGCCGCCGCCATGTTTGTACTCGAAACTCCTGCTGAAAGGCGGGTTAAAGGGGAAGTTAAGGCTAAAATCAAATTTCACCAGTTGTAGTCTTCGCGGTGCTGAGTCGAATGGTCTTGGTCCGAGGAAGCTGAGACGCTCCATTCCTCTTTTATTCCCAATCGAACTCGCGCACTTCCACCGAAACTGGGTGACTGCGCCCTACTAGATGGGGATTTGTATGCAAAATGTCACTAAAAGCGCCATTTCGTTCTTATAAAAGCACGCATGACCGCGATTGGCCCATATGTTGTAGTCTTTTGGACGCTGAGTCGACTAGTTTTGGTCTTTTATTCCCAATCGAACATGGTTGAACAGGCGGCCATGTGTTCCTGCGTGCCAAAGTCACCTGGTCACCTCGCCAGCAGGCGAGAACTTTCACACCAAGGTTCCACTCGAGTTCAACTCGAGTGAAGGAGTGCACCCAAAAAAGGTCAAACAGGCTGTAAGTTGGACCCTGCAGGCGCTAGGCTAGGGCCGCTAGGCACGGTGACCAGGTGACTGGTGTACTGCAGGAGCACGTGACCGCTTGTTCAACCATGTTCGATTGGGAATAAAGGAGGAACGCTGCATTGCAGCATTCTCGGACCAAAACCAGTCGACTCAGCGTCCAAAAGACTACAACATATGGGCCAATCGTGGTCATCCGTGCTTTTATAAGAACGAAATGGCGCTTTTAGTGACATTTTGCATAAAAATCCCCATCTCGTAGGGCGCAGTCACCCAGTTTCGGTGGAAGTGCGCGAGTTCGATTGGGATTAAAGTAGGAAGGGAGCGTCTCAGCTTCCTCGGACCAAGACCATTCGACTCAGCACCCCGAAGACTACAACTGGTGAAATTTTGATTTTAGCCTTAACTTCCCCTTTAAACCACACAACCTTCCTCTTATGGTTGTCCCTGCTTGTTCTCGGGGCATGTGCCGTCTTCTTCTGGTACTCAATCGTTGGAGTAACGGCAACGAAGGACCTGGTTGCACTGTTGAGGTTTGTGAATTGTACATGCAGAGAATGTGTATGCAAGGAAATCTTCCATTGGTCCCTTCATCGCAGAACAGCTATGGATTTCCAACCCATAGTTTCATGCCAAGGACATCTTCAGGCAACTGATCACGCGAAGCGGCTCTGTACCCAGTACAATGCAGCAGTACTGATTGAGTACTATTCTAACAGTCGTTGCTACATGAGAAGTACGGCATTAAAAAGTTCACCAGTCGTAGTCTTCTGGGTGCTGAGGCGAATGGTGTTGGTCCAAGGGAGCTGCAATGCTCCGTTTTTCTGATATTCCGAATCGAATCCGTGTACCTCCACCAAATGGGAAGAGTGTGTTATACTGGATAGGAACTTGTGTGTGGAAATGTTCAGGAGAAGCATCATTTCATTCTCATAGATATAGAATCACAGACCTAAATGAAACTGTTCCAGACCTTTTAGTCTCTGGTCGTCGAATCGAAAGGCATTGATCCAAGGTGGCTCCACTGCACCATCCATTCTGAATCCCAAATGGATTTGGTCATATTTCACTATTTATGCATCGGTTGATGATCAGCTAAAGAGTCGTAAAGACGTACTATGTGTAACCGCATGCAACAGCAGTAAAAACCAGTGACCCCTTTTATTGTTTTGAAGAGATTGATGCATTGCATGCATGATGGCACTGCACTGGAGTAACATTACTCGCTCAGTTTGAACTGGTGAATGGGTAATGTTATCAGCTTGTGCACAAACAATGATATAGGCCCATGTTTAGGACATAGGCCCATGTTTAGGACATAGGCCCATGTTTAGGACATAGGCCCATGTTTAGGACATAGGCCCATGTTTAGGATATAGGCCCATGTTTAGGATATAGGCCCATGTTTAGGATATAGGCCCATGTTTAGGACTACGGGTTATGATGTTTTCCAGCCTTCTCCGATCAACATCAGTCGATTCAGCGCCCAGGATACAACAGGTTCTAAAGGTGTAAGTTGTGTTTGAGCTTCTATAAGAATGAAATGACACCTCCAGAGAAATGTTCCATACAAATCACATTCTAGTAGGACACACTCTTCCCTCATTGCCATTGGTGAAGGTGTGCAAATATTAATTTTACTGTAAGTATGGGGCAAGTGGAGCATTGCAGACTCCTCAGACCTACACCATTCGACACGGCACCTGGATGACTACGGGGATTTATTTTATTCTGTTTTCGGCCATACTTCCCTCGACAACTTTTAACCCTTTGAGGACGAAGGACGAATATATCCGTTTTTTAAGGTGAGTACATCCGTTTTTGAGAAAACTGCGATATCGATATATTTTTAGGTGCTTGAAGTCGCTCATATGTTGCTCAGACGAGTACGATCTGATTCTTCGTCAAGGTGAGACGTGTCGCAGTCGGTCCCGTGGAGAACCGGCCACATTTGAGTATACTCAGAGAATGTGCCGATTCAGGAGAAATTATTTGGAATTTTAAACTAACTTGTTACTTTGTTGAGAGTGCCGATGGCACGTAACCTGTCAAGTGTCTCCTTGTCTGGGGCCCTCGGCATTATCTTTATGAGCAGCGATAGTGAGGATGAACAGTGTGATCCGTTTTTGTTGCCCACTGATGTCAATGTCTCTTTAGAATCAAACTTTAGGACACTATATCAATTTTTGAAAATCCCAATTTTTCGAGAAAATCGCAACATACACCTATTTTGAATTGACCATTCTGACCTCTATAATGTATATATGATGTAGAAACTTTGGTTTTTGTTGCCTACTGATGTCTATGTCTCTTTAGAACCAAATTTTATGACACTAGATCAATTTTTGAAAATACCGATTTTTCGCCTGAAAATCGTAGGAATCCAGGTGGTTTGGGGTAGTCCTCAAACTTTGAAAGGGTTAATGTAGGCTGAGGATCGCTTTACACAAGTCTCCAAGCTGCAGCTATAATTCATTCCGACATCCATGTAAAGAGCTCCCCCCCCCCCCCCTCCCCACCCAGGCTCCCCTTCTTTTTCGCTATCCACTACTCCTTTTAGCTCCCTCTATGTATCATCAAGAGTATAACCCCCAAGAGTGTGCAACTCACGATACCCTTTCTATGGGGTTCGCCAACGGCGAAAACTCGCATCACATGGTGTAGTGTCGCAGCTGTACGTTTTTTCAACCCGTTTTTAGCGAGCAGCGGAGTGATAAAAAAGCAATCTCAGAACAGAAACTCACTGCACGTATGCAAATCCCCAGCATGATTATGGCAGATATTCGGATGGGGCGCACGCTATCCTTCGTTTGTACGTAGTGCGAAAAGTACCTGAGACGCGTGATGTGAGTTTTCGCCGTCGGAGACTCCATATGCAGAGTTGCACACTCTTGGGGACTTATATACTCCTGGTATCATACCACTATGTAGTAGATTTGTGAAACTTCGTGTTGATGTCCTTCACTATAGGTAGTCTGGGTAGACGGAATACACTTTACTATAGGTAGTCTGGGTAGACGGAATACACTTTACTATAGGTAGTCTGGGTAGGCGGAATATACAATAAAATGGTCCCAGTGGAATACTTTCAATACCCATTCTTCTAGGTCAGAATGTACAGGTAACACCTAGGTCGTCATTCTCGTCATGTGGCGTGTTCTGGTACGCGCTGTTGCTTGTGCATTCTCCACAGAGGGAACAGAATGTGATCGGCAATTGTTCTACGGCTGCGATGATATCAATGGTGTGTGCTGGTGCGGTGAGAAGATGGCATGTGTCGGTGAGCCTCCATTCCGATTTCCTAACCGAAGACCCTGTCAACAACACATCCATCATAGAAACGCTAGTAACCAAGCTAATGCCATTGCTTCACTAGTACCTGGGCCTACGGCAGTGCCAAGTGACACAAGTCGGGGTAAGTATATCATTCGCCACAGGTCTGACCATCATGGAGCATACCACTTCTTGCCTGTTTGATGTCGCTTTCGCCTTAACGGAAACTGAAGGGTAGACAGTACGGCCTGGTGGCATTTGACCTGTAACACTTTCGCTTGTATTTGAAATGCAGTAGAGTGCCGACTATCTGCACCCCTCAGGGCGCGGGGCTGTCTCCAGGGGGTTCGGATGAAGAGTATGTTCCGATAAGGGAGCGGTCACACATCCATCTAAAGCATGCATATCCCTGTTGTTTTCATCATTTCTCTTTGTCTTCACCAGTGCTACAAGATTTAGACACACTCCAGCTCCTCTTAATGATGCTTTGGGTGCCAATTTTGATCCCAACTTGTTATATACATCCTGTGCACAATTTGAATTGTGCTTTGGGTAGGGCTTTGGGTAGGGAAATCAGTCAAAACTCATTTCCGGTGCTTGAATCCAGTGCACACAGTCATTTTTAACAGATATTCGATCGTTCGGATAGTTGGCGTTCGGATAATCGGCATTCTACTTCAATATCAAGCAACCTTTTTTTAAATAACAGTTACCGTAGTAACGTACATATAAGCGCATGTTCCTGTATTCGGATATAAGCGCATGCTCTTATAGGCGAAGCAATACCAAAATTCTCACTTTGACAAAATCACGGATGAAAGTCTGCAAACAGCATACAGGAACCGGGAAACTGACACTACAAGACCTTGTCAAACACAAAGACTCTGGCAAACGAACTCTGATCGTGCATGCGCGTTTAGGTGAAAATATTTCATTTTCGAAAATTGGATTCGTAGCAAAAATTCACTTACAAGCACATGTGCCTATATGTGCGTTAGTATGGTACCATTGATCTGTAAAGAGAAAAAGACCTACCCGTACTTCCACCAAGGTAACATACAGTCAGATAGTGCGACAACAAGGCACAAGACTGACAAGGATATTGAGACATTCGATGACCTGACACCTAGCTCCAGCACCTCTACGAAGCGCAAACCAACGACCTTCCAACTTGGAAGGCTCAGGTGCAGAAAGTTCCAATGAGGGGAAGGGATGCGCTGACTGTATATTGTCTCGTTCCCTTGGTGGACTGTTAGTCATAACTAATTGTAGTAACTTATAGGTCCTTTTCTCTTTACATATTACCGTATTGGCTCAACATCCGAGTTTTTATGATTGATCTCAGTGAAATACGAATTGAGAGCGGGCTGTATCATTTCAATTCACTCTCATCCCTGAACAGGAAATACTGAAGGAGGTAGTGGTTGCCAACTGGCCAATGGCAGCTCTGTTGCGTCCGGGACAACTTGGAAGCCAACGCAATGCAACGAATGTACCTGTACGATGGACGGCGTCATAGCGTGCGATGAAAAGTGGGGACTGAATTGCCCAGACATCAATTCAAGCTGTGTCAACAGGGAGACATCCCTGGACCAATGCTGCGTCATATGCAAAGGTAATTTAAAAGGGATTTATCGAAAGATGGTGAACAACAGTATTGCCGGGGTGTCATGACTGTGTACAGGCTTGTGTGACAGGCCATCGTGCCTTTGTTGCTTGGACTCAGAGTCGTACATCATATGATCATAATGTGCAGATGTTGGACAGTACTTTAAAGAAGTGGGGTCAGGCATTTGGACTTGATCTCGACTGACAGCAAAATATTAGTGCTTGAGAAATTACAAGGCAGCTGTGGTGAGCGAAGCCTGAGGGGTCGTTTACATGAGAAAAATAGAGCCCGGGCTTATTCAACCCTAGGCTTACGATAAGCCCGCCTTGATCTGTCAACCAGTCATTTTAGAGAGCACGTTTACATGGTGAGGTGGGCTTATTCAGCTCGCCCCGAGCTGAACTAGCCCTACCCTTGACCCCGAGCTTATCCAACCCCCCTAGGGCTTATTTTTTCATGTAAACGGTCAAGGAAAATAAGCCCTGGGCTTATAAGCAAGTTTTCCGTATTTTTTGATTTTGCCTCGTGAACCTGAGAATATGTCGCCGTGGACAGTGCATCTCTTTTTGTTTCTTTCTTTGAATTTTTTCTTCTGGTTTCGTTCCGTGTAAGGTCCTAGCCAATCCTTCACCTTCTCGAAAATAAGTGACAATCGGAGAGGCAGTAGAAGCGTGAGCCGGCACTTCTTGATTCAAATTTCATCATACGCGAACATTTACCACTGCGTTTGTGTGCGATTTGAAAAATAGAATGCGCGTAGAACTCGCAGTCATTCACCAGAACTCAGCGCCGTACAACCGTCATGTAAACGGTTGAAAAATAAGCCCGAGGCGAAGAAGCCCAGGCTTATTTTCTCATCTAAACAGCCCCTTACTCTGTTGGCGTAAGGTACTGTGAAACCTTGAGTGTACCGCTCTACCTGGTCCCCATCATGCCCCGTGTTTTTTTTGTTGGTGGTACGGATGAGCGAGTCCTGACTGCAGCCGGGTCATAATTATGACACCTAGCGTTAATAGAACATTGTATGCACATTGCAAGCTGCACTCATTTCCGCACCTGTTGATTTGACAGTGGGCTCCACATAACATAACAATAGTGGGAGTATGCAGGTGTGGAACATTGGGTGACCATACAGCTACATTCGGGTTCTAACACCGCTTGACCTCAGTTTCTCTCGACCGAACAAGTTTCCCTTCACCGTGCAATGAGCCTGGCCCTATATAAGGGCGGAGCTCTGGAGAGATGGGGTGCTCTGGCAGCACCGTTTCTAGTAGTCTTAATGAAATCATTCCATTTGTCTTCTCATAAGGCCGCAATGTGCAAGGAACCATAAGCATAGGTCTGTTGGAATGTTCTTGTTTTACAAATAACTTCTGGACGTCATCAAAGTAAGAACTGGCTGTGATGTTCATCAATGGCACTCAACATGACATTGTATTTGCATGTCTGTTTTCTTTTTGGTGAACTTTTGTGTATGTGTGTGTGTGCACAGATGAGGTCAAGGATAAAGTCAAAGATGAAGAGGTCAAAGTTGAGGTCAAAATTGAGGTCAAAGATGAAGTTGATGTGCTGGAGACTGGAGGTCCCATTGCTGTGGGCCCAGGACCAGATGGCCCAGCGAATGGTGCAGAGGTGGACTCAAGTGCGTCCATGTCTAAAGAACTGGTATGGCCCATTCTATTAGGATGTGTTGGTTTTGCCTTGCTTCTTGTGCTCATGCTTGTCATCTGGAAGCGCTACTCACGACATCAAAGTCGCGACCACCTGGGCAACCTTGCTTACTCCCCCGCCACGGCCGAACAGCAGCACCTCCATGCATTGCTACATTGCAAAACTTCATACTGACGCGGCCATGACTGGGCCAGTGGCTAGATTGCCAGCGTCCCTGTACCATGACTAACTGGAGATACACAGTACAGAGCTTGGTGTTACGAGTAACTAACTGAAAAGACCACACCCGCACAAATACATCTAGTGAAGTATTTCCACGCCGCCAATAACCTCAGCCGCCAATAACCTCAGTTCAAAGCTGCAATACACTTTGTGAATATACTGTACAAGTATCTATGATGCCATTACAAAATTTAAAATGCTAGGCAATATTATGTAACTATGAAGAAAACCAATCTAAAATGATATTTTAATGTAGTCAGCATCGGCAATCTGCCACTCTATACAATGCGATGCAAGGCACTGCTGGTGCTTTGCCATAATAATTATCCTGCTACGTATTTTTTCTGAGTGAACCCATTGCAAAGTGTTCGCACATGCTCTGATTAGCAACATAATGATGCTTGTCCAATTGAATGGTCTGAAGAGCAGTTGACATGACATGAAACTTCTCCTTATCCAAGCCAATTGATGCAATTTACGTTAGTAGAGATTATTTGCCTGTGACGAGTGACTCAAGGCTTGCATGTTGCATGATCAGGTGCTGCCATACACTGCCATGCCACAGAGTGAACTAGTTCGACCTAAGCCTGCACTGCAGACAAACCGGCAATATTCTGTAAATGTGGACGAATAGGATCGACCCGAAACACTGCTCTCATGCTGTCATCAAATGAAAACCGGCATTCTGCAGCTACTAGTAAGGGGCCGTCCATAATTATCGATCTTTTACACGAAGAGAAAAAGTTTCGTATATGGGTGGGTGGGTCAAGGGGGTTTCGTTTTGAAAAATATTGATATGTGAGACATGAAGGCATTCTTGCTGTCAAGTCAATCTATTTTTCGTTCAGGGGGGGGGTGGGTGGGTGGGGGAGGGTCCTAACTAAACTTTTTCGTTTCGTGAAAATTATCGATATTGCCGGATGCCCCCTAACTGAACTCAGCCGGTATCGATCCTTTAGCTCAGTTGAGTTGGTGCCATTGTAGTGTCTACTCTACCCCCAGTGGAGAATAATTAAGAGAAACCATTCAAATAACTTACATGAGAAAATTGTACAAATGTACGGTGAGTAATTACAGCTAAGCTTGTGTCTAGAATGTTGCAAGCAACCAACATCTTGCCAAACCCGAGCTTCACGCAAATTAATTCTAAAAATTCCAATTATTTTGCCTGAGGATTGCATAACATACAACTCGAGTTGCAAGCAAAACCTCATTCTGCCTTGTTTGTAAAGAAGTTCTGCCCCTTAAGATGCTTTGGCGAAGTCGCGGCACAGCGCTGCACCAAGTCTTGCACTAGCGACTACCGCTGACTCACCCCATGAAATCATTTGTATAACCTTTATTGAGCACTGTTTCAACAGGAATTGAATTCCCATGTGCTTTATTCAACAAATGCACACTGACTGAAAAGGAAAAAAGGGAAAATAGAAACTCATTTACTGACCCTACTAATTCAACATCTCAAAGTTGTCTCAATAAAATCAAAGTAACGTTTTACTACTGATAATGCAGAGGCTGCTAGCAACAATGAAAGCAGCAAATTACAAATCAAATCACCCTAATCCTGATTGTGAATGGTGAGGAATGCCGTCACCGAGGCCTGTCTAATTTGTATACTCTCTTACATAATATTATAGTGGTATTAGTGTTGTCAATGTCATTATCTACTACTATGCTGTTTAATAATAGTTCTCAAGTTCTGATAGCGGTTCCAGAATCACTTTGCTCTCAGCGTAGCTTGCACATCTGGCACATACTTTTCGAGGAATGAGTGCTTTTTCATTTCCCTTATCATCAGCTCCTTTGTGCTGTCCGCCCAGTTGACAAGGTTCCGAGTTACTGATGGTTTGCTGTGGATAATACTAGCACTGTCTTGCATATAGTCTTGCGGACAGTCAACGCCAAGGAATGCGCACATCCGCTTCATCTGCTCACTCGGACTGCGGATTAAGTCTTCGCAGTGGATGTCCAGCATCGGGTAGTCCATGGCCTTCACCATCTCCACTCCGGCCACCAACCGCGCAAAATAGCGCCTTGCCGTGTTGTGAATAATAGTGCTGTTATCCAGCATTTCAACCTATCCACAGTAAAGCATCACACCGGCACACAAAGGATGCACACAAAGGATGCACACAAAGGATGCACACAATATTGCTACAGTGTTCTTTCCGCGTAACAAATGATGAGTAATCGGTGGTTTCAGCTGACAGATCAGCAGAATCCGATGTACCAAAACACACACACATGTGCACACACACATACACACGGATGGGCTTGCTAACTACGTGTACATGTCAACGAAGCGAGTTTTCTATGATCTTTCCATGCCCATGTCAGTCAGGCATAATGCACACGGTGTACACACATACACACGCACACACACGCGCGCGCGCGCACACACACACACACATACACACACACGCACAAACACACGCACACACACGCGCACACACACGCACACACACGCACACACACACACGCACACATATACGCACACACCGTGACAGCGCAGCAATATCAGCAGTACATACCTGATTGTCAGAGTTCCTCAACTTTGTCTTGCGGAGTCCCATAGTTGCAATGTTATCCATTGGGTTCCTCACAACATGAATGAACTTGACACGGACGTTGAGTGACTTCTGAACATGAGTGATGAGGTCATCATAGCTACTTCCCATCACCTGGCCTGGACCATCAGCGGTAAGAAGACGGGATGTCAGTCCTCCTCGCTTGTCACCAATTACCTGCACAAGAAGAGTATCAAGTGGAAGAAGACACAAGATGAGGCACATCATGATAAGAGCATCAGCATGACAGAGGAGCATTTGTTGTGTTGCATACTTTTTATAGTGGAAATCAAAACAGGCATAATGCCTAATAAGTAATAACAATGGACCCACCATTGAACAAAAGTGCACGGCCATGAATAGTAGGCTGGACTGAGCAAAACATAAGATGAGATGATCCAGTTTCTATTTGCTGTACTACTTCGAAGTACAAGTAATATGTTCCGATGATGAACAAATTTAGAGCATAGGCCACAGCAAGTGGAATTATGGCCTCTGTTAGCCTGAAAAATACAGGGGCCAAGAATGGGTCACGTGCATCGACTTTGAAACATCCAATAGGTTATGGATGAGCACTGAGGAAGCTCTTCACAGGGGCAAGTAGTGAGTAGTGGGATGCCAAACAGCGCCACCTATGCACAGGAATAGCTGTTAATTCACTTGTCAATGGTCATTATGAGCCACCATGAACAATTCTGTGAATGCCGATGGTGTGTGGTGCTGACAAGACTGTGCGGAAGATGGTTACATCCAATCACTCCGCATGGTGAGCCGGCAACGATTGCAAGTGACAAGAAAAGCTACAAGGATGGATGTCTAACTATAGCATTCAGGCTTCCTGTTTCTACCATCCAGTTTCAACCATCCAGTTTCAACCATCAGCACAAAGGAATAACTGTCTCCACTGACCATGAAACACTAATGAACAAGACCCCGCTCTTTCTCTTGCTCATGTGACTAAGTACAGCTAGGAATTAACTTGAGCTCGCAGCAGCAGCAAGTTGGATACACTGCATCCATGTAGTTAGGTTAGTCAGTACAGATGCCAGGCTACAAAGTACAAACCTCATACAGAGTCAGAGGCTTGTAGCAGAGGGGCCGTGTATGACTGGAGGGTCAACAACCTCTTGCATTCGAACACCTTCTTATAGAGACTATACTCCATAAAATGAAAAGCCAGTACAACAGTCACTCACTGTTATCGAGTCCTTGTATCTGCCTTGCCACTGGTGAGGTATCCCGTAGCTATAGCGATCTTGAATGTGCTTCACCGTGCGGACAGTCTGCCGTTGATGATAGGAAGTCTGGTAGAGCTTATTGAAAACTAATCTTCTTGTTTGTTGACTTTTGGACCATTTCTGCCACTTTCCCAGAAGGTTATATTCATGAGCGACAACCATGTGCGGATGGGCATCTAGGATAGAGCCCACTAGACTATGGCAACTCCTTGGATAGCCGACAAAGAGGAGAAGTGTTTTGACGTTCTTGATAACATCACAAGGCAGCTGATCTTCTCCCTGCTGACCATCTACATGATTGTACCAGGATAATGTCATACACACACACGCACGCACGCGCATGCACGCGCACACACACGCACACATACACACACACATACACACATACACGGATGCACAGAGTCAACACAAGATAAGTTCCGAGTATGTTCCGAGTATATCAAGATCAAGTCCAGTAGAACTCCAAAACAGCGTAATGCCACAGAGGCAAAGCCGTGGCACACTATTCAAAAACAACTCTTGTTGGCACGATTAGTCGTCCACAACTTCAAGTTTCATGCTATCTCAGGCAATCATCGTGAGGTGGCATCTAGAACCTAGGTGTACAAGACTACTACTATACATGTACATGTACATGGTGATATTTAGGAAGAATAAATCGATATGCATGTGCATGGGTCGATATGCATGTGCATGGGTCGATATGCATGGGTAGTGGATATGCATGGGTAGTGGGTATGCATGGCCAGTGGATATGCATGGGAAGTGGATATGCATGGTTAGTGGGTATGCATGGGCAGTGGATATGCATGGTCAGTGGGTTTCCGCATACACTAGTACATGTGGAATGAGCCATGCGTGAACATTTCACGCATGGCTCATTCCACATGTAATGGCCCACTATTGTACTTCCAGCATCTTGCCCACTACAGAAACCTGCAAGAACTTTTAGTGTGTTGATCATGGATAGCCTGGACAGCACCAAACTCCCTCTATAAGAGTCTTGCTCAGTCTTGTTTCTGGATAACAACTAGTTTCGGTCGCCAGTCTATGGTGGAGTGGAGTATCACTACAGTCATTGTCTATCACCCCTACACTTCATCCCTGCCCTTGATATCGCACTGATGTCCTACATGACCCGACTGTCAAAGATCAGCTCATGCGCCGCACAGCCTGACTGAGAGACTTCAGCACGCATCCATGGGACACGGTTGATGACATGATAACTGTTCACAGTCCTGATCTAAATGCTCAAAATGTTAATTAAACTGCATCCATTGAATTATTTGCCTACATCTGATACTCCTATTGTAAATATGTTTTGTCTCCTTGCATGCTTGCTTTGGATTTGCATCTATATCAAGATGGAGCACTGCACGAGTATGAAGAGAGCCTGCATGCTGATCTTCATGATGCCATCATCGTTGACAGCGTTAGCTTTTTGTTGATCTCTCCAGCATGAATTTGATTCCAAATCTTCTTCTGATTATGGTGATGCTGATGCTCTTTCTTGTTTAGACAATTTGTTTTCTGCTGCTCTCACCGCTGCTCTCGCCCCATAAGAAACACAGTACAATCCCATTGTGGGCACACGTGCAGTACACATACATATGTAGGAGGTACAAGCAGGATCCGGTGTCACCCAGCACTACTTCCGTGACAAAGTGAGTTTTACCATGACATGTAGTTCTAAGAATGCGCTGATACGACTAGTGGATACGCTGATACGACTAGTGGCTAGTTTGTACGAGACGTTACTAGTGTTTTTCTTCAGAACAAGCCTTACCATGAGCCACACCAAGCAATGGGCAACATTAGTCATTACAACATGGTCGCTGTTGACAACTTGAAAACCATCAGAACCTTGTCAGGAATCATCTACATGGGGCTAGTAGAGTCAGGTTGAGCGTATTTAAAGTCACAGGCTATTTGTGGTCATGTGGTATAGGAATGTGCAGTGGGCAATGAGCGTGCTAAGTGGATTCCTCCCAGGGCATTAAGTACTGACTGTCCATCACAGCAGTCCACAGCCTGCCAATACAGGATAAGGACTATTCAAAACCAGTTTGGAAAAGTAGTCTTCAAGCATTCCATGGACGACTTTTACATGCCCTAGTAACATTAAAATTGTTAGCATGTGTAGCATGTGGTTATCATCCCCCATCCACCCCTCCCTTCTGGTTTGGTGAAAAGTAGCATTACTGTATCACTCCCCCCCCCCCCCCCCCCACACACACATGATCATTACATACCTTCCCGTGGGAATAGCTGGATCTCTAGCTCTGTGCCATGTGCTGCTTTGCCCGCTGAAGCTGAATCTTCATCGCAATTAGAATATCCCTGGGATTGACTTCGCTGGTGTACATGACTTCCCATGGTCAAGCTGTAATCCAAACCATGAAAAATACAAGACTCATTAGCCATTCGGATCAAATGTCCATATCTATATCCGTTGCTGATGCAATGCAATGGTCCAAAGTTCTAAACACATCATTTCATAGTGCTGTTCCATTCACATAAATACCATGAAACGCCCGCTTTTCCTTCCCCTTCACTCCCCACATGCCAACACGCCATACTTATCAATATTTCGGTGTTTCAACGACTCATATCAAGGCACAGTACAGGCCAGGATATTGGCACTCTGAAGTGCTTACCAGACATTTTCATTGTGGACAGTCTCAGTGACTCTTATCTAGTGTAACACCCGCTGATGATCTGACAGAACTCTCTTCAGGGGTGAAACCTTTGCACCATGGGGAACTGAGTGCGGATGCTTCTTACCAAGAGATAACTGATTATCACTGTACTGCAGGTGTAGACATGAAATTCGATATCCAAGTTATTGGCACTCTCTTGATCTATGTAGAAGCACCACGACTTCATCACATGTAAATGTACTAAGTCACGTTTTGTAAATATATCAGTATCGTATTACTACGCTGAGCGCTGAGCGTATGTTAAAACCAAAACCTTTGCTGCGGCTAGGAGTGCCAGTACAAGGTACTAAAGGCTCCTGTAACAATCAACATTTTACACTGTGTAAGCCAGGAACACCAAGCTGCTGCCCGGTACCTGCATAGTACCTGTAGTAGCAAGTACTGTGAAGTAGCTCAACATGACAGTGTCACTACACACATTAGCCGAAGAATAGTGGGATTAGCAGGGAATTAAATTTAGATCAGCAGGCCAATGCCAGTGCCGCTGGCCAATGCCGCTCTTGTCACTTGTTCAAAGGTCTACACAGTACATTGGATATCAGGTCAGAGATACTCACACACCGAGCAGACACTAATACCACGCATACACAGGAATTACTTAGCAAAAGGGATAGGCCTGGCTTGAGTTTCATACAATCATCACACATCATGGTAGAACAACAAGCGGATGGTTCATCTGCATGCCTCTCACTACCGTCACCCCAACACTGAGATTTACATTACAGTTGAAACAAGCTACATGAGCCTGCAGACAGAAGTAGGCGCTGGACTGCTGGTTTCTGGTGATAGAAATACAAGCTACTCAGGAAATCAGCCATGTTACTAACTGTACTGGACAAGCATTTCCATGATTATGCGCACTCTTGATGAGGACACCCCCCCCCCCCCCCCCCCCCCCGTACTAGAACCATTTCCAATCAGTCCAAATAGTCCTTCACTACAACTAGCAGAAGCAGCAGCAGGCTGCCAGTGCAGAAGCAGCTCATTTGTACATTAGATCACAGGTGTTGAAATCTAGGAAAGTACATTACAGTTTGCTAATTGCTATTGTAGTTATGTAGAGTAGGTTATAGAGGTGATTGCCATTGCTTAGTAAGTAAGTTCAGATACCCACCAGTGCAGATGTAGTTCCGGTGCAATTATGTAACAGTATGCCATGGCTCATTGCAAACAAACCCATATGTAAATGAAACAAAAGCGGCCATACATCACTGCTTGAGCACAAGACTCACTAGCACCATTTAACATAGATATAGCCACAGCACGTAACCATAATAGTAGCAGTTGCAAAGTTAGTTCCAGCTGCTGATGGCACACCAGCATGTCAACTGCAGCATCCTATTCTTGTTCAGTTATTCTTGTCCTCATCCAGACTCCAAAACTGCTTCCACCCCATGCAAATTATTCCATATTATGGTAATTATAATACTACCCATCACTCATTCCCAACACTGCGGCTATAATTATAATACTACCCATCACTCATTTCCAACACTGCTGCTATAATTATAACATTACTCATCACTTACTTTCCCTTGCACTGTATACAATAGGTCAACAGCTGTTAGTTGCTCTACCCTATGCAGCTATGGCCCTGGTCGCTACATGCTCACTCTTACATGTAGGTCTGTACCCCTAGCTGGAAAGCTTGTGATTGAAACCAGGGACCCATTAGTGAACGCAGTGAACAGACTCACAGTGAGCTCTTTCTTTTAATTGGACCCAATCCTGACATCTGCAACCTCACTCCCGAAACGTTCACCTCCTTGCAAACCCTCCAGATGTGCAAGCTCTATTGCAGCCACTTCATTACAATTGAGATATGAAGTTGTGCAGCAAAGAGATCACTTGCCTTGGTGTTGGTGTAGGGTGTTCCATGTTAAACCCTCCGCAAAGTGAAAACTTTACATAATACTGTAATACATACTTCAGACAGGATTCCACAATGGTGACAGATCATCAGTAACCATGGGAATATATGGTATCCAGTATGGCAAGATCAGACACTAGTATAGTGACTTGGGTTTTTTTCTTGCTCGCTAACTATCCAGCCAATACACCCAGGCTTCTCTGCCTTAGAAAGTGCAATACAATGTAACATTTCACCCGCCATAGTCACAGCTGCAACAGTGCATGGTAGCCTAGCCCTCTCAACTGCACTGCACACATCAATAATGTGTGAGACTTTCACACAACTGATGCTTTACTTTGGTTCTTCAAGTAGACTTCAAACGGTTCTGAACTAAGTTACTTGATGTGTTTTGAGCCTTTCCTCTTGAAGAATGGACATGACGTCATTGTACAGTCAAGCTTTTGAGTCTTGGCCATTCCTCAACGTACTTCCCTCCCTAAAACCAAAAACTTACTTACTACAGTAGTAAAAATGCTTGCACACTTTGGAAGGCGGTGGCAGCACTTAGAAGTAGACAGGAGCAGGGCCGTTATGTGAGGACTGAGGACTAAAGTTCAGTGACAACCGAGCACACTCATACAGTACTTAGTACCGTTGGAGAAGTAGTAACTTAGTTTAGTTTGATAGGAGTAGGGCCTCGTTCAGTTATGTAGATCGTGGTACTAGTAGTAGTAGTAGTAGTAGATCGAATTCTGCAGATCTACGCCACATGCACACACGGCCCAGGCGTATCCCCCAGGCTAAAGACTAAAGTAATAGTTCGTGGTACACGTACTTTGCTGAGCAGTTAGAGAGTTTGAGTGTGGTTAACAAAGGAGACACCAGAAATCGGAACAGGATTCAGAAAAGGAACGCGTCAAAGCCGTGACTCGTGAGGCACGACGCAACATATTAACATCTGTCGAACTGCTGCACGGAAAAGTAGGCTTCCGACAGCAACGTGACATCAATACGGTCTTTTCCACTGCCTAACTGATCCTTTCCTAATCGCCACCTCAATCGCCATAAACCTTATGCACCGATTTCTTTCCGTACTACCCATGCTCGACACAGTCACTCATACATACAGCGCACAAATCTTGACAGCGTACAATGACAGCAAACACAAAACCCTGAACTGTGAACAGCTGACTCGAAGCGGCAGAACTGTGTGAGTGTGTCGCCAGAAGAACCCAAGAATGAAAAACCAATGGTGGTGACTGTGGATGTGAAAATCTACACCAAGCTTGTTGACTTACGTTTCTAGGCTAGCCTTGCCTCTGCTGCTATTCACTGACAGGAATAGGACCATAAGGACGGTAAGGAGAGAGAACACCATGATTCTGAACGGCGTCAGCGAGGACAGAATCGTTCCTGGTACACGCACATCGGCTGCCATCCGTCGAAATGCTGTTCTCACTCGATCCCTCCACAATAAAGTCTTTTGAGAAGAATTCTCCCAGGTCGGGAAGAGGAAGCAGTCTACATGAAACCTAGCGCGGCCTCCAGGCAATTCAACTCGTCCACCAAGCACAAGGCTACGCGATGCGTGCGTACTTCACGGCAAGTTCGTGTAAGCACGCGAAGCCCGTTGCTTCTAGGCACTATTTCAAGCCACGACTGTCGTGAAGTCATGGAGCTCTTGTCGGCAAGCTCACACGCTCAGTCGCTACTCTTCACTGCAATGCGCAGTGGCACCGCCATACCGCCGCACGCACCGAAACTATGCGCACTCCATCTACTCGGACTTTCCCGGACTACCGTGACCACGCTACACAGCACAATGAAAATACTATCAGTTGGAACATCAGTTGGAAGAGTGACTTCAGTTCAGGCTCAGCTCAGAGTCCACTGCTGCAAGCTGCACTGCTACTCTGCAATGTCATGTAGTGTAGGGCTCGTGCGCCTGTCTACTGCCTCCGTCCGACTGTGTACCAGGGGTGTGAAGTGTCGTGTAGTTATCGTTCGACCAGCACTACATCCACGCTTGGCACGCTACAACGCATCAAAGCCGCCAACCATCGGCGTGGACACGAAACAACGGTAGATCTACATAGTCATTATGTGCAGACCTAAAACTCCACACTCGCACTCGTCGCGATCACGCGGCTTAGATTACAACAAGTCGCAGTACTAGTAGTAGATAAGATGTGAAAATTAATATTATTATTATGTCTTGTCCTTGCCAGTTTCATCGCCCCTACTGCCAGTACCATGAGTACTGCTACTGCCTAGTAGTACTGGGCCATGGGCCCTACTTGCTAGTTGAACTCATCATGCGGTACAGAGTGCAGTTCCTGCGCTCAAACACTCGCAGAAACAGTGTGTGTGTGGTTTTCAGGAACTACACTGGCACCACTTGTGCTAAATGGCCGTGTGTGCAGAATCTGGCTCTCCACAACAGCGCGGTGTGTCACAACTCACTTTGGCAATGATCTACGGCACTGTGGGTTTGAAGCGGCAGGAATTTCAACATTACCCTGTACTGAGGCTTGAGGTCACAGTTTTGGTTTTGTTCGGCGTTTCAGCGCTTGTTGACCTGGTCAGGCTGGTGGTACTATCAGCGCTGCACGGTTCTTTGCTCTGGATCAGGGTTGTAGTGCTACCAGGTTGTTAGGTGCGGGATAAGCTGGGCTAGATGTAACACCCCTACAGTTTACAATGGAAGTATCCAGATTGTCGCCCACTGCTCTACCTCCCCCAGCACCTAGACAAGCCAACTTCTGTACGCCTAGGACAGCAGACAGCAACGGTCAAGGCCCTGCGCCTGGGGGCCGATGGGACTTAGTTTATTAGGAAACATTCCAATGCTTTAATAACAGAGTCTGGAAGTAAGTAATTAGTTGCCACCATGATTGTGTGCGTGCAGGTCTTGTTTTTGACAGACGGTTGCCCTTCCTCTCAGAGGAGACCTGTCGCTCATGGTGTCATCAAGTAACAGCTGCTGCGTAGGACAGTCAGTCATGTACCTTTCACCTGACTGGATGGAAAAGTTACATGTAGTTTAGTTCTCTACCTGTGAATGGACAATTCTTTCATTTCTCAATTTTCTGAGGTGTGGTGGCACTGGCAGTCTGATCTTGACTTGAGCGATGATGTTCTCGTGGATCGTGCAGACTCTCAGAGAGCCACTCATAATGAAACATAGCAATATCAGTTTTGGACAGGGGTTTAAAATCAGTTTGACCATGCCTCGATCTTTCACAGACTTCTAAAGTCTGTGAAAGATCGAGGATAAGCCAAGACTTTCATGCACAGATATAACTGAACTGGAAGCATTATAAATTGTGGATACCAGCTGATATTAAAAGTCATTGTAGTCCTGGTGACATGCTGATCTGCTAGCGCTAGTAGCATGCTGCTGTCAATCATCGTCAATATTTCAAGGACTCCGTCAAGCCGGAATGCAAGCTCCGAAGTGACTATTGTAATAATTATGCTACACATCTACTGAAGTAGATCTACGAGTAGCACGGCCGGGTTTTGTGGTCTTGGTGGCGGCAGCCGCGCAGGTAGATCTACACTGTTGTCTTGCAGTCCCTGGGCATGGGTAGCAAGTCTGGCAGGCCTACACTACATGATTGTACTAAACTTTCTAAAGTCAGACTACAGACTGCAGCGCTGTACAGCTGTCGCTGACCAGTCCACCACATCTCAAGGAACGTACCGGTAGTTCTACGAAGCATTCTGTCCGCAGATTGAGTGCATACTTAATCTTTTAGTCTTCGGATATCCATAGTCCCATAGTCCCATACATCCTTTCCTCTTGGGGTACGTGACTTGTACTGAAGTTTTGCTGTGCGTGAATATATTGCCGCATCAGTGCTAGCCTATAGACATTGGGCGACGTGTTGAGGGCCGCTGCTGATTACAAAATACTTAGTAATGTAGCAATGTAGTCCTGGCTCCTACGACTCTACGAGTAGAGGAGCTCAGTCATGGTGAAGTATCCGCTGTCACCATCTGTTTGTGTCTGGAGGTCAGGACAGTAGATCTATTCCCTCAGCGACTACGGATCTCGAGATGTGTACCCTGGCTCTGGTCCTGTAGACTGTAGTGTGCTTTGTAGATATGATGTAGATCTACATGAGTCACGAATGTACATTGTGCTACATGTACAATCATGCAAATGTTACCAATACAGTGCTTGAAGTAATACTAATATTAGGGCATTGTAGGTGTTAGCTGCGTTTCAACGTGCACTTGCCTGGTTTTGCACGTGTAGGATCAGGTCGTTGCGCTTCAGCTGACTGCACGTTTCCTTTTACTTTGCTAGAACGGTGTTTGAGATGGCTTACAAACTGTCTGAAAGAATGCCCCGCCACCGACCCGTGTCGTGGCCAAGTGGGCAAGGAAAGGAATGGTTTGCTTTCAATGCTAACCGCTCGGAGATCACTGGAGATGGACCCCTTCCAGTGACCTCGACATGATGCTGCTCAAGCGCCCGCGTTCTTTGTCCATGTTTCACAAGATAACATGCCGCCATAGGCTGAGACCTTCCACCTTAAAATACCTCATCACGGCAGAGGGACGTACGTGCGGCACTCAGCCAGAAAACATGCCCTGCAATACTGGCAAGGAACAAATATACCACGCGCAGCAGCTGCAGTTGAGTGTCCCATCATCACTGCACCTTGGTCGGTTGTCAAGCAGCAATAACATTCAAAGCATGCACGCCAATACCGCGGATCGCGCGGAGGCTAGCAGAGGACACCTGAACAAGGTGATCATAGTCTCCACATTTTTGATCGCTTGATCGTATGCTTTCCACCTTTTCCAGGCTGTGGATGAACGATCACCATGCTGCAATGTGGTGACCATCTCCAGCTCGAGTCTATCTCAGCACTTACCCGGGTACCCATAGTTGACCATTGCAGCTGCGCAAGTATTCATTTGAGCTATTTTAATGGTCTGTTCACTCTTGAGTACTTTCACTATTTTGACTGCAGATAGTCAGAGTTGGTGCAACCATGAACAGTACTAACGTAATTATTTGAAGATAACAGCCGGTAACAAAGCTGAGGTCAGTGAGGAACACTGTGTTGTGCGAACCGTCACGGTTCCTGGCAGCAAGCAAGCATAAAACGGGTTGTCAGGAACACTATTCTCAACACACTGCGTGTTACTGTGTGTCCTCATCAGCCTTGTTTAAATACCCGCTATTATCCTCAAACATGTACAAATAATAATAATTGTTAGACTATCAAGCAAGTAATACCCTAGCTTGCATAAACCACGATGATACTAATATTTACAATGCACTCTGACTATGAAAAAAAGACTTGACTGTACTATCCAGAGTCCCAGACACATCCGCTGTAGATCTACGTACGTGTGGGGACTGGGAACTACTTGTGGAGCTCGCCGATCCCCCTTGCACACATCACAACAGATTCGATCAGATCATGCGCAAGTATAATTAATTTGTCACAGCCGCTTTAAGGCCACACGTTTTTATATCTATGTTTCTCGTCACCCGTGCGCATACGATTCAGGAGTCTGGAGGAAAAAAGAAAAAACAGTGTGCTGCACTGACCTTGCTGACTGTGGATGCGGGGACCAGCACACTCATGCATTATGTACATAATGTGGCCTGGCCTACGCGACACATGATGCGAGCATTGCGAGGTCACCAATTATTGTGCGCAATCTACATGTAACGTTAGCTGCACATGCACAGATTGTGACACTGACAGAAGCTCCTACCACATACAGTACTACATGTATCAAGAGTTCATAACCCCCTGGAGGTTATGAACTCTTGATACTAGTTGCAAACTATGGAGGCTATTTTGCATGGTGTATTGCACTATTGATGGATTTTAGTGTGAACAAAGGTCTAATAAACTCTTTTTTATTTTTCGGTCATTTCATATTTTTTCCACCTCTCGCATACGTTTTTAGATTTTCAGGTGACGAGAAACATAGCAATAAAAACGTGTGGCCTAATAGTTTACAAACTTTACAATGCAGGTTTCTTTGTGGTATACTAGTAGTTGGCACCACTGATCGACCAGATCAGGGAGTAGTACAATACTACTCCCTGGACCAGATATTACTAGTAGTGTGGTCGACAATCCTTGTGCAACGTTTAGCCAAGAGTACATGCACAATATAAATTATAGTCCCTGGCTGGGGGTTATGTACTAGTAGTCTTGGTGTTACCGATAAGCATCAGTATTGTTGACGGTTCTCCATTGAAGAACGTCACAATAATAATACCAGGTGTAGTATCCCTGACTGTCAGTAATCACACAGCCAAATCTCTACCAGTAGTTACATTGTAGTTCACAGGTACATTCTATCTAAGTGCTTCTCACGCGCAACCACTTAGGACTAGATAGCCCTGCTTGCAAGACCGGTACGGCATGACCTATCGCATTCATACTGTACTAATACATTACATTGATTCCTGTATAGTCCGTTCCCCATCACTGACCCTTTTGATCACTTGCGAGATACCTTCCCGGTTCTCCATGTACCGGTACATGTATGCATCCAACAGGTTACAGCTTTCTTCCCCGAACCCATGTTATTGATCAGCCCTAGCTCAGTAGCTAAGCTCACACACATTAATGTCTTTTCCTTAGATCTTTCAACAGTTGTCTTCCTAGTAATCTTTTGCCCTCGCTCCCAGCTGCTCTCTCCCTCTGGCCTATATAAACCCATCATTCTTTCTCATTGCTGTGTGGAATTATGAAGTGAAGTCTGAAGAGTTCAAGCCCAAGAGCTTGTTTTCCTCCCGCTAGTGCTGTCAGCCTGAATCACTTTCTGTTGTAAGTCCAAAGTGCCTCAGACACGAGCAGGCTGGCAGACACTACACCAGGTAACAGGTTCTGGATGTGGTATACAATGTATGGTACACTGTGTACAGTATTCATGTTTCACTTCGGCATTAAACTCACCAGCAGGCACTAGGCAGTAGGCACTAGGCAGTACTGAGTACATATGTACTCCTAAAAGGATAAACGAATCGGAAACAAATGAAAATGTAGTAGACTGAAACTCTGAAAGGGGAATAAGTTCTGACACGAAAGTTAAACCTTCTTGCAAACGAAATTGACTGTATTGCTCTGTGTGGTGAATTGGTGGCACAATTCAGAACGTGAAACATTTAGCAACT